AAGAAAAAGCAGGGAAAAAACATACAACAGCGGGGATTCGCTGGTCGTCACCGACCCAACTACTAATCCGCCCCTTACCGGCTTGACTATGGGAGAGCGGACGGGATCCCGTATTTTCCGGTAGGTATGGTCGTATGTGCAAGGTTTATGATTCTTACTATTCATATAGGTCAGGCTTCAATCAGAACAGAACTTCGAGTCACAGTACAAACAACCTGGCCCACGGCCAAAAGCGATAGTTGGGAGCAGGAGCTTGGAGGATAAATACTCTGTTCTTATCTCCCTATGCTCAGTTTACGCGATGTTCTTCGTATTGGTTTCCTTTCCGTGTTCATGTCCGTTAGCTCACTACCTCGCTTGGCAAAGCAAGCCTCAAGCCCAACTTGTGTCGAACATGCACTGTATTTTTCCATTCACGACTTTCTTAGGACAATCGCATGGTGAATGTTGATCGTACCTTACAGACAGTCAAGAGGCCAGATGGCTAACAGAAGAATTGTCGATTTGGGCTTGAGCTGCCAAACTAAAGTAGGTAGTCTTAGTGTCAGTCTAAGCTAGCATAAGATAATCAAACTATCTCGTCTCTTCTATCTTCACCGGCCAATTCTTCTAAATCTGACAGAAGCCAATGCTTTTTATTGAGACGTTTTCGGATTTCATGCCTGGGAGAAGATGCTCCGACGTCAACGTCATGGGTGCTATGTACTGTTGGTTGAGCCCGGCGACAACCAATAACAGCTAAGGTGAACCTGAGCAGGTGGATGGACTAAGCGCGATACGGTTGCCGTTGTGTGTTGGTTCTTATTGCTCCGGTATCTGAGAAGGACCTTTTTCATTCGCGTTCGTTTGAGTAGGGTTTCGGGATACCACCATGCTGGTGATGGGCTCGTCCAGATCTGCTTCGTTTAGACTATCGTCGTCTGAATCGTCGTCCAAATCAACCTCGATCGGATTTTGCTCTCGTCCGTTGCCCATATTCACCGTGTTGTTGGCGACTTGGCCTTGTATTCTATCAACCATGCCTGGATGGACCACTCCTAGACGTACTACGCCTGAATTAACCGCACTTGGGTTGACCATACCTGGATTGGCAGGAACCGGATTGACAGGAACTGGAGTAACAGCACCTGAATTACCGATGCCTGCATTTTCCGTACCAATTATCCTCACTGTCGTGTATCCCTGCGTCATTACAAGCTGACCTTGACTATAATGGAATGGGCCCTGGCTTAACTGTGGGTTTTCCGTCTGACTATTCATAAGCAGCGGGTTCGTCATCATAGAAAAGATGACCTCCACAGCCTCAGGCCCAACGGACCTCAATTTCGTTCCAGCATCCCCTCTCGACGGTAATCTCTTAAGCGGCTCATTTCTATCAAGAAAACGCGCCAACCACTGCTTGCCCAATGGCTCATGATCACCCTGCTCCCTTAGCAGCCTTGCGACGAGAGTCATGATTTGCTTCTGCGTAGGTGCTGCGCCGGTAGAATGCTGAGCCATGATCCACGAGACGAGAACTTTTTCTTGGAATTGTGAGAGACGTTGGTATGCTACATGGCTGAATTTGCTGCTTTTTTTTACCACGGAGACGTCCTAGTAAAGTGGACTTTGGTACGCCGTTGGCTTTGGCTGCGCTTTGGTGGCTGTGACCGAGGACTTTGACATCGTGAACGGCTTTTTCGAGTTGTTCTTGTGTGTAATTGGGCATGGTGGATGTAGAGATGGGTACTATAGTAGATAGAGAGACGTTGGTAAAAGATGGAGATTTCAAGGGGTATATCGCAACATGGGGACATGGTCACCCCCTGAGTTGCTCGGCGCTATACCCAACTGTGATGGAAACGTGCTGTCAGTCGCGCCAGTCATTTCCGGCGAATTCTGTGAGCGGGTCCGGAGGATCGTATTGCCGCGGATGGGTAGCGATCTTAACCTAGAGCGTTTAGTATCGAGAACCAATGATGCCTTTTGTCGTGATACAACGAAGATAATAGCTTTATTTATGCGTACTGTAGCGAGACACTTGCTATCTCCTATGATTATTTGTTTTTGTTTTTTTGGAGCTCTTGACAGATGGTTGCTTGCCCTTGAAAAACTCTTGATACCTTCATTGTTTTCATTTCCATCACAGCGATTAACCCCTGCCCTTGTTTTTCAAAGCCAGAAGAGGAACTCTTCAAAGTTGTCTCACTCGGGAAGCAAATACACCACCCACCTCCATCAATCGTGAAAATCATTGAACATCACATTGTAAAGTCATGTGATTTGGATAAGCGCCAAGTCGATATCTGCGTGGTTGTGCGACCAAGCCACCGTGGTCAGCAACCAATGGTGATCAAAATCGCTGGAGTCAGTTTGCCTGCGTCACCAAACAATCACAAACACACATATCATACTAAAAGTTATCGAACGACACTAAAAGTTTGTCTCAAGAGTCACCGAGCTGAAAATAGCCGGCTTGATATATAAACGGTAACTCATCCTCTTTACTTTACCTCTACTCCGTACTCGTTCGGTACTTCCTGTCGCTTGTTATAGCGCTTATTCCTGCTAGCCAGCCCCGCACTTTAGCGCTCGGTCAATCAAACAGCCTTTATTCAGCTCAACCTCCACAATTCAGCCAACATGTCAAATCCGACAAAGAATATCAACCTGGCAATCAAGGCAAGTTAATAAAATACCACAAGTCCTGCTGTAAACTAATCTTTACTAGGAAGACAAGCCAAAACTCAGAATTCGTGGTGGTGGCTTTCGACCTATTAACCCCGAAAGCCTTCCTCCAGGATCTCTGAGACCATCAAATTTGCCTGACCCAAAATGGCCTACCAACTCTCTAGTCGGGGACGAAATCATGGTTGCACCACTGAAACGAGATACTCCTTTAACCTGGAACCCAGCTGCAAAGAAAAAGAAGTCAGATGACAAAGAAAAAAAAGGCGACGATGAACCCGAAATTAAGCCATTTCCTTGTATACCTTGCATAAGAAGGTGGCTGGTTGATCGGACACATGTTTGTAGAGAGACTCGCGGTAAGTTCATCGCAGGTATGAAGAATTTTATTGATGTTTGTTGGCAGAACTTCCTTGTCCTCATTGTCCTGATCTTCGCTATTGTATGCAGGTACGTAGTCTGTAAGCCTACTTGAGTTCAGTGCCTAACAACTCCAGCCCGACACAGGATCATAGGTTACATTTGGTTCACCTAGAGAACGCAATTTTGGGTGTTCACGGAATGGGAAAGAGTTTCAAGGCATCTGAAATGGCACAACAGAACATGGATGTATCGAATCTGTTAATGAATATTGGTTCAAGGTCGTGATTGGAATTGGTGTAATACTTTGGTAGAATGGTAAAGCAGTCGCTCTCATTATGATGCAGGTTAAACTGTGGCTAAGATTTCCTCCCCTGCTAGACCGTCATCACCCTCACTGTAGAAGTCCCAATCACATATACATGCCGAACCATCCCCCATATCAAACATGTAGCAATCGCCAAGCCTGGCCTCGCATCCGATATCCAACCCTTTCAGCAGTTCCATAAACTCGGCTCCTGGCGTCCCAGCACTGACTGCGATTCCCTTTAATAGCACATGCCTCAAGACAGGGAATTCCTGTTGTGCCAGAATCCCTTCAAGGAGGTCCAACAGCCTCTTGCTTCGAAGCCCTTGATGGTCACCTTTGATGAATTCATGCTCCCGGTCACATTCTGGATCGCAATCCTCCATTCCGATCTTCTGCTCTACGATCAAAGTCTCAAGTGTTGCGCTACAAGATTTGAGGATCTGCCCCCAATCTTTATGGGCAGCGATCTCTGCGTGTGTAGACCAAAAGTAGTTCTGATCCATCTCATTCTCCAGATCGTTGTCAGAAGGTTGGCACAGATACAAGTATCTCAACTTTGGAAGCGCAAGCTGATGCTTGTCAGGTAAGAAGCCAGAGAGCGGTCGTGGGATACACGACCACCCATCTGTGTTCCCTTGTCTGTCAGCCCGAAGTGGGCTCTCGGTATCTTCAGGGTGGTCTTGCAGAATCTCGTCGATACACGAAGCAACTGGCATGCCTTCCTTTAGCAGCTCAAGCTCGAGTCGCTCGATATTCTTACCCGAAGCCAACAGCCATTCTACCACCGGGACTGGAACATAGCCAACCAGCCTCGCAAATCGAATCTTGGATAATACTGGCCGAGACGTATCAAAAGATCTGTCTTCAACAGTCTCCCGATGATCAGTGTGTAGTTCAAGACTTTCAAGATTGACAAAGTAAGGTAGAAACTCCCAAAAGCTCAAGCTTTCTTGAAGAACAATGCATATCGACTTGACACGTGCGCAAACATTCCTTAACCGGTCTGTGTCTAAATTGTGCAGTATTTGGAGGAGCGTTCCAACTCTCCAAGGACCCTGACGAGACGAGCCCCACTGATAGAATCGATCTGATGAGCTAATTTCGGGCAGTGACTGCTTCTTATCACACTGTTGATGAAAACTTGGATGATGGAATTCGAGAGTTGTCCATAACTTTGATTCGGCAAACTTGTTGAGTGATTTGCAGGTCCGAGATATTTGGGTGAGATCGTGGGCTGGTAAATGAGAGATGACGATATCAATCAGCTCATTCGGGAGGCATAATTGGTTTGGCTGGTATGTGAGCATTTTGGAAGGTTCGAAGTCAAGTGTTAAACAGGCGCGATAGTTGGCTCTAAAGGATCCGTTTTGTTGGGAATAAAACTGCACTGCTTGATCTAACGTCACATGATATTTGCACTAACTCAATGATCACTAGTCGCTCTAGCCTGAAAAAGACACACTCAGCGTGATACAGATGCCGTCGATAGGTATAACTTCACTGACGGGTGAGCTGCATGCTTGAGCTTCAACGCTACCAGGGAACCTGCTGGAATCTATCATCCTCATATTCCCAAAACGTCCCCGGCTCGATTTCGTCCCTGCGCGCTTCGACTAACCTGACCACCGCCTCCGCTCCCTCGAGAGGAGCCTTCTTTCCTTTGTAGCCATTGAAAGCCGTACTGCAATATCCGGGACTGACAGCCCAGAAGGTGATCCGATTTGCGTCTTGTCTATGGTTCTCCACCGTCTGCAAGTGTATCATCAGCATGTTTAGACCCGCTTTGGACACACAATAGTCGATATTTGCAACGGGTGGAAGCTAGTGAGAGGTCAGTTCTATGCTGCGACGGCGAGAAATGACTAACCTGATTGCTTGTTGTTCTACCTGCGCTGCCACGTGCACTTGATATCATGATGACCCTTGGCCATGAGCTGTTTCGAAGTAGTAAGTCGAAAGCGTGAGTGATGACGGCGTTTGAGGTAATGAGATTGTTGAAACACGAATTGGAGGCCGCCCGGATATGTGGCAGACTGACTGAGACTCTTTTCTCAACCCTGCCAGCGTTGTTGATGAGAACTAAGATATTTAGTGTCTAAACAAGATCAATTGATTAACGACATACCATCCAATTTCCCGTAGTCTCGGTCAATTAGTGCCACGGCTGCCTCGACTGAAGCATCATTCTCAATATCCAGCTCGACATAGAATAGTTGAGCCTTAACGCCATCCGCGGGTAGAGATCCAATTGCGTCCTTTGCTGCATCCGTGCTACGACATCCGAGTATGATAGTTGAGGATGGGAATCGAGTACCGATGGCTTGCACGATGGCATAGCCAATACCGCGATTCGCACCAGTTACTAAAATAGTAGCCATTTCAATGATAATTACCTGACAGACAACGATTATGTCCAGAGGGAATGCAGAGAAATCCAGCTCACGTAGTCTTCGCTGCCTGTGCCTTTTAAGCTGTGGTGTCGGATTTACAAGTTTCGGACTTAACCAAAACCGCAACCGCAGCTCCGTCAAGGTTTCCTCCGCCATCGACCATTCATTGCAACCAATCAGACTTTGCAAAGTAAACGAAAATAGAAAAGGTTACATAGATGATATTGCTGTGATGAGCACTGCTAGGGTTATTCTTCAAAGTCAGCCGGAAAGCACATTGGGTGGCGTCTTGCTCAGGTGAACTTCGGTATAGATTTATGATACGGTGTCTTCAGACTCATATATACGATAGAATTATATACAGCAAACAGTCAATCCATCCTCCATCATCCTCTACAGAGCCTTCTTGGCCCAGCCAACCTGCTGGTTTCCACCATCGAAAACAACAAAAGCAGCCTTGAGTGCGATATCACCAAAGATGTTGATACCGATGTCATCACTGGGCTGGATACCACCCAGGCAGGTAGACGAGCCCTCCTGGACAGGAGCATAGTTGATGTAAGATCCAGGAATGGTAATAGTCACACCGCCAACGCCGAAGCTAAAGTTGGGCAGGGTAGCAGAGCAGCTGAAGACATAACCACCGTAGGAAGAGCTGTAACGAGCACCGCTGACCTTGGCATAGTAGGCCGAGTTGACGGCATCGGGGAGGAGGAGAAGGGTGGTACCAGTATCAGCAATACCAGTGATGGGGCTTCTGTTGAGAGAAGCCGAACCGACGGCGTAACCAGAGGAGGTGAACTCCCACCAGCCACCAGAAGAGTCAATAGGAGCGTATCCGATCTTGCCAGTGTAAGCAGAGCTGTCGATGTAGCCAAAGTTGTATGTTCCAGGCTGCTTGTGCTTCAGATCAGCGGTGAAGACGGGGGACTTCAGAGTAGAAATGGCGTTGTCGAAGAAAGTCTTCTGCTTGGTGGGCTTGACAGTGTTGATAGAGCTGAAGCCGAGACCGAGAAGACCATCGAGGCCAGTCTCTTGTTCAAACTCATCAGAGACGCGTTGTGCAGACTCGACAGCTTGCGAGCTGACGGCCAGACCACCGACGGAGACCTTGTCCTTGTATACATCACCAGAAGAGGTGCTTCCATCACCATAGCTGATGGACCAAGTAGCACCAGCAAGCTTCTTAGCAGTGCTACTCTTGGCAGGATTGTACTCATCGTGACCACTGCTTCCAGAGGTCTCCGTGCTAAAGACCCAAAGGTCGGAAGAACCGGTATCAAAGTCCAAGTTCAGAGTCTGAGCAGGTGTGCCAATTTGCACGGGAGTCAACCACTCGATATCCTCATCGGCAGGGGTAGTAATGACAGAGCCACTGCCATTTTGACGCTTGGAATGAGAGGAGCCGGTCTTGACAGACTTGACAGCCTTCTCAAGTCCCTTGGGAAGAGGAACGCCGTACTTGGAGTAGACGTGAGCGAGAGCCAAAGGACCGTTCTTGATGAACTTGGGGTTCTTGACTTGTTCGACGGAGAAGTGCTTGTCCTGGGGTGCTGGGGCGCCGAGGGCGATGGAAGCGAAGGCCAGAGAGGCGGCGAGAAGGGCGTTGAGAGAAGGCATTGTGCTGAGTAGATGAGATGGAGTGAGAGATACTGAGCGATGGTGATGATCCAGATGTTAGACGAGATGATCTCGCCGATATTTATACATCTTCGAAGCTGTACTGGATTATCATTTTGAACAACACCGATCCGCCGTGTCTTGATGTCGTGATGCTTCATCTATCTTGCTGTCACCTCACTCGGCTTCTACTATCCGGTTGACCTTCCAAGAACAGACGTCTCATTCGATATGTCTCATCTTCTTCACTCGCTGAACATATGCCTCATCTGAAGTCTTGGCTAGATCTGTCAATGCAGCCACCCGTCCTTGGCATCCGCTTCGTTCCTCGTGGTAGATCCACCTCCATACTGATTTACAAAAAGTCCCGACAGCCTCGCTCTAGTGACTATGTGGTAGTTTCTCCGGTTAAGCACCTACCAATAACGGATGCTACCGCCGATTATGTCCGGAGTTCGGCATTGCTAACGCTTTTACAGGCAGTTAGATCGGGACTCGGCATTTGAGCAGAGGGACGTTTGCTAATGGTACCTGAGGACTAGGGTCTATCCGACTCTTATCAGACGGGTTGATGGGGGAATGTCATGTGAATCTCTTGTTTGAGGTGATCCTGGGATTATCATTGGTGCAGGGGTCGGCGGTTGCGATAAGCGTAATGGGCTGGTCAAATTTCGCGATGCGGATACCCTTGCAGATCATGCCTTATCCGCTTCTAGCGGCATAGCGCTTTGGCATTGCTTTCATGAGAATTGAGTCATGTGTTAGACCTTTTGTCTAGTTCATTATGGCTCCTCGGTGCTGGAGGTCGGCTACTTTACTGTGACCCTCTTTGTCAAAGCAGAATCAGAACTGGGGGTTAAAAGCAAGACTTGTTAGTTCTGTTCTCATCAACGTTAAAGATAAGAGTATTCTTTTAGGATCAATTTAAGGAAAAGATCACCTTCGAGACTGAAACCATGGCGACCTTTGTCCACCACTGCATGAGTCTTGTTTACCATTCTCTATTCTCCGTAGTTACTTTATTCTACTATGGATAGGTTAGCCCCGGCTATAATTGGAGCTTATCTACCGTTCGCTTCTAACGAATAGACTTAACACAAGCCTGGCTTGTGGTTGAAGTGGCTTACCGTAGTGCAGGTATCTGTTGACTATAATTCAACCTCACTCGACGTAATTTTTATGTGCTTTCTACCAACGTCTCTTTGGTAACGCAAAGGTAAGTTCAAGACGCGTTGAATAATGAATCTTGAGTCTTTACAAGCCTAGGAAGAGACTAGAGCAGAAGTTGTAAGCGAGAGGATAACTGTCACTATCATCCGCTACAAGAATGGACCAACCCTCACGGCGCCGGAGACTACCACAACCAGCACCGCCACCATCACCCAGGTAACAACCACCATGGTGACAGAGGATTCAGTTGAGCCACTCACTGTGATCGAAGGTAGAACAGCTACTGCCACAGCTACACAACACCCTTGCGACAATGCCGAAACCTCCAGGCCCATGGAAAACCCCGTCAAGTCCCTACGTAGGGCTCACTAACACTAAACCAGTATCGGGAGAAAATGGTGTAAAGACGTGTTGTCAGGCTTGCTATACCATCGATAATTGTGTATTTTACAAAGTTGGGGGTGGATTTTGCGAGATTGGTACTGTCAAGCCCAGCTTTAGCCACAGCTGTGCATCGCGGTTGTGCCCATGGGGTTTCCCTAGTCTTGAACTTGGTAGCTCCGATGGAAATGATTGCTACATGGGACCTTGTTTTGGCGGCGCTGCTTCTTAGCTGGTAAAGGAACAACGTGGATAAATTGATGCTGGTTACACGTTCCCATTTGGAATATCATTATTAGATTTTCCAATATCAATTGCAAGTTACCTATGCTAGCCTAGGCTCACATCTTCCCTTCTCCAGTGTAGTGACCTGGCGTTCAAGCCCAAACCCAGCATGACCCTCACTAACAATCTCTCCAAACCGAAGTTTTGTTTCCAAGAGTCTCTTAGACAAAGGATGAACTCCAAAATGGCTATCCATAACTGCTTGATCTAGACTAGTATTTCGAGTTGTGCAGACAATCTTGGAAAACGCCATGTCGCTAGTGCAACCATTGAAACCGATGGAAAAAGCGCCAAGAATTAGACCCATCATACCAATGAGACATAATGAGCCGTATGCTATCCAGAGCGGAACCTTGTTGTATTCCCATCTGGAAACCCAGTTGGTAACCTGGCACTCCCCCGGTTGAGTCGTGTAGATATGCACACTGGGCTCTGCGAGTAGGGAGATGGAGAAGTTGCGGACAAGTTCAGCAAGCTTATCTCGAAAGTTGAGTTTTGGATAGAGGACGAATTCCAACACGGTTTTATTGGGGTTCTCTGTAGTTATGAATCCCACAAGTGGAGTATAGCTTAGCAAGGTATCGGTGGACGGTTCGTTGTTCCGAGGCATCCACATAGTGCCGTTGATATGCTGAGCGAGAGCATCGGCGAGAGATTGGTAGGCCCAGTAATTAGTTTCGTTATAGGTAGAAGATAGAGAACCATTGGACGCGAATGTCTTCCAAGGTACTCGACCATGAAACCTCTCTTTGCCTAACGTCATCGTGCGGATATTGTTGACAAACCGGAAGGTAACGTCGTAGACGACCCTATGTGGTTCACAGGTGAAGTGCTCGATTGGTGACGTTACTACTTCATGGCTGGAACCTGTACCTTTCCCTTCCATTTGTATGACATAAGCCCAGATACGACGGTCTCTGCTAAAATAAGCATGATAGAGCGGTGCCTTGAGCGGAAGGTCATCCATAATGAGATCAATATTAGCACTGTCTTCCTCTTTGCCTGGATCAAGTAGGGCGCATTGGTATCCTATGCCTGGCACACTGGCATTTTAGGTGCAGTTTGGGCCATAGATGGAGGGTGTGTCAAGGTTTTGCCCACTGACGAAGACACGCTTGACATGCTTGATCAGAAAGGGAGAAGGGCCGGCGTAGAGACCCTCTGACGGATGCCACCCGCTTGGTATTGTACCAGAATCGATCATCCTCGAATAATCAACATTGGGAAGAGCCCTTTGTGGGCTCCTGTACTCAAAGTCGAATTCCTTTCTGAAATCGAGAATCGGGATATTGCAAGGCTGTGGAGAAATGACTTCGGCCGTAGCCACAGACAGCGTTGAGGGAGTCACAATGACAGCAAGCGGAATAAGCCAGAAAATGACCCCAATTATTGCGACAGTAGGAGCTTTACCCCAGAGTCCAACCGTGAGGAGTGAAGTGATGTCTGTAGTAACGGCGAATAGGGCATCGATTGTGCTAATCGGGCATGCCGTATGACGAACTTTGGCCCAAACGAGTTGTTTGACAGCGATGGCCAGGCTAGCGGCGTAACAAGACTTTATGAGGAATGAGAAGGCAGTTCCGGTCCTAATCGCCCATTCTTGATTCGCGGCTGACTTGCCATCGAGGGATGCATAGTAGCAGTAGTGACCAATGGAGAATGCGAATCCAAATATCAAGAAAGACGTCATGGCAGACGGGTAATACCACGAAATGGCCATGGCGAAAGGCAGGTAGCACACGAGCCTCACAGAAATAAGATGAAAACACAAGTGATCGCCGGGGCAAGGTCTGTTCATATTTGAACAAGAGAGGGGCTAGGCTACCACTGGCAAAGGCCAGCTGAAAGGACCAGCAACGCCCACATAAGCCATTGTCTCAGTCCTCACCGACACTCGCATCGTTAGCCAAACTAATCAATGATGCCTTGCGTCTTGTAGGCGATAATTTGGGAACGGATTGCCTAACCTCGACACGTGTCAGTGGCTTTCTTTTCATCACCTGAGCAACCATCGGCCTTCCCGACACACATTTCACTGTCCCTGTATGTCTTATGTGCAATGTGTATATACAATCTATGGGAATACTGTCTATAAGCACGCTAACGATTGGGACATGCTTTCTCCAAAGAAGCATACGGAGAATTATCTCTCACGATATAAACCTCCCCCACCAAAACCAAGCACCCAACTGCCATAGATATAGCAATGATAGGAAAGTTCACCCGCGCAAACTCATGGCTTTTCACATGTATATGTTTCCTCGCAAGGATATCCCTCCACAAAAGTCCCGCTAACGATGCACTAAATGCCGTGCTGAAAGCGCCATAATTCACACCGAGAGCCATGCCGTAAATCGTCGCCCAGTATGTTCGATCTGTGATGAGATTGGCGTCGACCTGGCAGTTTATTTCTTTCCAGGCTTGAATGATGCGTGACAGTAGAATCGTGGTACCGATGTTTGTACCAGAGAACTACAGAAGTTAGAACGGTACGACATATGCTGGATGTAGGACTCACGTTGGACAGGACGACTGAAAGGAACCCCATTCCACCAATACTTCCAATTGTTCCGGTCCTCTTGGACCAGTGATACCAACCCCAGGCAAATACATTAACCCAACCTGTACTAACAAGTGCTTGCACAAGAACAAACATGGCGAACGCGAAAGGGACCAATGCGAAGGGGAGATGCGCTGCCACAGCCATGACGGTAGGGAAGGTTTCCTGGAGCCACTCGTATGCTTCTCTTGACTTTGATACAAGGTTCGGTTTATCGGCTGGCACTCGGGTCGTGTCACCGGCTTCGAGTTTTTCTGGTTCCATCTGAGCAGAAGGTAATGTCGGCATTGTTTCGGCGTGGAGAGTGTCGGGATTGGCGGCTTGGAGAGGTGACTGAGGTGACGAGCCAGAGATCATGACGGGGCTGTTCCCTGCGGTGTTTGATACGACAATTTTTGGGTTGGCGAATTGAGAGTTGTTGGCTTCGTTGGTTTCTGGCAGATCATCCAGCGCGATGTCCTGGGTCTGCCCCTCGTGTGTAGGTGCCATGGGCGGGTGGATATCAGATGAACCAGATGTAGTATCCAGCTTCGGCTCGGACTCATCATGGGAAACCAAGGTCCTATCAGCCCTCGCATTCTCCATCTCTTCCCGATAAACCTTGGCCGTCTGCCTCGTCTCATGTCGATGAATCCAGCCAGACCCCAAGTCCCAGCAAAACATGACAAACGCAGCCGGCACGGTAACCCAAAATACCGGGGTCTCGCCCGTTTTGCCTGTACTGGCCGCGTTTATCGCCAAGACTGTGATGAGCGTCGCAGACATGATCAAAGCGCCGAACGCAGCACCTTTGCGATCAAGGAAAGGATTCATGATGTATTCCAGTGAAAGGGTCATCTCTTGTCCTTGTCTTCCTTCTGCTGCTTCTTCGGCTTGATGTTGGACGTAAGGAATGTTAGGGTTAACAGGCTCCTTTTCTCGCGCCGCTGCAGGCAGGGTATGCATTTCGATCTCAGACGGAATGAGCTTTTCGTCGGCGAATACCACATAAAGTAGAAATGGGAAGAGGACCACTGCTGTGACAACGACGGGGACAATCATATTAGCCGTGTAAACGATAAACTTGATATCGAACGCGCCAGCGAGGACAAGGTTGGTAGGGTTTGACGAAACAAGAATAGCGGATGCTATATTAGCGATGGCGAATTGCGTAAAGATCCAAGCTCTCGGGCTAGTAATGTTCTTGGAAACGCGCGTCATGTACGCTAGGAAAGCTGTGCCGGAGAGAATGATGGGATCATTTCCGATAAAGCTTCCCAGCAGGAAGAAAAAGGCGTAGAGATAGAAGAAGAGCCTGTGGCCAACTTTTCCACCCCAGCTCAAGACTTTGAAGGCTAACCAGCGAATGATACCTGATGCGTCGATTGAAATAGCGATGTAGGCCAGTGTGATGAAGAAGGCCATGATATCGAGAGGATGAATATGATTAGCACCGACAGTTCCATCATGAACTTCCTTTCGCCCAATTGCTGAGATAGCTAGTAGGAATAAATCGGCTATCAAAGGCGCAGTGATTAGATTGACGGGAAAGTTGAAGCGCACGAAATTCTTGGAGCAACGAGTTTTGTCGGTGAGAATAGCACGATGCGTACTCGCTGGTATGATGCGGAAATGTACAAAACATCGCCATGTGATGTCGACGAGGGATTTTGGGATGTAGACAGGGATGTGAAATGGCCAGAGGACAAGGATATCTATTGTGCGAGTGTCAGTGATACATTGCACATGTGTAAGAGTAACGGTAACCTACTAGCGATTATGAAGACGACCAGTGTAACGATGGACCGCCATTGGCGGATCTCGCTGGTATCAACACCAGCCATGACCGTTGATTCCCAAGGCAAACGGTTCGCCCGTGTGAAGAAAAAGCAGCAGATGCCTCTCGTTAAAAAGGAAAAAAAGGGAAGAGAAAATGACAAGGGAGGATTGGTTGGGTTCGTATCGGAGTGGGGTCAAGCAAATGGTGAAGAAACGATCCAATAGAAGAGAAGGTGTCTGCATTCAAGGAAGAAGCACCGAAGCTAGACTACCTAGCATTTCGACCTGATTCTATTCTTATGGTGTGATAAAAGCCTGATTGTCTTGAAACAAGAACTAAACCTTGCCAAGCGAAATGAAGGACAAGAGAAGTTTTCTAGAAGAATAATATTCCGGTCAACAAGGTACAAATGCTGATGCCTAAGATGGCTCGCAGATCAGTCCCTTTTGGCATCCTCTGCGATTGGGACTCTTGGCACTTTGTTAGCCAATTACGACAGGCCCAAACCCGGTTAGTCAAGGCTTGTTTTCCCCCCGGATTTAGTGCCCGCCCGATCAGTAGCGACGAACAAGTGGCTGAGCAGTCAGCTGAGACACACCAATCGATGATTACCAGTCGAAAGCAGATGCCTACAGAAAGCATTGACCATTGACGAAAAGTGAGTGACGTTCGGAATGCAGTCAGCTACAAGTCCTATTCCGTTGGGGTTTAAATAAGCCTCAAGGCAGTGTCCAGCCCATAAATCTCCCCACACTACCAGCATGCACTGATTGACTTTACCCCATATTCTAATCTGCCCTGCCAAGACCATGCTATGCCTGCGGTTTCTTCTGTTCTAGAGGCTGTTGTGGCGCCGAGAGCTGTCAATGACACCACTGAAGCGTTGCAGGTCATTTGCGCATGGCCTGTTTCTGGACAATATGGTACAGGTACACGAGTTTTGTAAGTCATCCACACACTATTCCTTTGACAAAACACTAATGAGGTAAAGATACTATGTCCTCATCGCTACTTGTCTTGTCGCAAAGAAAAAGGAATGGCTGGTGAATCCTTGCTTGGCTGCTGCTCTCGTGCTGCCCGCTGTTGCGGCCATTCATGGGATTGTCTTGACAGCGATGCACAATCCAGGTAAGACATGATCAGTTTTTCAATAAGGATGAAGGCTAATTTCTACAGATGCTGTTGATATGGATATCTACGGGGCCTTCCAACTATGCGCGATCGGTATCCTCGCTGCTCCAGTGACAGTCATGATGTCAAAAACATACTTCAACGATCCTGGCAGAAACACCATCTTCTTATGGACTTTTCTGCTCTTGATCGGCCTCCTAAGCATGACGGTCGAATTCTACCGTATAGAAACCCGCGACTGCACAACCAACGCCTCGGGCAGCCCCGTCTCCCCTAATGCCTCAGACTTCAACTACACCGAAGGCAACAATTGCGGCCTCATCTGCTCTACCCAAGACGGTCCTCGCTCCTCCATGCGCGGCGGTTCAGCAGATAATATCTATGTCATCCCTGCACCTCACACTTTGACCTTTGGTGCCGCTACACTACTTGCAGCTGCGTGTTGCGTGCATGCAGTCCTATGTTTGGTGAGCATGTGGGATCGCGTACTGGAGATTAATTGGCGAAGACGCTTTGGCAGACAGCAGGAGGAAGAGGAGGAGACCACAGAAGATGGGGGTGCTAACAAGGGCGTTATGAAGAAGGTCAATGACACCATTGGCTTCTATCTCAAGATCCTGGCAGTGCCGGTGTTCGGAGGAGCAGGATTGGCGATTTTGATTGTGGGAGAGATTAATTTCTTTAGTCCCCAGGTTGACTATCAGACGGAACCTATGGCCAATATTGGTAAGCCGATTACTCTTCAGATTGTTCATCCGTGTACTAACACTTTCCAGGGCAATGGGCTCCGGTCACAGGCACAGCGATGGCCATGGTAGGCTCACTATATCTTCTCCTCGCACGTCATGCCGAAGAAGCAGGTGATCCATACAAACCGCATCAATGCAATTGCCCTCACTGCCACATCGACAACAGTGCACGACAGAGCCAAGTGTCGCACCATGGCAGCGTGTCTTCACTGAACAGCCGCCATACTGGACCGACTATTTCAGTGACCGATACACATCCAACCACTCAATTGTCTCCAAATTTGGACGTCCCTCCTCCCCGATCCTCACTACACCGAGACTCATCAATAGACGGTAATCGATCGATAAACCACCCAGCAAGAAACCCCTACAGGGAAAAGGTTGAAAAAGCATTCTTCAAAGTCGGAGACATCCTCGGAACGCCAGCTCATGACTTTATCACGGAACCACAAAACCGTGACCCAAGCCATGTTGATCTACCAATGGTGCCTGGTGAACGTCTCCGCAACGAGCGTGTTATCGCAGTTGAGAGGGAACAAGATCAACATCAAGAACACGAAAGCGAAGTTGCATCAATTCGAACCCGATCAGATAGTTTTCGCGCAAACGAAGCACCCGTGCAAAACGTGGAGCGCTGCACATCTCTACCAGTAATGCCAGCTGCTGCATTAACACGATCGAGATCAGCGACGCCATCAAGACCAAGAGCATCAACGCTCAATCACCAATCATCATCATAGATAGAAGAGTAATTTTGTTGTACAATGTTGAATTATGTAGACTATTATTATTTGGTTAAACAAATACGCATGCATATTTATGCTTTAGATTCAGCTTCCTGCTCTTTTGTCGGAGACTCGGGTCTTGCTGTGATCTTGATCTCGTGGCTGTGTTCCAAACCAGAGAGAACAATCCAGGTTGGGATGACGCAGAGAAGGGTGATTCCGAAGTTGAGACCGATACTGACGAAGTGGTTGGCGTTGCCTTCAGATTGCATACTGTTTGCTGTTAGTTATTTGCTCAGTAATAGAATTATGTGGAGGTACTTACGCCCAAGCGACAGTCTGTCCCAGAGCCTCAAATCCACGGAGAATACCACAGTGATAAGACAATGATGAGATATCAGTAGTATACTGTCCAACCAGCCAGTACAAGAATTGTTGGAACGCTTGGCCACCGAATTGCCAGAAGAAGATCAGAGCATAAGACTTTCCGAAACCGCCCTCGAACCAGTCGAAAACGGGAGGCTCAGCAGCATCGTAGAATTGCTTCTGGAGGATAGTCGCCCAGATCCATGTTCCGGTGAGGATTGTGATGATAGACAGGAAAGCGATTCTTGCTCGTGTCTTGATGTAGATTGATTGACGATCCAACAATCCCGCGATCAGGAATGAGCTGATGATTCCAGAAAAGTTGGTGAAGAACGATGAGAACGCTCGGGATCGGACAGTAAAGTATGTCGTCAACCAGGTGCTCATAAAGCCGTTGTAAAAGTAGCTGATGAAGAATGCTGGAATGAGGAGCAGCATGCGCTTCGTGACGAGAAGCGATAGCACAGCCTTGAACTCAGCAGCCCATGTAGGTTGCTTGGTCACAACAACAAGTGTTTTATCTTTTCGCTGGACTTTTTCGGCCGGACTGAGAAGAAGAGCGATCGGTAGGCCGAGACACATGATGACGATGAAGACGATGTAAGTCGCTGAGCTAACGGAGCCCTTCGAGGAAGATTGCGCGTTGAGGCCGAGATTGATGGCGCCTCCGACAATGGGACCTGCTGCTTTGGCAGATTGCCAGATAGCTAAAGAGTCAGTGTCTCAATATCCCACGCATTTGAGTAATTCGGGACTTACCGAGATAAAAAGCACGATCCTCAGGGCTAGGATATCCGATAATAATGGCCGCCTCGGCAGCCCAAAAGAAGCCCGCCGAAATACCACAAAGCGCACTACCAAACAACAAAAACCACGTCTTGGGCGCAACGTTATTTGTATACAATCCAGCGCCATAAATCGGGTATCCGATAGCTCCCAGCGCAAGTCCATATCTCAGGCCAATTCTGTTGTTAATTGCACCCGCTGCTATGCAAACTGCAGCGAAGAGGCCGTATACGAGCGCGTTGGCTGCTGAGACAGCGTAGGGCTCTGCAGCTCCGCCGGCGCCGAGACCGCCGAGGGCATCCCACATGCCGGGTGCTGTGAAGGAGACACCGCATGCGATGGCGATCTGGAAGGGAATTGAGCGGAAGAAGGAGGGTTTGGTTGATGACCCTTCTGGGGAGGGCGAGACATCGCGTGAGGACGCCATTCTGGAAGTTGAGGAACGCAAAATTCGAGGTCTGGGAGGAACTGTGGCGATTGGGGTCAAGTTGGTATTTATCTACTCTATGGGATTATCCGTGCAGTAATGATATGCCATTGCGTGCGATTGCGTGCTTGACATTTCGTACTTTGACCTATCTGAGCACTAAACTAGAGGACCCATAGTAAAGTTTGTACCTGCAGGAGGTTCTGCACCCAAGGTGTTGGTATGGGAAAGATCGTCATGATTTGTTTTTGGTGTCGTTAATTGCCAAGACCCTAGACTGGACCCTGCATGTCTCTTTAAAAAGAAGAGGGTTTATTTACTGAGATACTGCTCATAATGAGGGTAGAACTGTACTTGAATGTATCTAGAGCTTGGATCTGTTCGACACCGAGTACCGCCGAGCCGGTGATATTCATGGGGCATTACATAACAGTAATGGGAATAATTGGAGCTGATGATTTAAAGGGTTACTGTAATGGAAGAACGGTTATCCATCCGCCGTATGTTGGAAGAAGCTGGAGATTTGAGATAAGGTTCATGCAATCTGGAGTAATAAGGTAATAACAACAGTCAAGGGAAACATACCCAGAATCATGGATGTCAAAGAAAGGTGCTTGCTTGCATGACTGAGTTACGACTTTTTGTCAACGCGCTTATCTTTTCCCTGTCGCGAAGGAAAATTGTTCTCTTATCTTATCTCTTAGTGCGCCACTGCTTACGAGTTACGACAGATCCACAGGCACTAAGTTTTTCTTTATCTTATCGTCTTATCTTATCAGGTCTCATGAGATCGGCTGTCTAGGGTAATTAAACTACCAAGTATTCTGTGCCTCAATCCTAATCAGGATCTAGCACCGCATGTGAATTCCCCTCAATTCAACATGCAACGGTGTTCGCACATGGACCTCGGTATCAAATCTACCCCAGACTGAACCCCTCGTTGTGGCCGTTGTTCCGGCTTAGCATGAGTAACACAAAGCATAAAAGAAGATGACCATGAGTGTTGTCATGAGAGCAGTATAGACCTTTTCAAACTTGGTGCAAACTCACAATGTCCGTCGATAACACCCAACCAGAAGGTGAAAACCCCATCACCGATTTCACAGTAGAATTCCTCGGCACTCAGCGCTCTTCCAATGCCGCATCTCGTCGTGATCTTGGCTTCACAGGCCAGCTCGGCGGAAAATGGTATGCCGTCTACGGGGACGTGCTCTGGTGCGAAACTGGAGTTACTGATCCGGCAGAGGACACTGAAGGGTTTCATGGCATGGTGAGAAATGCTGTGTCCGCTCTAACTGACGATCCGTTGGTCGTAGAGGACCTGCATCTTAATGATGATGGACATCAATTGCAGTTCATGCCATTTAAAGAGGAGTGGGGGGAGACCAACATGTTTGGCTTTGGAGGTACGGGTATCGTGGAGGTTGATCCAGAGAGCGCAACTGGTGTGCTTTATTACCTCGTGGTGAGTATGCTTTACAATGGATTTTGGTCTCTTTATTAACATGTGTAGAATGACAACGAGCACTACAAAGGCGCAGGTGTAGCAAAGGTCGAACTTATCGACGACGTCCCAACCATAACAGACCGCTACGGCGAAAATGGTATATGGTGGAACGGCGACGAACTCCCAAAATACGGTGATGTGGCAACATATCGCGATGTCAACAGCGAGTATATTTACATCCTAGGCAACCCACCAAATCACTTCACAGACTTCCCCGACAAACTGTACATCTACATGGCCCGCGTCCCTGCCGCCGACGCGTTCGACCTAGACAAGTACGAGTATTGGTGGGGAAGGGAACAGGGCTGGAAGAGTGAGCCGTTGACCAAGTTCAACTGTGAGACTGCTGTTATGTGGGGTGTTGGACAGGGGCAGATTGTTTATAACAAGCACTTTGAGACGTACTTCTATGTTGGACTTGACCTTGGTAAGTTCTGGACACCCCTTCCTTGTAAGATGGGAGTGACTGACAGATGTAGGCGGAACCGTGTTTTTGAAGGCTGCCCCAAGTCCTGAAGGGCCTTGGACTGAAGGGAAGGACATCTATAAAGATGAGCCTATTGATGACGGTTTGGTCTACGCTGGACTTGCGTATCCTCACTTGGATGAGTCAGGTGAAACTCTTACAATTGGCTTCACGAACAACAACTGGATTCGTATCATCAAGGTCTCATTTACTTAGATACTTAACACACATGGTTAACTACTATTCATACAATTTACTATGCAACCTAAAATTACCACATTACAACTCATCATTCTTCTCATTCTCACAAACCCCGTCAAAATCGCCGTACTTATCCATACCCGCGCTGACAATCTTCTTGAACTCCTTGAACGGACAACTGGCACCTGGTCCACTCTGGCAAAGCGGTAGAGGGCGAGGCGCAGTATTGGCAATGAACCTGATAAACTCCTCGCCCTTACCCTTAGTGTCAGGTCGTTCGCAAGTCATCTTCTCCATACCGACATGACCCAAGAAGGGAATCAAATCAGACATCTTCCAGGCGCGAACGTGATTGACGTGTGTAGTAGGGAACTCGTCGTAGCCTTCGTGCGATGAGGAGTTGAAGATGCCCAGTGCTGTGGCGACGAAGGGTGGGACTTCGCGGTGGGTGAAGTAGAAAAACAGACGTTGCTCCTTGGGCCAGCCGGACGACTGTTCGTCCTTGAGATCAGACTTTTCATCGATGTTGTCGAACAGCTTGGATTGGGAGTGCAACCATGGAAAGCCGAGATAATTGGACAGTGGGTTGAAAGGACCAACCATATGCGCGTACTTCATATCCCAAGCGTACTCATAGGATAGCCACTCCGCATCAGAGAATAATCCACAGATTGGCGACTTCTTTCCTCGAATGGCAGACTCATAACCGCAAATAGACTGAAGAGCAAAAACATCCTTGGGCGCAAGCTCATAATCCTCGGGCGTATAAGGGCGCAGGCGCTTTGAGACAGCAGAAGCATAGTTCTTGACAAACTCATTCTGTTGATCTGTGCCAGGCGATTTGGAAAACTTGGAACAGGCCTTATGGGGAAGAAGAGCCCTTGTACCGTTGTTCAACTCCTTCTTATTGAACCTCGTAATCTCAATATTTCCATCTTCTGGGAAAGCTTGCAGAAACGCCTTTGCAGTATCGTACGTGCGCGACTTTGTATCCGCGATAACGCGTTTTACAGAAGAAGCAAGGTGTTTGTATCGCTTCACGAGATGCTTGCCGACTTTCTTGGCATCCACCTTTCCAGATGGGGTTACATCTTCGAGCTTGTCCTCTTCAATTGGAGAGTACCACTTATTCAAGAACTCTAACGGTCCAGAGAAGTCACCGCGATGCTTCTCGAGCTTGTAGAGGAAGGGTTGGATATAATCTTCGTATTCTGCGTCGTTGGCGTAGATTGCGGCATGGCGGATGAGGTACGATGCTGCCGTGACGGTGCAGCCTTCTGGGGCGGCGTGCGAGAGGCCAAAGCCTACCGCGTCGAAGTAGGGAGAGATACCGGGGAGATGCAGAAGGGGATCGAATTGGTAGCCTTGGGTGTGGTCGAAGGTGTTGATGGGCTGTTGAATGACGGACGAGAGAGCGATTGAGGGTAAAGCTGCGGCCGCAATGGCGCGCAGAGGAGAAGGCATTGCGGATGAGGCGCGAGAGTTGGAGCACCAGAAAAAACAAGATGGAAAAGTCACAGATTTGTTTGTTCCTGAATAACCGGGGTAGACGTAGACGCGGGATCGACCGATTGAATCGATGACGTACAGAGGCTTGGAGATAAGAATGGATAAGAATCAAGGCAACGCGGGTGAAGCCACTAAGATAAGCCTAGTCTGTCACTAACGAACGTCATTTTAAGCCGTGTTTATTTCCATGACGATGTTTTCAATTGACCAATCATTGAGATAATGTCTCATTTCATGGTCACAATTTGATGTCGAATGTCTGGTAATTGATGGAATGTTCAGGTGGGCAATGGAACACCAGCTCCACAATGGTTCATGTCAAACTTGCGTCTTATCCCTGCTGCATCTTGACAGCGTAACGTCACAAATATTTGGGTCTGATATGAGAGTCACATGCTGGAGCCTTCACCATATGAATTTTGTTTAGGTCACATACAAGAGATAAGAGTTTCAATTGACAGAAACCTAATCTTCTACTACTTCATCTCCTCATGGCAATCTGATGCTGAAGCTTGCCTTGATCTTCAAGATGTCAGACGCTGACACACTCCCTCTTGATCTCATATCCAGATCCTTAATCATGCTTTGACTTCACGGCGACCACAACCTCATCGTCGTCCTCATCGTTTTTCACCTGGTAAGGATCAAACCCAGGAACAGCCTTGAAACTGCCAGCCGCCTTTTTGAGCGCGTGTCCAAATGTCTTATCACGGATATGCGGCTTGTTCCACTTGTCATGGAACTGGAGGTACCTTGCCAGGAGCTCGTCGTCATCCCAATCATCATATCCGATCAACGGACTGCGGAACCACTTTCCAGTCTCATTTTCCGGTTCTTCGATGTCGTGGCTTGTTGATCCTTCATCGGAATGGCGCTTCTCCTTGGCGAAGCGGATTTCGTGCATGTCCCATCTGACTTTGTGGTAGACGACCAGAGGATGGCCGTTCAACATGGGGATTTTGCATGTGCTCCCGTAGCAGTTCAACCTGTACTTGTACTCCTTCTATAGACTACTGTCAGTAGATTCAAACGATGGTGGAAGATGTACCTACGTTGCCGCGTTCCGTGGCAGCCACACGAACAATCTTGTTGCCCTTGGTGAACACGACAACATTCTCAAATTGATGTCGATGCCCAGTGAAAGCCCCAGCGAGATCCTTCTCAAAGTAATACTCGTACATGATAGCACAGTACCCGTGGTTACAGCGCTTGCGAGAGTAGGCGTTGCTGAACTGGAGCCGACCATCGCGGCAGCCATGCGAGACCGAGGCCTCAATATGTGAGAGACCGGGGTTCATCTTGCCCTCTCGGCCGATGGCGGCCGTGGCGTAGCAGCCGTCGTGGTCAAAGTCCATGAGAGGTTGGAAGCGGAGCTCCTTCTTACTGGCTGATTCGGGAAGGGGATCAAGAAGATCGCCGTAGGCCGTGGTGGCCAAGAGGGCTGCCAACGCAAGGAAGGGGGTCTTCATGATGGGTCAAGGTGGGAAGTTGGTACCGGTTTACAGAATTGGTTTGTGCGCGACCGGGGATTAAATAGAAAACTTTTTCCAAGTTTTTCTCTTTACTCCTGGATGCAATAGTCAGGGCCGCCTGTTTAACTTTGCAAGATGTGATCTGAACTTGCTGAGTTTCGCTTAGACTTAAAGGCCAACTTTAACCACAGACTCCCTGGGTTAACGCACTACCGCGTGATTGTCCATTCACATTCTCGGTCTCGACTGGGGAAAAGAAGGTTGTATCTTACCCTTCAGGGACATATCCAATGCCGAGCCATGTTGATCTTTGGTTGGATCTCAATGGTACATCTCCAACGCCAGCGCCACTAGATACGTGGTTACATGTCTTGTTCAGCATAAGCTTTTTTCAACCAATACAATTTTTCTTTTAAGCATCATGACTCCAATGATTGCATTTCTTGGGACGTGATAAACCTTGGACCTTACATCTTACTTTTGGCCACGTATATAATGCAACACATTAGACAAATTCCATAAGGCGACCATGAACAGAACATGCTAGAAGTAAACTTAATTGTCCCTCGGGGCAAGTCTCGTGATATCGCCCGATGGTTAACAACACAGATTCATGATAAAATTATATACCCACCAAGATTCAACGGGCGTGGGTTAGGTAATCCCGCCTTCAATCTACCAGATTCTTCCAATACCAGCGCCAAGCTTGACCACAGCAGGGACAAGCTTAAGAGGAGTCAACTTGAACTTGTAATCAGCCTTGTAAAAGTCACCCTTCTGCGTGATGTTAACTCCAGCATTGCCCCAGTCGTTCTCTGTACAATAATTAGCTTCACATCTTCAGATCGTGGATTGGGGTTACGTACTTGCTCCAAGGTTAGCAAAGCCATCGAGCTCCTCATCACCACAAACGCAAGTGTTGGGCGAGTCCATGGGGATGACCAGACCGTAAGTGCTGAGCGCTTCGCTGGTGTTGCCACGGAAGACATTGCCTTCGACAAGGACCTATCGCTGTTAGTTCTCTGTCGTGGATAATTTGGTGGAGTGGAGCTTACCTGGTTATCGGATCGACTGTGGATGGCTTGGTACAGGAAGTCCTCGTAGAGGTTGTTGTACACGTGCTGATGACCGAATCGTCCAGCAGGTCCACGGGTACCCATGTGTCTCCAGTAGTTGTGATGGTATGTAACGTGAAGATGGCCAAAGTCGAGGTCACGGAAAGTATCGTCGTTGCCTACGAGGGAAGACTTCCAGTGGTCGTGGAAGTAGTTCCATGAGACGGTGATAAAGTCCGAGGCGCGGATGATGTCAACTTGTCCGTCCTACGACAATTAGCTATCATCAACTTCCACAGGAGTAGATCTGAACTCACGTATTTATCAGGGCCACCGTCAATGTCGGAAGAGAACTCATTGTGGTCAACCCAAACACGGGTACTGTTTCGAATGGTAATACAATCATTATCCAAGATCTCGGTGATCTTGAGGTTCTGAATGATGACATTATCACCATTGTACACGTTCAATCCCTTGCCGGTGATATGAGCAGACAGCCCAACGCCGATGAGAGAGGTGTTGGATCCAACGGCGAGACGAGCAGGAAGAACGACTTTGCCCTTGAGCTTGACGATCTTGGGTGCATTACCCTTCACAGCCTCGACAAGCTCCTCGGCTGTTGTGACGGTGACTGTCTTGCCACCCTTGCCGCCCGTGGTTACGCCGATGGGGTTATCCTTTGCATAACCCTCAACACCCCATGTTGCGATCTTGAGATAGTCTGAAGGGAAGGCGACGGTGAGAGTCGCGAAGACGCAGCAGATAGCTGAGGAGAGCTTCATATTGACGGCGGAAGGAATGATGAGAAGCACAGGTACCAATGGCTTAGAGAATGGTCTCTACTCATGGTATATATATCCTAAATATCTGCGCTGTTTTTCCCTCTTTGCATCTAAGTCCCTGTCGGTGATGAACGACGCTGTAGCTTAGTTTGTGGTTAACGCGGGGAATCCCTGCTCCGGACTACCAAATAGCACCAATAGCAGTGTTTGCGCTCTTGGGGGAATTAAGCGGTCATGAGACTGGAAGATGCTGATTGATGGAAAGAGATGTTCCGGTAATTACGGTTAATGATCGAGGTTGGCTAAGAGTAGGGTCCTTCCGCAATGGTATGTTTTCTGGGGTTAGCATGACTTGAATGAATTGCCATTTTGGTGTTTTCTTCCTCGGTTGGTAGGTTGAGTTGGAGTGGTGTCGTTTGGGTCGATTTTTACACAGCAAGATCAATCAATTGAATCTGGCGTCTTTATTCTGGACATAGAAACACAGCTCAAATTGCAGCGCTTTCCATAGATCTAATAACATACACAAGTTCCGAACAAGCGGTTTCTGTGAATCATGATCTATCGAGAGCCATGTGAGACGAAGACCACAGAGATCCATGTCTTGGTACATGATGCTTGTATTGTGGTACCTTTGGGGGTTGGGGTCAAGTGGGGGTATTGACATCCCTCTTGAGCGTTCTAAGTACGGACCAAAAACACTCATTTTAATGTCCCGATCCTCTATTGCCGTTCAGCAGTTAATTGTGAGTTCAAATCAATCCTAGGCAGTGGTCTGTAAAGTGTTTTGCTGTTCGAAGGAATGAGATCGTGGATTAAAGGGAACAAATCCTTGCACTTTACGGTACATATTGTTTCTCAAAAAGATAAACCATAAGCTGTGAAAGTACTAAATTGTCAAATAGCTGCCAGCGATATTTCTCTTTGAGCTTCATCTTACTTTACAGCCAGCTAAGATTTCGAGATGTCCTGAGTAGCATAACAGCTGTTCAATCTGGAGAAATCAGGTGTTTGTGATTGTGAGAAGTAAAGATACCCTGCAGCGGAATATTATCCTATCGTCTTATCGGTTTTATCGGCTTATATCTTATCGAGCACCATCTTATCTTATCTTTGGCTCGTGTAAATTTTAGGGGAAGTCCATTACAAAATCACGTCCTTTCAATTACGGTGTAGCTTAGGCAAATTTGTTGCGGCAAAAACTTGTATATCTACCTTACTGCGCGATCTCGATAACCAACAATAAACATCTCGCATCAATCATCACTGGATCAATATAAGATGAGTACGCGTAAGCTAACATCTGCAGCATTGTATTGATGTAAATTAATTGGAGTATGACAGTTGCCGGCCCGATCTTGTTGATATCTGCCGGCCGAGAGATTGGCATCCGGTATGGCTCGGCCACCGAGTCAATTTCGGTATCATCATCAGAAACTATTAATTACAGTTTATGAGTAGTTGATACTGTCAATCAGGGTCTTCAATGCCGTCGCTTCATGCTGATCTTTATGATCATAACTTGCGCTCGGACATCAACCAACAGATTTAGCCTTATGTTCACGTATACTAGCCCAGGCTGTAGGGCATAGTGTCCAAATGTCAGTGCATACGAGGATAGCCTTAATATCTAGATCTCGCCAAGGAGTGTTTACGACCAATTGCGGCAAGAAGACAGGGATGAAGTTTGTAGATCCTATTATAGAAGTGCCGCTACTAGAAACTATTACCTAAATCTTTCCTTCCAACTCAGCATCATTATAAACTATTACTATTAAATTAAACGTTTACTCTGCTTCCAACAGTTCGACCGGGTTATGGTCCTCCATGGCGGGAACCATGCGGGACACGATGGCCCACACTCTTTCCTTTGTCTGCATGGTGTAGGGGCAGAGATTCCAGGAGTAGCCTGCCATCAAAGACTTGCGGTACTCGGCCATGACCTCAGGGTCGTCCCTCGAGAGTTTTGGTCCGCCAAATTCGTGCAGTTTAGCGAGGTAGTGGTCTAGAACCTCCATCTCGTGCGCACGACGGTCTTCGACTGTTAGGGCAGTCATGGTGAAGTAGGCGATGTCAGTGAAGCACGAGCCGATGTGGATAACCTGCCAGTCGACAAGCATTGGTGTATCTTGTTCTTCGGACCAGGCCATGTTACCGATATGGGCGTCGCCGTGAAGAATACACTGAAACCTGGGGTTTCGGGTAGCGAACCATTTGGTGATGGCAGCAGTCATACGCTTCTGGTCCTTCATGTATGCAGGAACGGGAGGGCGGTCTTCACCGAGGACAATGGCATCCCACATGCTACAAAGACTCAGTACTGATACCTCATAATGGCTGTCCAACCAAGGAACGGTGGAGGCTTCGACGCCCCATGTCGCAGCATGCAGAGCAGCAAAATGCTCCACAGTCTTCTTGACGCGATCGACAGACCAGGTATCGACAGGGTCAGCAAAGGCAAAGTTTGCGGCAGCAAGGTCCTCCATAATAAGGATGGCGTTGTTGTCACTTTTCTCGGCCCACAATTTGCGAGGTACATTGAGATGGGGCACGCGAGGGGCCAAATTGTTATAGAAGTCGACCTCGCGATTGTAGAGTGAGAGGATGAAGGGGAACTGGGCCAGCATGGCAGGGTTGAAGCCACCCTTGATGCAAATGCGTACTGGCTTGGCCTCGTCTCCCTCAGGTGTGGCTGTGAGGAGAACCAGCGTGGCAGTTCCACCGATGGTGTTGTTTAGCTGGAGCGTGGCATTCTTAACGCCGATCTTGGGGGAGAGCCAATCGGTGGTGATGTCCTGGGTAGAACTGGGGAAGATTTGAGTAGTGGCCATTATGTTATGCGTGGTTGTGATGTGATTGTGATTCAAGTCAAGCACCAGACGATCCAATAAAACACTGGATGATGAGGAAAAAAGAAAGTTAAGGTGGAAAAGAAGAAATACGAGGTTACGGGGGGAAGGGGAAAGAGGTTACTTGTTATACAGTCTGTAACATTTACATAACCAACAGCAGATAAATCCTGTCCCGTCCCAACGGCTCTCTATTTCCTATCATGGCCAACAATCTCACCGGGAACATGAGAAAATTATGACTTGAAGAAGAGGAAGCCGGGGGCATTGGTACATGTGGGCTGAGTATCTCGGTTATGCATGTGCCTGACGAAAGAATCCTGTCTTTGCGACAATCCTCTCCACATTGAGTGCGTCGCACCGTTGGGTCTAAGCTTACAGGACGCGGAGGAAGGTTCCGGACCAAGGATCCTCCCGCGTATTTGCCTTCGGACCATGTTCGCAAATAATACCGGGTGGCGGTCATGTTTCAATTGTGAGTTTCTTCAAGAAATGTGACGCCAACAGGGTGATGTTACGAGGGCTTGAACAAAAAAGCAAAGTGAGGTTCTTCGGGCACTGGTTTGACGAATAGCATTGACGAATGGCATTATGTTGACATGTCAATCATGTGCTGGAACGGCTGAAGAATTATGCAATTAAAAACGCCTCTAATTTCTACAGGCGAACGTTGCGAATTTGCCGAGTCATCCGTGCATTGTCAGCGCTGATGATCAATTGAACCCGTTCGCCTTGTGGGACGTCTCGGCGAACTCTCACGCGATCGCAGCCGCGTCAAGCGATGTTATACATGCAGAAACATTGAGATTGATCCCAGGATTCAACCGCGTTGTACTCCCAATGCAGTATTTCGCGACCAACACCGTACCGGTAGATGGGTGCGTACGGCAGTTTTTGGTGATACAAAACATGGATTCAGCCCCAGATAATTACGGGGAAAACACGATGTTACAGTACCAACAGACCTCGGCCCAACAGGTTTTCATCATTTTTCAAGGAATTTATATCATATTGAGAACTTGACAAACTTGTGCCCTAGACGCTATTGCTTTTGCAAAACTTGCTGATCACCACTAGCGCAAATGACAGATGAGCAACGGAGTCGTCTCAACGGAAACCATTTGCTAGCGGCCGGAGAGAACAAGGCATTTGATCCAATGGTTGTCGCAATGAAAGTCCTCCACAAGTTCTCTCGGCTCAGACCCACGCGGAGACATTATCCCCCCTGTTACCCGCTCAGCCGTTGCGGCACAGTTGCCATTGCACAGGGGGATGAAAGCAATCATGCAGGGGACAAGGAACAAATCAAAAAATCTTCAGGTCGAAAGTGTCGCTCTTTTCCAAGTTGAATGTCTTTGTTCTTTGTATGGCAATATGAAGACTAAATAAGACTCGACTATCCCGCCCGGACGCTAGTTTAGTTGCCGTCTTTAGCTCTCGTTGAACAACCTCCTTCAATTGTAAGTGTAAAGTTTATCACTATCAACACTCGATAAATCTCTAACAATTGGCCAACAGACAATGGCTGTTCGCGATAGTCTCGGCCCTGTGATGGCCGCCTTCATTGGCATCGACGGCTTCGTCGTCCTCGCCCGTCTCGCTGTCCGAACCAAACTCACAACCCTCGGATACGACGACTATGTCATCGCAGTAGCAATGGTAGCATTTACTCTCATGTGCGCCTTCACATTCGTTTCTCTCAACTTCGGCTTCGGCATAACAGACCCCGAGGTCATCGCCGGTATGGCCAACTACAACCTCATGGAGTCGCAACGATACTTCACTGTCGCGCAAATAACATACGTCGCTGGCTTTCCCATTGTACGTATCAGTGTTGCACTGGTTCTGTATCGTCTTGTGCAGGGCTGGCCTCGCACTCAAAAGCTTCTCCTGGGGACCATGGTTTTCATCTTCATTTATGCACTAGGATGTCTCTTAGTAGATGTCTTCCAGTGTATCCCTCTGAAAGCTGTTTGGGGTGATGGCGCTGGCAAGTGTCTTACCTCTAAGCAGTTGGCGGGCTTGGGCTTCGCTGTGGCTTCCTTGGATATTGCATCTGCGCTGTTCTATGCTGTCCTGCCTGTGTTCCTCCTCAAAGGACTGCAGATGGGCACCAGGACCAAGGTTGCGACTATAATACTGCTTGGACTTGGTGCTTCAACGGTAATCATCAGTATCATCCGTATGAAGAGTCTTGTTCAGATCGTCAACGCCAAGAGTATTCCCGAGGCATTGGACTACCAGCTTGAGTCATTCATTTAGTAAGTCTACATCACAGGTTACTCAAGTCACCTTTGCTAACATACATCCCTTTTAGCTCCGTTCTCGAGTTTGGTCTTTCTATCTTGACTGCCTCACTGGTCGCCTTCCGTCCTCTCATTAAATTCCTGCCCTTTGGCAGTTTCGGTCGCAGCTCCGGTCCCAAGGCTCACTCCGGCGGTGACAGCAGCGGCCCTGGTATCAGCGGCAGAAACGACTTTGAAATGGGTCGCCGGAAATACGTCAACATGCCCGACCCAGCCCGCATTGACTCAGACGACGGTGATAGCCAGCGTGAGATCCTACATGACACGGATCATCCCAGTGATTGGAAACACTCTGGCGCTGTTACATCTACTACCACGCTTAAATAAATTCCCTTCTGTAAATAATATTCTTTTACTAGACTTATTAGTTAAAAAGTTAAGAATTAAAAATAGAAATATTTTAACTAAGGATATTTTACTTTATTATATATATATTAATAAAAACATATTATTACTTTATAAATATTAATATAATTAGTTATGCTTAAATTATATTTATTTTTTATAATAGTAAAAGCTTTTTAAAAATTAAATTAAGCTTTACTTAGGTTTATATTAGGAGAATTATAAAGTAAAGTTTAAATATTATAAAGTATTATATTTTCTAATAATAAATAAAAGTAAGTTAATATAATTATAGGAATTAATACCTGCGTATAACACTTTTACTACCTATGTATAATCTTATCTGCATATAACTTTTTTAGCTCTTTAATTAGTTTAAAATATCCTACCCTACTACTACTCTTACTATCCCTGTAAGGAATAAATCTCTCTAATAACCCTACTATCTCTATAGAAAAGAGGTTATAAAAGGTTTAATTTAATATAAATAATATACTAAAAGGATTACTAATTTTATTCTTATATAGATATATTTATTTATACTAATTCCTATTAACTTCTCATTCTTTATATACTTACCTATACCCTTTGCCTAATTATATATATACCTATAGTATTCCTAGCCTTAATATAGATTATATTATAAGTTTATTAGCTATTACTCTCTTATACTAAAGTTAACTTATTTTAGCTCCTAGGTAGGTAGCTATACTTTCTTTTTTAGGATATAGATACTTATAGCTAAGTTGCTTATAGTTAAAATATAAAGAGCTAACTACTTTCTTAAGATATTACTAAAGGTATAAGATCTATTAGTACTTCTTACTTAGTATTCTTAGGTTACTTTCTAAAAGATATAGTAATCTTTAGATTAAGGATTCTATAATATAGATCTTAAGATAATATTTTATAAAGTTACTAGTAAAAGTAAATATTTTACTTTGTAAAAGCTTTTATAGAGTATATATATAAGTAAATTATATAGTAGTAGGGTATACTAAGCTTAGTTAAGATAGAATACTTATCTATATATAGGTTAAGTAGCCTAGGATTAGGATTCTTTTTAGTAGGTAGTACCTTATGTACTAGTTAGTATTAGATATTAATAAGCTTTAGATATTTTAATAATATAAGGGACTAAAGCTCCCCTAGATAGCTAGAGCTTAACCTAAGGAACTTATAATCTTAAAGAACCTTATTATTTCTATAAGTATCTTTAAAATTATATTCTTAATTATATAGTATATTCTATATTACTTATACTAGCTTGTAAAAATAGCTTATCCTATTTAAGAGGTAGCTCTTAATATTATTATTACTTACCTCTGTACCTAAGGTTATGCAGATACTATAATTTAAGTATTTGCAAATAAAGTAATATACCTATTAAGTATAGAATAGTATATAAGTATTAAAAAGATACTGTAGGATAGGGTATTAATTATTAAACTTTTTATAGAGAGTAATCTATACTTTCTTATAGACTTCTTTAGTCTCTGTAAAAAGAACTTACTTTTATATTTAAAGAATATCTTAATAGGTATAAGGAACTTTAGAGGAAGGTGTAGCTAAGATAAGTAAATAATTATATTAAGTTAAAGTAGCTTAAGGCTTAGTAGGTTTATTTACTTTGCTAATATCTAGGCTACTGCTTATCTCTAGGTTCTTTACCTATTTTTACTTTAACTAAAGAAGAATATTTAAGTTAATATAGTAAATATAAAGCTATTACTAGATCTTAGGAAATTAGTTATCTAAGGTAGCCTTTATTAAGTTATTAAAGTCTATAATAATAATAGCTAGTTATTATACTAAGTATTCTAATAGAAGGGTAGAAATACTTTTAGCTAAAAACTGAAATCCCTTTTATTACTTATTATTAATAAGACTAAAAGTAGTATTAAATACTATACTAAGATAGGTCTACCTAGTTACTTAAAATAGTAAAAGCTTAAAGCAGTTAGTATTATATGTATTATTAAAGCTAATTACCTCTAGAAATTACTTCTATATCTAAATACAGTAGGAAAATATCTAAATAAGGCCTAAAAGGTAATTAGGCTTATCTAGTAACTACTTTATAATATAAGGAATCTCTTTATTATTAAATTCCTTAAGTAATATAGTAGTAGATATATAGCCTCTAAGTATATCCTAGGTTACTTAAGCTTTAGTATTATAGATATTCTATTATATAAGTATTAACTTAGGATATTATTCTTTAATAATAGCCTATATATCTTATACTTAAATCCTAACTTATTAGCTAGTAGATTTAATAGTTACCTATACTAGAAAAGTAAGGTAGTAATAATATAGATAAGCTAATAAACTTTTACTTAAAGGATAATTATAAGTATAATATTCTATATTCTTATATTAATAAAGAAACTACTTACCTTCCTTAAGAGCCTTTATAATAACTACTTACTTATACCTATACTTTTATAACTTCCTTTAATAGAGGCTAAAGCTTTTACTTAGCTAAGGTTCCCTATATTAGTTACATTAAATAGAATATTATATTACTTATCCCTTATAAAAGTACTTATTATACTTTACTATACTAAAACTATACTCTTTTGTAAAAAGTTAAATATTTTTAAAGAAAGCCTTAGCTAAGGTAACTAAGTTACCTAGGATTAGAGGATTTAGTATTATATCTAGAGGTAGGGACTTAGATTACTGTAAAGGAGAGCTTTTAATTAGAATAGGTATAGATAAAGTAGGAACTAGAAAGTGCTAACTTTTGCAAAGAGAGTATACTAAAGGTAAACTATATTTATCTATATTTAAAGGAAATTATCCCTATCTTTCCTACTATTTATATATATTCTTAAATACTTAGAGGGATTTCCTTATTAACCTTTACTCTTTACTAATAATATATTAAACTAGCCTTAAGGTATACTAGAAGTTTTCCTTAGTTACTATAGGTAGTAATATTACTTTAGGTAAGCTATAGAAAGAGTCTTAGAAGGGATTAGTTTCTAGTCTAGGAATAGGTACTTAATAAATATTATCTTAATACGTTCTACGTAGAAAGTTATTACATAAGATTATTATATAATTATATTAAAGCTTAAATAATAAGTTAAGTATTAAATAATAAGGTAATAGTATAGTTAAGAATTAATTAGGGATTATAGTAAAGATATTATCTAGTATATTAATATCCCTAATACTATATAATTAACTAATACTAGGTATACTACTAGTAAAGGATATTAGTTAGCTTCTTTAAGAAGTAGTATAATATTAATAAGGTAGTAGTAGATTTATAAGAAAAGGTAGGTAAAAGTTATAGTATTAGCTAAGTTAAATATATTAAGTATTAAGTTAGATACGTTTTTAAGGTAGTACTAAGGTATAAGATAACCTAGACTTAGAGTTATAGCTATTTCTATATATAGAAACTATTGTAATACTTATATTATAGCCTAAGGATAGATAATAGTAGGATATAAATAAGGCATAATTTAGATACTGCTAAAGCTTTAAGGCTAACTAATATATAAGGGATTGTAAAAGGGATAACTAATTAAAGGAAAAGGGTTAAGGTATACTAATAAAAATAGGGCTAAGCTAATTAAAGAGCTAAAAAAGTTATACGCAGATAAGATTATACGCAGGTAGTAAAAGTATTATATATAGGTATTAATTCCTATAATTATATATTTATATAACGTATTTAATAAGCAAGTGCTTTAGTAAAGCAAGTACTCTAAAAATCCTAGCTATTATCTTTTAATTACTAATCAAAGTAATATAACCTATTTAATTAATTAAAATTACTTACTATACTCTTTTCTAAATACCTTTAAAACTACCTAATAGGTTCTTATATTATACCTAGTCTTACTATATATACTATATTATTAAATACCTAGTCTAACTAACCTTCCTTAACTACTACTTTTTAATAACTTGCCTACTACCTATATATTAATATCTATTTAATTAATTACTTATAATACTTTCTCTATAGTTATAGGGTTTTCTTTCTATAGTTTAGTTCTTTTTAACCTTTAATACTAGCTTAGCTTTTTATTTCCCTCTTAAAGGTTTTAAATCTTATTTCTTATTAGGGTAGTCTTATATATAGTTCTCTTTACTACCTTAGTAAGAAACTAAATAGCCTTAATAATTAACTCTAAAGAGCTATTATAATACCTTCTAATTTAACTTTTAAGGTATTTAGTCTAAGATTAAGCCTTATTTACTATTATTAAGGTCTTTAAAGTCTAAGGAAAGGAAGGTTTAGCTACCTCCTTAGGAGGTAATAAGGTCTATAGCTATATATTAAGCTTTAAAATAATATAATTAGGATTAAAGGGAGTAAGCCTAGCTCCTTTAAAGCCTCCTTATATATTGCTTTTAGTAAAAGTAGCTTTAAAAGCAGTGTAAAAGGTATTAAAGAACTTAGTTTTAGAAATATAGGTTATAAAGTATTTAATTAAATACTCTATCTTTTACCTATATACCTTCTTAAGTACTATAAAATACCTAATATTAAGAGGCTAAAGTAAATAAGATGTATAAGTAGGTATACAGAGGGTAATAATCTTATTATCTTTATAATATTTTTTAAATTTAATAAAGTAATAACTTTTATAACTATTAAGGATTAAGAGGTAATAGAAATTAATAGATTACTTAGCTATAGACTTATTAAAGTACTTTAGCTAGTTAAGACTTAGCTAGTTATTTATCTATCTATTTTAGCTTAATATAATAACCTAATTACTAGGGAGATTATATTCTTAGTATTAATTTGCAAGGTAATATTAGCCTATACTAATAATAAATATTAAGATTAATTAACCTTTAGTACTAATTACCTAGATTACAGTAATCTATTTACAGTTTCCTAGCTATACTAATTTTAATTTCCTTTACCTTTCTAAGCTTATAATAACTATTCTAGACTATATAATACCTATTATAAAGCTAGTCTTATTAAAGTTCTAGATATTATCTAATTAGATACTATACTTTATAATTATATTCTCTATAAGCTAAAACTAGCTATAAATAATTATAGGATCTTTATATTTAGCTCTCTAGTAGTTATATCTTTAAAATAAATATATCTTTAGCTTTAGTTATTACTTAACAAAGTTATAAGCCTAGCGTATACTAATAGGGGGTATATTACAGTTAGTAAGAAGGGAATTAGCTATTTCTTCTATAAAATATAATTATAAGGGAAATCCTTGCAAATCTAGGTTAAGGATAAATTAAACTATTATATTTTCTTCCTAATTAAATAGCTTCTATAAATTTAGTATTAAATTATATTATAATTAAATACTAATCTAGTAGTAATATAAAGTAAAGTAGTTAACTTTATAGATATCTATAGTATATTATAGGCTTAGTTTAAGGTTATTCTAAATAGCCTAAAGAGTAAGAAGAATCCTAGCCTTATTTAAGGGTTATAATATATTAGGTAGTTAGGAATTAATTAATTAAATAGTTAGATGTAAGGTTAAGGGATTTTTAGAGTACTTGCTTTACTAGAGTACTTGCTTATTAAATACGTTAAAGGTTTTTTAAAATAAAAATAAAAAATAGCTATACTTTAATTAAGCTAACTTAAAAATAAGAAATATAAGCTTATTTATTAATATATAGCAAAGGGTAGGAACCGGGGTCGATTGACTAACTGAGTAGCTTGGTGCGTTGGATAACGAAGTCTTAACTAACTAACTAAAGAGCAGCTTGTTATATTAGGTTAATTGAAGGTTGAAGATGGAAGAAGGAAGAAGTTGCCTTATATATAGCTTAGTAGCTGTTTATATATATTTACTATTATTAGAGTTCAGTAGCTAATATAACATCTATACCTAACTTATAAAGATTTAACTTTGCTAGAAGAGGTTGCTATTGATTATAACATTGAAGATGGATTTAACTTAGGGCTTGTAGTTTAAAGAGGATAATAAATAAGCTTATTTCTTAATATAAAGCTATATTACTGTAGTTCCAGTAACTTCCAGTATCTAACTACATAACTCTTAAAATCCCTTAGAATACTACGCTATGGCGTAGGGAGCTGGGTACGGTTCCGGCTCATTACAACGTTCACTCCCATTGACGATATCCTTTTCCGGTCCAAAGCCAAATGCGTTCTGCAAACATTGGACGATACTTGCAGCTTGTGTGGACTCGGTAATTTCTGCAGTAAGGAGACAAGGGGCGGCATTGCCATATGCGAAGGGACCCAGAGCAGTAGCGCAGAGGTCAACGCTCGCAACAAGGTCAGGACCATGCGGATCTTCAATGCCAGAAGAAACCAATGTGCAGGGCTCGGGAAGACTAGTGATACATGCGCCTTCTAGCGCATTGAGGAGACATCCGACGATGTCTGCTCCGATGGAGAACTGCGAGACTGTTGCTGTGAGGCAGGTGGCGATATTGGTGTTTGCGAAGGGACCAAGTGATACAATACAAGCGTCAATCACGGGGGTAAGATGATGACCGTTGGTTGACTCGAGGGTTCGACAGTTGTTTGGAAGGGTGACCTCGCAATATGGGGCCGTGGGAGTTGCGGATGGGATGCACTCGGACTTGGAAGATGTATGAGACTCGGGGGTACTCGGGCTGGCTGACGTCGGGTCTGGGGAGGCATATACGGTGGTAGTCTCTATTGTTGCCGTGGATCCAATGATCGTGCTAGACGCCACTACTGTCGACATCGAAAGTGATATTGGGTAAGACGAAGTCGTCTTATGCACAGAGGTGATGGAACTGGACAACCAGTCAATGAAAGTGCCAGTTGGGTCTGTTCCTGGGGGTGACGAAGTCACAATTGCCGTTTCAAAGTAAGTGCCGGCACTGGTAACAACAACAGTGAAAGTCGTGTTTGTAGGACTGGGCGTGGGCTCAATGACAGTATCCATGCCCGTTGGATGCGTCCCAGAAGGGGGAATCGTGACTCTAGTTGACTTATGTCCACTTAAAACAGTGGTTGTAACCTTCATGGATGGCACAATCAAAGTCGTGCTTGGAGTAGGTAGTGGGTTGACAATGATGATGGTTTTGGTAGCGTCTCCAGGGTTGGGCGGTTGAACGATAGTTGTCGGGATCGATTCAGGAACGTGGGTCGTGACGGTGACATAAGGGCCAGTAAAGTGCGGTTCAGGCTTCCTGATCGATAGTCGGTTAATAGACAGAGTTCCAAGAGGTTAATGTGGACTTACCCGCTTGAGAATCTGGTCCAAGTTTCCGTCAAAGTAAACGAGGTCTCGAAAGTTCCCGGTGCACAGGTGACGGGAATTTCAGTACATCCAACAGTAAGAACGGTGTTGGTACTGAAGGAAGCGCTCACAATGACAGGCTGGACCTCGAAAACGACTTCGGGTTGTACATGTACAACGGACAGGCCATCTGAGCAATACTCTACCTCCATAGCAAGAGCTTTTGGGGAAAGGCGGAAAAAGAGCAAGAGCTCCGGGACGTACTGGACGAAACGCATTTTAGAAGTGAGGGACGAAAAAGGAGTTTGTAACCTGGTAGATTGATGAAATGTAACGACTGTGGACGATGGTGATGATTTCTAAGTACGACTGCAGAAGATCTAGTATTTATGCATGGTTGGTTCCCGACCAGAGGCGGACGGGTCAAAGAATAACCCGATCACCATGGTTATAGAAAATCCTTTTCAACACATCATTTCTTTGCCATTACTTAGTTAGTTTGTCTTGTCTTGTTGTTGGCGATGTCTGGTTCGAGGGTGAGAATCTTGCGGTAGGAATGTAAAAAGGAAGGTGAGTGTTTGACTGAACGCATTTCCAGCTGAAGTCACACCCAAGATATTACAAGCATACCTTCAAGTCCATAATCTTGTGGTATTTGGAGCGGCACAGAATTCTCAACAGGATGGGTAAAGGCATTCGGTACTCACCTTGGGTTACGATCATGATAGATACAATTTGGTACGTTCTGTGGTGATCAGATGTTTCTCCAGGCTAGTCAAAGCGTTCCAACCCTTGAATGCAATCAAGCAAGTAAGTCGTGTCGCTCAAAGAATGGGCTCCAAGAATGACAACTAACATCATGGCAGGGTGATGGGGTTGGAAGTCCTTCAAGGGGACTGAGCCGCGACCGATGAGCCAATAGGGTTACACTTCTCAAAGATGGCTTTCAGCTCCCTTTGTCCCTACACAGTTTCAAACCGTCTTATTGATATCCTTGAGTCTTAATGAGTCTTCTTATTTCCTGTTTCGGCGACTTATGCAGGGCGAATCAGGTATTGTCCAGTTCTTGTCTGTTTGATCTCCTAGTCAGTGCAAGAATCATTCCACGTAACCCTTGAGGGTATTCGAAATATGAACCTTTCAGGTTTTGGAAGGTGTTTTGCGAGCCTGGTTGATACTGATTTATCACATATGACTGGCTGTTACCAAGGCGTCATTCCATGGAATCTTTAGACGGCTAAGGGATATCAAGTTTTCAGCTCTGGTCAAGAGTGCTGCGAGCTTCGCTGGTGGGATGTCACCGCACGTTAGCAATCGGAATTGATTAGGTTAAGATTGCGATTCAACAAGTGCTCGGCCCTTTTGTGGTTGATACTATAGATTGCTTGCGTATAGGAACATTCATCATGGCAGAAAAACAATGGTTGGCAGAGAAAATCCATAAATACTGGAATCATACCGTAGTTAGGGAATCATCACTTACCAGTTCATCTTTAAATCTATTCATCACATTCTCTGAAGCTAACTCTTCACTTATCATATCATGATCTTCCTTCGCCTCATCACTCTCTTCCCTGCAATCGCCTTGTCATCTAAGCTCCCATTCGAGCGAGGCCATGCAACAAATGCGGATAACTGCACTTATACGGGCACCTGGCCCGTTATTACCGTGACAAGCGTCCTTCCTACCCTCACTATCGGTGGACCAGATGGCGTGCAGGCGCACTCTGCTGGGGGTGCTTCTCTGATCTACACTACTGCTCTTCCCGCTATTGGAGCAGATGGCATAGGAGTGCACACTTACACCATCACCACTCCTTGCAAAGAGACCCACTGTCAGCGCCCTGTTGGGACCACCCCCATGGCTTCGCCACCACCACCGTTGTCTGTCATGCTTGTGGCGAGCACCCGGTTACCACCGTCTTGACAGTTCCCGGGAAGCCAGCCGCAGCCACGCGGGGATCAGTCGGTGGAGAAGCGGGGAACGCCGGACATCATGGGAATGTTGCCACACTAGCTGCCACTTCTGCTGAGTTTGTTACAAGCGCCAAGGACAAGACTCCTATGGTTGCTGACAGCAAGCCAACTGCATCCCTGTCCTCCCCTGACAAGTCATCTGATCTCGATACCTTTGCACGGTCCTGAGCTTCCTGGTTCGGGCAAATTTACCACTGAACTCGGGCCTGGAGCAGGTCCAAAGCACTCGTCTCCTGTACACACCTCTGATCAGGGAAAACAGGCCAACCCGACCGCAGTTTTGGTCACTGGCGCCGCTTCGGAGGATAAGATTGCCAGGGACATTATTTGGACAGCTGTGATCTGCCTTCTTTTTACTTTATACTGCCTCCCTGTTTTTGTTTCTTGAGGTGAGCGAGCAAATACTCCGAGAAGGGTTGGGTTTTGAATACACGATGTGCTGCGCTGGGCTTGCTAGCTGATGATCTATTTTCTTCACATGTAAATCGTTTACGTTGCCTTTGAGATCCTTGTCCGTGGTTTAGGAATATGCTCGCTTCGATCAGATGTTCCATAGAAAAAAGCAATAACTGACCAGAACGTCGAGCTACGCTTCAAGGGCCAGTACTAGAATAGGTTATACGAGCCGCTATCAATTCTTTGTCATTTGTCCATCAGTTCCAAGCTCTGCTATTGGTCCTATATCCAAGGGTCCGGCGCACTGTCTCTGACGATGTTGGTAAGCTGCATAAGCGACGTTACATGCTCCAGCTGTACAGGGGTCTGAGCTAGGTGTCAGCCGTTCAAGAGGATTGGGTACCAGTAAGATACACATCACGTGCCACTTGAGAGAAGATGACCGGTAATGACGGGGGGCGGCGTTCGCCTATAAGCAATTGCTCCAGCGACGTTGATCGAGATCCAGGGGTAGTACAGAGGCCATGTGATGCCTGGTGCTCTAAGCGGTTAGATAATGAGTAGAGGTACATAGAGTTGAATTTGGATATCTAGAAACAAAGGATGAACAGGTGAAAGGAACTTAACATGCAAGAGTTGGTCTAAATATTTATATTAGAAGCCAAATATACCTATTTAAGTGGATAATCGATACTTGATACAGAAGTGCCTTTATTTTAGGTTTTAGTACAAGGGACCTCTGCGTTTTATCCAGCGCCTAACGATAAAGTATTTATTAATATTGCCTAGTAGCAATAGATCACTGATTAGCAGTTTCGGGGTTTCTGCACGTAAGTATAATAAACTTTTAAGCTAGTAATGTAATTTTAGTACCTAGGTATAGGTAGGCTAGTCTGCAAGAAATCTACAGAGTACCTTTAAGTAGAGAAAGAAAATAGAGAGTTAAAGAGAAGAGTAATGTAAATAGCACAATCATTTTCCAACTCCACGGAAAAATCAATTTACACAATTTAACCTGTCTATAATATGGGCTTCTGTTTGGTTGTTCTGTCTTAGCTGCCACGCGTTTTTCAGCTGCTATCAATCCGAGATCGGCATCTACAAATGCCATAAGAGCTTTATCCAGCTGAACTACAAGGCGCCCCGTGCGTTATACATAGCGGGGAATGCATTCCAGCGTTACGGGCAAATATGGACTTCTACAAAACTAGTGTTAGTTTGCAACCATCAAACTCGTATTAAGCAGGGAGACTGGCCCTTCGTATTTCACGAAACGTGGATCAAGGACATTCTGTATAATGGCTGCAACGACTCACATACTAAGACACTTGGGAAATACGTAAGCAAGTTTAATTATGTTTCTACTTCTCCCATTTATAAGGTGCGCTTCGGCATTCAACGGCCGTTCGTCCCGAACAAGTCTAGCCCTTGCAAGTAACAATCTTCTTGTCGGCAACTGGCATGCAACATCGATTATCAGTCTTAGTCCCTTGACATACAATGTCGGTACCATGAGGAAAGAACTGATACATATGTTGTGAACTCGTGCTCATGTCTTTGGGGGGGGAAAAAACGAACAAGGCCGTTTTGTTTCTTTCTCGCGACTGTTTCTTCTCTGATGACGTGGGTTGATATTGCCCACACCAAGTTACATGATTCGAACAGAACCACAGGTACAATGTCTGCTCAAGTCTCTATGCCACAGCCGACACGCACGTTGCAAGGCGGGGCACTATACCCCATACCCGAACAGGACTCGAAGCCACCAGAGATTGCCGAATTCGGGGACGAGTCACCGTCGACGTCTTATCCACAGACTGCACTGTCACAAGCATTCGATCACGGAGCCGAAATCAAAGATACAAATCGGAATTCACCCTCTAACGGGCATCTGGTGTGTCGTCAGAAAGCTATCAAGGAGCTCCTTGATACCGAGACGACCTTCACAAGGGATATGAGGGTCGTACTGTGGGTTTACAAAGCGACCGCCAACAGTTGCCGAGTTCTAGACGACCAACAAATCTCTATAATCTTCCGCAATATCGATGATATTGCTGCAATACACATCGCCTTCCTATCAGAACTCAAAGCGTCAGTGGCCAATATCTACAGCCCAGACCCAGACCAGCCGCCAATGCTCCTGAGCGATGATCTTGCGGCTATATCCGATCGCGACCTTGGATCAGAGCCTAGTGAAGCCGAAGACAGCGCCACCGTTGTAGGCTCTGTCTTCAGGTCGTATATCGACAAAATCACTAGGGTAGCTGAAGAGTTTTTAGACCAAAGTGATCAAATCGCAGAGCACCTAGAGTTTATCCAGCAAGATCGAAGAGTGGTGTTTTGGTTGGAAGAATGTCGAATAGCCTCAAGCCGACTCACCCGTGCTTGGAACTTAGACTCCCTTCTAATTAAGCCTACACAAAGGGTCACGAGATATCCATTACTCCTTTCAAATATATTAAAATATACACCTGTAGGTCATCCGGATTACAGAGATCTTATCAAAGCTAAAGAGCTTCTGTTAACGTCTTTGACCCGGATCAATGTCAAGGCAGAAGGTCCCCATCCGAGCCTGTTGACTATGCCGGACGACCACAATACGCTCGGCACCACACCTGGCCCAAAGATCTTTATCAAATCAGTCAATAAGATCAAAATGTGGAGTCACAACCTGGCAGAGACTGTGCTGCAGACAAAACAAACAAAGAAGTCCAGCAGTACACTGAACAGCCACAACGACACGTTAGAAGTATCTACTCCCAAGAGCGCACCTGATACCAGCCCCAAAAACCTCTTCAGCCCACCCTCGGGAGGTTGCAAACTCTTTCTCAGCCCACAGTGGTTGCAATCAGCTCCTAACCTGCTCAAGGGGCCGTCATTATCGACAATATACGCTTCCCATGCTGATATAGATGATGGAGGCTAGCTGCTGATAGTTTTACTTGATGTTTCCAATTTCATGATATTTAATACGCCTTCTTCAGCACATCAGGAGATCAATGCGAGGAACTATATCCTGAAAGTGTACTTTTATGAGGGATGTCTACGGCGTTAATCTTTATTTTCCGAGATACACAATATTAATGCTTATTTCAATTGTTCTGAACGTATTCCCAAGTCTGCCAACTTTACCCAGTATTTGCAACAGGAAGAATGGTATCTTCTAGGCTAGCCAAAGCTCAATAGATCAATTTAATAGAAATCGCAAATAGTACAACCAAGATGAACACCTATGACAGCCGTACGCCCAACGGCTCGTTGTTCCTCGTTCATCCCTTAACCGATCCAATAAGACAAGTAAACCAGTCAATTGACCCTTGCAAGCATCGAAGTCAACATGCCAAGAGGCTGAAACTCATGTTTCTTTATTTCACGTAACAGCCCCGGGCTTAGTGCGGCAATTGCCGAGATTCGATGCCCTGGACTCGTAACTAATTTTTAGCGAGGGATCGCCGTTCAAACCAACAGTTGTTAGTCCAAGCGATGCTTTTAGTGGTGAAATTGGCTGTTGTACGGATTTACGAAATGTGAACGTTCTGCGCATTACTCGCGTCATCTGAGTTGACCAGCCAGCTTGGAGAAGCGTCTCGAGTCATGTGCCTAACGTTATAATTTCCAATATATTAAGAGAAACAAAAATGACGCAGCGCGAGTACTGTCTTGGAATGGTAGTGGCGATGTCATTGCATCCTTGTGATTGAAAACTGCCTCATGGACTGACGATGAAGGCTTAGGTGGAATTGAAGCAGCGGCGGAATGATAGCAAGTCAAGAAATAGGTTTGCGACGCCTGCATGAACAACGGAATTCTCGGAAAGAATAAGACGGGAATCTTGGGCGCTTTAAGCTTATCTCATTTGTGAGATGGGCCCAAACTGACCAATCATGCCGGATAATTCGCGACAGTAATCGGGCTGAGTCTGACAATCACTTCTCTACTAAGTTAGACTTTGCGAGACCGACAGCCACAAGACTTTCACGATCATATCTTCGTCATCTGAATGCGTATCTGCCCGACGTAATTGTAAACCCTTGTAGTAGGCAATTGAGAAGAATTGAAGTTCTTCGTAGAACGTAGAAACCAGGTAGACCAGAAAACTATAAAGAGGAAGACTCCTTCGTATAGTTAAATGAACAGAGCATCAACAACAGCTTCTTCATCTCAAGCATTTACAACATGAAATACTCAATCCTCGCTGTTTTCGCAACTCTTGTGTTCCCTCATTTGGGAACTGCAGAGGAAGACAAACCCAAGAGCCCTATCCTGAATCTCAACAAAGATTCCAACTTCAACTTCGACATCCTCACTGGTCTCGCCCAAGCCCACAACGACGGCGCAGACATCAATCCCATTCTGTCCGTCGCAAAAGATATTATTCCCGGTGACTTTGCAAGCTACACCAAAGAATGGTTCAAACTCGCAAACGATACCAAGGCCCAAGCGCTTGATCCCGAGAATGCTCGTGACTCCGTCAATGTCAGGGCTACGTGGTTCTCAGTTGCCAATTACTTCCGAAGAGCCGATGTCTATAACCGAGCTGATTGGGATGACCCGAGAATTAATGAGTACTGGGACGAGCAGAGAGCAGCGTTCGATAAGGCCATCTCTGCCTTGCCTGTTCCTGCTGAAAGAATCGAGATACCAAGTGGCGATTTTAATGTTTCGGGAATTTGGTACTCGCAGCCTCATGCTGGCAATCATACCAAGAAGTCGCCAACAATCATTCTCACTCAAGGCTTTGATGCTGCCCAAGAGGATCTATACTCTACCATTGTCGTTCCTGCTTTGCACCGTGGCTATAACGTCTTCTCCTTCGAAGGCCCAGGCCAGCCAACTCCTCGCAGAGAACAGGGTGTAGGCTTCATCCCAGACTGGGAGCGAACTGCGACACCGGTTGTCGACTATCTTCTCACAAAGAAAGCTGCATTCGTAGATACCGACAAGCTCATCCTGTACGGCCATTCATTCGGTGGTTATCTAGCAGCTCGCGCAGCAGCTTTCGAGCCCCGTCTCAAAGCCCTCATGCTCAACGGCGGCGTTCTAGACGGCTACGACGCGTACGCCGCCTTCCTCCCTCCCAAGATCCTTGCCCTCCTCGAATCCGGTCAAAAAGAAGCCTTCGACAAAGCAATGGACGACGTACTCGCGGATCCTGAAGGCAGCACCGATCTCAAGTGGGGTATGCTCCAAGCCAAATGGGCCTTCAAAACCACCTCCATCTACGAGTTTTTCCAGCTGATCAAGGAGTACTCTCTGAAGGACGGTCTGCTGGACCGTATTCAGATACCTGTTTGGATTGCGGATGGAGAGTTTGAGACGCTTATGGCGGGACAGTCGCAGCGAGTCAAGGATGGGTTGGGGGATAGGGCCGAACTGCACTTTTTCAATGGAACGGCTGGATTCCATTGTCAGACCGGTGCGCCGCAGGAGATGGCAAGGGCTATGTTTGCTTGGTTGAATAAAACACTTGGCGCTTGAGATTTGTTCAGTCGTGGCCGAACGATTGATTGAAGGAGAATGTAATCTCTGCTTGCGTATATGCAGTTTGCATTGCCTCTGCATAAGGGCGATGGACTTGGGGGATCTTGGCGATTCATCGTCTTGGGATTCAAATTGTTGGTGATAAGAAATGGACTAGAGCATGTTTGCTCTGTTGGTGGCTTTGCCAAATCTTGGCATTGCGGTGTTGGTGATGACGGAAACATGGTTCTCAATTTAGAGCACGCTGTTTATATAGATAGTTTAGTTTTCAGATATGAGAAGGAATACATTGTTCTGATAGCATTGGTATCCATTCAAAATAGTAGTTTGACTCACAGTCAAGGAATTAGTCCTGCCGGGTTGTCCTTAAACTTTGACGCCGGTGCCTAGGTAACAGCGCTGTTGCGCCAGAGCAACTGGCTGCATTAAATGGCGTCTATCTCGACGCTCGGACATCATAGACTGTTGTTTGTCTCCAGATCCATCCTCTTAGACCCTGGAAATTCGTCCACACGACACCTTCAATCCCTGCAGCTATCAAACTGCATGAATCCTTTGTTGGTGACAACCATCAGCAAGTCATTCAAGTGACTCTGCAGCAGATCTTTCAATAAATTATCTCTGTTTTCCCGAAGAATATTGTTTGATCTGTTCCGACTGAGTTTTGTTTGTGTAGTATTCGGGACTGCTCATTATGAGAGTCGCAGTTATTGGTGGAGGTCCATCGGGCCTCGTGACACTGAAGTACCTATTGAGAGCACATTTGAACTTGGATTGCGAACCAATTGAGGCTCGGCTCTTTGAGCTTGATGACTCTGTTGGTGGTGCTTTCTCCACCAGAGTCTACGAGGACGCCGAGGTAGCGCAACCCAATCCCATCATTTGTTCAGGCTAACAAAGGCTGCCGATAGCTGGTGTCATCTAAGCAGCTAACAACCTTCTCCGACTTTCGCTGCAACAAGAAGACAGATTTCCTCAGTGGTACAGATTACGTCCAGTATCTCAAAGACTACTGCTCTCACTTCAACTTATGGCTTCACATGGACCTTGGTGTTGAAGTCCGCACTGTTCAAGGAACAGCTAGCAATGGCTACAGCATTGAGTGCGCAAGAAGAGATGGCGAAGCCTTCTACTGGGATTGCGATGCTGTGGCAGTATGCTCAGGACTACACAGAGAACCAAACCTTCCCGTCATGCCGGGTCTCCATCATATCCCGGAAGTTATTCACTCGTCGGAATTCAAGACCAAGAGTCAGTTTGGGGTCAACAAGACAGTTATGGTGATTGGATCAGGTGAGACAGGCGCTGATGTAGCGTATTTGGCTGTAAACTCGCCAACGAAGCAGGTTTTGATGTGCCATAAAGATGGCTTTCACTTCGCACCCAAGGTATGATACACAGCTGTCAATGCTACCAATTTCTAATGCGGGATGTTTTAGAGAAACCCAGGACCAATCCTTCTTCCAATCCTTGGTAGGAAGCCCGATCCAAATGAACCTGGTATTCCTATCGATGTGAGCCGAGCAAACCTATTCGACACGACTTACGTCCACCCGGTTCTTCGCAAAAGTATGATCTTGTGGGATTACTATAATTACTACATCAAATCTCTACTTTGGATCTGCTCTGGTACAACCTTTGGTATGGATCAATGGATTGGAGAAATTAGCAAAGCTCGACGTCATCCCTCGAAGAGTAAGTATCATCTCATCGCACGGGAGTTAATCGCTAAAGAGTGAAAGTCTTCTTTAATAAGTCGATGAAAGTGTGCCCTTACCTAAGCCTCCCGTATCGTCCCAGACAACCAAGTCCAAAGCTTTGGCTCTACGCTTTGAGGTCAGCCTTTGTGCAGACTCCGATTCCTGATACTCACGGAAGACAAGTCGACCTTGCACCTCTGCCTAAGATGATACGCAAAGATGGAACAGTTGAGTTTGTCGATAACGGACGACCAGAGTACGAGAGACTGAAGACGCAGACCATCCGACCAGACATGGTCGTCCTATGTACAGGATACAAACAGACCTTCCCGTTTCTTCGTACGCTGTACCAAGATGAGCAACGACATCCTTCATCTTTCGTGCGGGGCATTTGGGAACAAGGCCGACCAGAAGTCGGATTCATAGGTTTCATGAGACCTTCTCTAGGAGCTATCCCGCCTCTAGCTGAGATGCAGGCCCAGTTATGGGTTCTCAACTTAGTGTCACCGCACAAACTCTCCCTCCAACCTGAAGATGAAGAGCACTACAAACTTCACACGAAGCCAACTGCAAGAGTGACATATGGAGTCGACCACGAGAGTTATGCATATCAACTAGCCTTAGACATGAACTCAGCTCCCGGTTTGACAGACATGCTGAAACGAGCATCATCCACTGACCTCAGAACAACACTCCGCTTGTTAGTTATCTGGGCATTCGGTGCTCACTTCAACACAAAGTTCCGTCTCATTGGACCGTGGGCGTGGGAGGGTGCTGAGGATCTTTTGGTGTCGGATGAGTTTTGGCAGACTATCACGAGGAGACCGATGTTATTTGGCAAGTTCTAACATCTTGTCGTTGAGATTTACTGACAGGGGAGGTCATATTCTTGTCTCAATTGTCCCCATGGCGATTTTTGGGCCTTTGAGTATGTTGTTTTATGTGTTCTATCTTCTGGTCGGACTGTTCAACTGAGAAAGGCCGAGCTCCTAGTTGTGGAGAGGATGGCTTAGGCAGACATCGGTGCCTGGAAAGAGTGGACTTTGTTGGTTTTGAAAAGCCCCGGCCTTGTCGCATTGAAGACTCAGAACCAACAGATGTTTCAGCACAGGCCAATGCTTTGGATCTCTGTATCTGACTTTCATTTGAGTATCGAATCCTTTATGAATACAAATCACGAAGTGCGACAATTCTGGTTCCAGCTGAATGAATCTAGAACCTTTTGACATTATGGTAATAAGTCCTGAAAGGACGTTTATCTTATTGAGTTTGGAGTAGGAGGGCCAACCAGGTAACGTCAGTGCTTACAGGCTCCAACCTCTTAGTCTACGGGTCGTGGTCAAACTCAGACATGGCTGTTGGCTTTAGCAAACATATACAAGGACATGCCCGGAAGAATTCAATGGCCCACTCGATACATCAAACTATTATATAAGCGTTCGATCCTGCCTTTTCCTTGTACCAATCTAATCTCCTAAAAGTCCCTTTATCCTCATAATTGTCATCGTATAAAATCCTCTCGCTTGTTAAGCCCGACTCACAAACATGACTGGCCGCGGAAGAAGAGCCCCGATAAAACTACCTCCCTCAGACCCAACACTCAAAACTCGTCCAGTTCCAAGGGAGCGTCACTTCGACTTGCGCTCTTTCGGACCAGCTGCCTCCCCTGAAACCCAACAAAACTTTCATTCCATCGAAGAGTTAGAGAAGAAGCTTGAAGCCAGCAGTCTGAGTGAGGATGATGGGGAAGAAGCAGACGATACCAAGGAGCTCCTCGAACTGCTTATCAGCGAATGCGATGTGGATTGGCGTGAAGATGGTACTCCGCCAGAGGATTTAACATGGGGCCCTACTATTGTTGTCACAGCCTATTCGGAGACTGCTAAGAAGGACCTCGGTAAGGCTGTTGCGAGCTTGGTCGAAGCCATCCATCGTCACTTCCTTTGATGCCGCAAGACTGCACCGTTCTCAAAAGAGGCTTTCAAGCGTCTCAGACTCGACGTCATCGAGAATCAAGAGCTTTTGAGAAACGCCTCTGACGATCGTGTCAGAGAAGAGTTTAACTCTCACGTCCGTGCTCTCGGCCTGTTTCCTCAAAATGCAAAGCGGCGTAGAAGGTTCTCCTCGGATTGCCTCAACAGACCAGATGGTCCTCAACGTTATGGCTTCTGTATTGTATTGGACGATCAGATCATCAAGACACTTGCGGCACTTGTCTTTCCAGAAGATCTGAAGATAGATGAAGAGCTTTTGAAGGACGTTTTCGTTAAAGTGATCGATCGCAGCTGGACGTACCCGGAGGAAGATGATAACGAATATGGTCTGGGACCCGGAAGGAGAGTTTATGAGGGTAAGGACTTACTTATGTCCGATTCTTGATTTGCCTTTGATCTGTGCGAAGTGGTATGAGCATGCTGGTTTGGATGAGATGTGGCCTTTGGATGAATATCGTGAAAAGTGGTATTAAGCTGCGGTGTGTTTCAGTTCCAAAGCATGTCAAGATAGAGTCGATTACTACACATTTTGAATAGCACCTTGGCCGTAAATCTCATTGAGCTCTAGTTGGCATCAGGTTCACAGTCTGCGATTGCCAATGTGTTGTTGTTTTGTTCGTACACTTTGAAGGACCTGCTCGTTAAACAACTTAAACAGTCTATCTAAATTTCAAGCCTTAAGCTGTAAAACAGCGTCATGGTCAAAATGACGTCCTGATCTTCAATTCTTAGATCCTTTAGCAGTTGGGACCACGACCTGGAGACTGACATCCACATTCGTGTTTGCCTGGGTTGGGCATTGTTGGTGAGTAGTGGGCCTTGAATGGGAAATTGATTTATGGATAAGTAACTAGGCATCCACTGTAAGCGAAGCACTTGATAGTTGGAAGCCTGTGCCGCTATCCACAATGTTGGTTGACATGTTGCGCATATGCCATTTTGTGGTATGTGCTTTCTGAACATTCGGACCCGCCGCCAACAGTGAAAATTGTAAGCCTTGCCCATACTTTGTTTATAACCGTTCACTAAAGGTCAATCGATGGAAAGATTGAACCATTCCACTCTCGTTCTACTTAACGGCAATCTCAAGCACTGCAGGGCCTATTCAACATGTTTGTCAACTTGAAAAACATCCTTCCTTTCATGCTCGCCTCACCCGCGTGTCAAACATCTTACACTATCCAATACAGCGATACTTGCGATTTACAAATGATATCGCACAGGGTGTCTCCTCCCGGGTTGAGTCACCCAAAGCCATCGCCATCTTTGCTCAAACACGATGCGCTTGCCACAATAGTGTAAGTACATATTGCTCAAGACGCACAAGCAGACTGACTTACACAACACCACAGACCGGAGCATCTAGTACATGGGATAGAAGAGAGTGTCAAATCTCCCTCGACTGAACAGAGACTCAGAACCAGAACGTCGGCGAAGAGTTTAATAGCAATGAAATTACTCGTCAGTATAAGACGACCATAGCAGATCTGAAAAAGTGGAATCCGAGTCATTTTGATGCTTCGCCTTGCATCATCAAGAAGGAAATCAGTTACTGTGTTTATAATGAAGGTTAGTTGATTACCATAACCTAGTCAACACCATATTGACAATCCCCAGATTAATACTGATCGACGACCACTTTCACCACCTACCGCGGCCCCCAACAATAACGCAGTGCAGATTGCAGATACCCCTTGATGGGGGCCAAATGGATGGAGGGGTCATAGTGGTTAGATGCGACGTTAGCCTGGGTTACTCTTAACCGTAATTGGGTTCTTTTGGTGGTAATGTCATCTGTCAAGTAAAAGATTTTAATCCAAAATAGAGAAGGCTTCGTAGTCTATGGAAGGCCAGACAGCTGTGCCTTATCCTCTCTGAATCCTCTGAATCTCCTCATCTCGTACTCCTTTGTATGTTTCTTGTATAAGGAAATCTCAAGCATTGAAGCAAGACATTACTTGACGTATTGGGAAATTGATTACGCTGACGCCTAATAAAGCCTCTTATGGTATTGGGACAATGGAAACATCTCATGAAGGCCACAATAATCATACAATTGCCCGCAGATCCAGGGCAAATCGTATACAGGACAGGTGGCTTTCCCGTCATAGTACCTTTTGTTGGGTCCACGGCCATAAACCAACTCATGGTCCGCCTCCTCGGGATAATACCAACAGCGTTCGATGACCTTGACAGAGACAGCCCTCAATACCGAAGCATTCTCTTCCTCCTTGTCAGAGAATACGAGTAGCGCTAGCTCCTCGATGGTCCTCTCGCCCATTGCAATGCAAAAGTCATAGCGCCTTGGCCCAATCGGTCGGTTGAGGTTATGCTCTAGCATTTCAGCACGGCGAATTTCGTCCTCCAAGTCTTCTCTAAATAGCCGCAGAGATCGGACATGCGCATTAAATTCTTCTCTGATTCTGTCGTCCGATGCATTTTCTAACAGGTCTTTATCATCAATTACGTCAAACCTAAGCCGCTTGAAGGTTTCTTGCGCATATGCCTCGAAGCGAGGATCCTTGAAGAGAAAGCGACAACAGGCCTCCACAAGGTTCAATAGGGCCTGGTCAAGGTTTTTTAGGGCGTTTTCGGAGTAGGCTGTGACCATGAAAGTAGGCCCCCAGGTCGGGTCAAGGATCTCATCGCGAGACCTATCCTCCCGCCAATCTATGTCATGTTCGCTCGTGAGAAGCTTGAGAAGCAGTCTGATATCCTCCTCTTCGTAAAGCTTGGGGTTCAGTCCGGTGTCGTTAGCTTGTTGCTTCACCTCTTCTAATGATTGGAACTGTTCTCGGGCTCCAGGCGCAGAGCCTGGACCAATTGATCGCACAGAGTAGTGGCGCTCTCGAGGCACCGGCCGAGTCTCGAGGGTCGGATCGGGACGAGGTAGGATAATGGGCGCCGCCCTTCCACGACCAGTCATTTTGTTAGATTGAAGAGATGATTGAGATAAAAATCGGCTGCGAGTAAAGGTTGGTGTGAACTCGTAGAAATGATGGGTTTGGGGTTGTACGAGACACGCAGGCACACCGCTTATAACGCAAGTTCCAGTTTCCGTATTGCCTGAGGCATTATTGTCGATAGGTCAATTTCCCATGGTCGTTCGTTGGCTCGTGCTGGTTGTGTTGGTTGGAACCAACATCTTTAATAATGTGTTTGAGCTAGATAGCGATACCCCATGATGGATGCTACTTAGCCAATTAGAGTGTAAGAGTTCGCTCGCTTTGGCATTTCCTGAATCATGGCAGTGATTTAGCCAGCACCGCAAGAAAGAGGTACTGGCTGAGCTTTTAATGGCATCCTCTTACGATTCCGAGATATAGTCCTACGATTTTATCGGAGAATGTCATTGTCCCGGGTGTGAAAGACGTGACTAGCCTCGTTGCTAATGCCGCTCATACACTAAATTAGATCTATAGCAACGGAATTGACGGCTCAACGTAGGTGGTTTGACTTGACTTTCCAAGACGTGGATGGTCCCGAGGGCTCGGGAACCTGGTTAAGCCCAATTCGGTCGGTCATGAGGGGGATGACAAATTATCGACGACAGTGACGTCAAGCATTGGATTGGACAAATTTGTCAGCATCAATGGACTACAAGAGGTTACTATCGCGAAGTGACGGATCTTAGGATTGAATCTAGAACTCAATAACCCTATCATAACCATCTTTCAATGGCCCAATCAAACAGCGACTCTATCCGACCTTTCAAGGTTTCTATCAATCAATCTGACCTTGATTACTTGCAAACCCGCCTTGATATGACAAGATGGCCGGAGAAGGAGCTCGTTAATGACTGGTCTCAAGGTGTTCCGCTTGCAGCAATCAAAGACCTTTACACGTACTGGAAATCAGAATACGATTGGCGGCGCTGCGAAACGTGGCTTAATTCTTATCCCCAATTTACGACAACCATAGATGGAGTGGAAATCTACTTCCTGCATATCCGGTCGAAGCTTGAGAAAGCCACACCACTTTTGCTGACTCACGGTTGGCCTGGGTCGGTTTTGGAGTTTAGGAATGTCATTGATAAGCTCAACAACCCTGAAGATTCTGGAGACGCATTTCATCTGGTTATTCCGGCATTGCCAGGCTATGGATTCTCGGGGAAACCAAACGAGACTGGCTGGGGCCATGAGCGTACGGCGCAAGCCTGGGCAGAGTTGATGAGGCGGCTGGGCTACGATGAGACTGGATGGGTAGCTCAAGGTGGGGATTGGGGTGCTTTCGTGGTTGCGAGCCTCGGTCATCAAGCTCCGAAAGGCTTGATGGCTGTCCATTTTAATTCCATCTACTTCGAGAACAAGGCAGGTTTCACAGTCATCCGTCTGCAGGAAGTTCGCTGACCTTTTCACAGAAGGAAATTCAAATATCGATTCAGGATACACAGGCTGAACAAAAGGCAATGCGTTTAGACAAGTTCAGAGACACTGGTTTCAAAGGCTATTCTCTCGAACAAGCCACGAAGCCCCAAACTATCGGGTACGCCCTCGCAGACTCTCCCGTTGCCCAAGCATCCTGGATCTACGAAAAGTACCACGACTGGACCGATCACGATGGTGACGTAGAAGCGCTATTCAGCAAAGATGAAATGCTCGACACAATCATGTTATACTGGCTCTCGAACTCTGGGGCTTCATCTGCTCGATATTACTGGGAATGCGCTTCTGCCGCGACAGCATGGAAGATTGATCTTCCGGTTGGGGTGAGTTGGTTCAACGGTGACAATAGTTATGCGCCAAGGGAGTGGTGTGAGAGGTACTATAAGAATATTATGCATTGGAATGAGTTGGAGAGGGGCGGTCACTTTGCTGCTTGGGAACAGCCAGAGGCTTTTGTGAAGGAGATAAGGGCCTGGCACAAGAAGGTGAAGGACATCACTCCGTAAGACACGATCCTGCGCCAAAGAATAGAAAGTGTATTCTATCGATCCAATTTGAAGCCAGCAAATGCCGAGACTCTAAGCGCAGATCAGGCTAAATTAAACAGCTTCCTGAAATGCGTTAGCTCGCCGATTCGGTCTATCTCTTACCGAGGCCACAAGCCCATATTACCCCAGGTTTCGGCATTGGCCTATCTCATCCTGTCAATCCCTTCTGTCGTACTTTCAAAATGAAGGCAACCGATTTTCTTCCTCTCTTAGGCTTGCTACCATGTCTGAACGCAGCACCACCGCCCAAGCATGGCTTTGACTTATCCAAGATCACCAAGATTGTATCCTTGTCAGTCATCCCTTCCCTCTTCCGAGTTCGATCTGACTATTTCCCAGCGGCGATTCGTGGACAGATACTCGTTTCGACGTTTTGGGCCAGCAGCCTTCTCTGTCGAACCCAATTGGGAATACGGGAAAGACCAGTTCCAATGGTAAAATGTGGCCTGAGTACTTGACAACACAGTACAACAAGTCTTCAATTCTACTCTACAACATGGCTGTAGGAGGTGCAGTTGTCGATAGAGACATTGTGACGACTGGCCCGAACGACGTCGATACTCAAGTGCATGACAAATTCCAGGTCTACGCGAAACAGCAGCCTGGGTTCTTTCCACCCAAGGAAACACTTTGGACTATGTTCATAGGTATTAACGATATCTACCGAACAATCACCAATGAAGACCAAGAGGACACGATCGTTGCAACGATTGAGCGCATTCGCGAAATTACTCTGGATCTCTACAGCTACGGCGCTAGACAATTCCTTTTCATCTCGACGCCTCCGCAGTCTGTTTTCCCGAACAATAGGCCCAAGGACATTGCTCCGAAGTTGATAGCTGCAAGTCAAAGTTGGAACAAGAAGCTGACGAAGCTTTTGCATCAATTGCGTCACGATCTGAAGCACAGTACCTTTTTCCTATTTGGCATTGTTCCGCTCATTAAGGCGGTTACGGAGGATCCTTCACAGTTTCCTGAAACGGCTGTCTATAAGAGCAATGCATTTTGTGCGGATTATAAGGCGTAGGTTGAGCATGGGTCTGTCTAGGTTATTTATACTAACGCTATCGCAGGGGAACTTCCGTGCCGGACTTCAAATCGGCAAACTGTGAATACAATGCTTTGGAGTATATGTATATTGATGGGGCGCATCCTACGCAGCCATTTCATCAGATCTTGGCTAAGAAGATTTCTGAGCAGCTGACTGCACGAAAGTCCATCGGTTGAGTCCAGAAAGATTCTTGAAACGGCACGTGAAGTTCAAAGACTGGTATTTGTTGTGCGATAGACTTTGATTGCTGGAACTGAGAAGAGGAGTTAATCAACCAATATTGGATTACTTGGTAACTCTATTTGTAATTGACTAGTTGTCCGAGTACTTGTTAATAAAATGGACAATGAGGCTCCTCGCCTCAGCACCTTCAGGTGTTGGAAGAATAGCGTATACATGAATCATATCCTCCTTCTCAACATAAAGCAATCGATCTGTCTCCGCACTCCCCTCTGAAGCTACCTCAGCATCACCTCCACTGAACTTGGACTTCAAACGTCTCGCGTCGGCGCAAAGCATATCAGTAGTCCCAGAAAGTAAGATTGTTGGTGGCAGATTCTCCACACTACCATACAGAGGACTGACAATAGAATCTTTCACGGGACGATCTACTGCCAATTTCGGCGTGATGACCTCGCTTATTCCAGCGATGCCAAGCCAAGGATCTATCTCTGATAGTCGCACAACTTCGGGATGATCAAGCGCGAGATCCACAACCGGTGAGATTAAGACCAGAGATGTAAGCTTGGTGAATAGCTCAGGCTGCGTATCTCGTAGTTGCTGAGCAGTCGCGAGAGCCAGCATACCACCAGCAGAATCTCCACCAATACTCACAACTCTCTGCTTACTCAAACGACAAATATCCATCAACCCAGCCGCAAGTTTCTCGGCAGTAGCTCCCGGTCTCGGAACAAGTGGATAAATAGGAACTAGAACATCGAGATTCGTCTCGCGAGCTATCTGCGCGACAAGATTCCAGTGCTGGGGTACAATCTCTCGGAAGAAAGCGCCGCCATGGATGTAGAGAAGAGCATCGCGTGGTGCTGAGGGAGATTGCGAGGATACTTTATACAAGGGCCATTCATTCACGTCGACGCGGTCAATGATGATATCAGACCCGAGGTTGGTGGGAGGATTGAAGTTTTGTGGTCGGATGTAGCCATCTTGAAGGGCTTTGCGGGTGTTCTCTGGATCGTCGAATATAACTTTGGATTGACGGATCCATTTAATGTAGAGCGCAAGTAAAGAAGCTGACCAAGAAGGCATTTTGAGAGTGTCAAAGTATGGAAGAATGAATTGAATGAGGGCCCGAGTCAATGTGAGTGGTGAGTAATTTGAACCTCGGCACAGTCAAAGTTAGAATCCAATTGGCTATATCTTGTTTGGAGTAGTACAGTCAAGCCACATCCGGGTACACATGAGGAGGCCAGATCGGTTACAAGATAATCCGAGAGCATCGTGAAGCCTGACAGAAATGGTTGGTGGAAGTCTTGCATCAGACGCGTCCCTTGAATTATGTCACCCTTGCGCCCCCGCCATCGAGCCATCGCGTTGATCAGAAGCGTCAAGAAGAATGGAGGTTATAGCACACCACCTCACTGTCAGAATAATCACAGCCTCTTGATGAGACACATACTCAAGAAAAAAAGCCTTGAGGTTCTTAGAGTGAGCATCAAAAAGAAAGGATAGAAGGGAATCGAGCACTCGACTTTTGCCCCTGATATTGATGCAAGGGTCTCCTGAGACTAGGATGAAAGCAGATAGCTCTTCGCTGAGTGATGTCATTCAAGTGCCGAGGCAATTTCTCAAGGCGGACTAGCCTATCATCCGCCCCAACAATGCTAAGATTCAGGGTAAGTTGACTCAAGTCGAGATTACAATTTATGCATACCTTCAAGAGCTGGAGGATGAGTAGGTCGTCAAATAGGTGATTTCTTTATTCTTTTATCACTTATATTGGGGGTTTGCTTCTATATGCTGTCATTTACCTGGAATCAACAGTTTCTGTTGGCGTCTGAACACTAATTCACCGTACTGTGAAGGATAGCCCATGGGGAAACAGTTACCTCGAATTTGGGCTTCTCTATTTTGAACATCTCTCCCTCCCGATGAACAATGCGCAAATTAATACGACAAACAGTTTACTCCTGTATTATCCATCTCGACACTCGTCACGAGAAGCGAATGCCGTCTAACATGACGACCAGTCCAATATGTTACGTTACAACCGCCATTGGCTAATCTTGGAGCTTCGTACAAAGTAAATTGCAAAAGTAGTGATCTGCTTCAATTCATGCAGGGAGATCAACCGGTCGAGATACGAATAGCTCTCAATGGCTGGCTGTGTCATTCGCGTGCCTGTGCGTTCCGATCTTCCGAAGTTTCTGCGTGACATCATAGAATTCATCTAGAATTCGAGGACCGGGAGTCTACTCCACCCAAGTCACCGCTTTTCCTGTCCCAGTCAGGTTAATCTACCTAATGAAGCTATTTTTATCACACGACTCGATAAGGGTCCAATCCAGACCCTTCTAGACATGGAAAAATTACAGAAATGCGCTGCTTCTTGAATAGCAACTCTGCAGTAGAGGAATTGATGTCTGCTTTGGGACCATCGCCAGAGACAATGTTCCAGGACTCGCCTCCCTACGCAGCCGAGTTCCGTTCGGCAGTCCAGAATACGAGGTCTGGGCATTGTGACCGTAACGCTTGGTTGTTTTTCCCCACAAACGCTCAGTGGATCGTCATGGGATCGGCAGTGGGCTCGTGTTGTTGAATGCGACGGTATTATTTCAGGTACAAAAGGGCCATGAGATCCTCTACATCAAAGGATCATTATACTATTCATCTCATCAACTACATTCCACTCTCATCAACAACACCACCACCAACAACAACACCGCAAACATGAAGTTCTCTGCCGCCGCTATCGTCGCTGCCGCCGCTGCTGGCGTCAACGCTTCCGCCGCCTTTGAGGTCAAGGACTTCTCTGCCAGCTGCATTCCTCACAGCACCTTCTGCAAGTATGTCTCCTCCAATCCAGCCTCCTCATTCACCTCTAACTAACACCCTCAGCTACTCCTTCAAGGTTATCCAGCCCAACTCCATGGAGACCTGGGAGAACGCCGTCAAGTGCAAGACCCAAGTCCAGTCCACCAACTACCTCCTCCCCGACGTCTACAACGCCAAGTGCGAGGGTTCTTCCCGCACCTTCGACATCAACCACACCAAGAAGGGTCTTGTCTTCACCGTCAAGCAGCAGATCACCCCCAAGAGCTTCACCACCGGCCGCCACACAATCCCCAACAAGCAGCTTACTCAGGCTACTACCCCCAACGCTGAGATCCAGTCTTACAAGGGACCTAAGGAGTTCGAGCTTACCCAGATTAACTAAGCTGGTTCATTGAGTTCAGTGTGTTGATGCAGGCGTGGTTTTTGTATTCTATTTAGACTATTGGACATTATTTACAAGTAAATATTGAAACATTGTGCAGATTTGCACGTACACATCTAGACTCTGCAGAGTTGTCCGTTTTGAGTAGGCAATCCATCAACTTGACCAGTGACATACCACCTCTCACTACCCACACCTTGAAGCGCGTAGAACAATCCCGAAGGATCAACCTTATCCTTAATCTTGAGTAGCCTCTTATACTTGTCAGCACCATAAAATGACTGCTGAAAGTTGGGCTCCGTGACATCAGCCTCAGAAGCATACGCGCCGCCACCGGGAGTGATGTCCCTCCAAGGCTTCATCCAGTCATTCGTCAAAGTCTTGCTCCTCTCGGCGATAACTTCCGCAGAGCTTCCCTCTGGAAATCCGACGGCGGAGATGGCCCACATTGCTGCGTCGCGCCAGGCTGGGTTGACGGCGTTGTCGGGGTGAGGTCCTGGACCACCCGTGATGCCAAAGCCGATGATGCTTCCGCCTTTGTCGGAGAGACTCTTCAACGCGGCAAAGGTCTTGTTGAACATGGCTGGATCCTCAAAATTTGCACTGAAAATGGTTAGCCAGATCTTTTACAATTTGGGCAAGAAATGCTTACCTTGGGATCAGACGACCAGCTGTTTTCGTACTGGACCTGCCAACAGCCTCACGTGCAAAGCCCGCCGACCAAGCACCAAGAAAACTATCATGCTCCGACTCCGTAACTTGAGGCTCGATGCCGAGCTCCTTCCAAGCCTTGAACAGAGGGCCAGTGAGAGTCTTTAACTCGGCAAGAGTATGGTTGGGTGCAAACCAAGGAAACATGAGAAACATCAAAGCATCGCCCTCACCACGCATAACTCCCCAATACTCATAGTTGCCAGCCTTATTGTACGTTGGAATACGTTGCCAGAATTCGCGAATAGCTTTCCAGAATGTTTCATGGGAGACCGTCTCGCTTGTCCCGAAGGCAAAGTTCATGACGGCGGCTTTGATCTTGGGGAAGGCTTTGACGGTATACGATGTTACTACACCAAAAGTGCTTCCACCGCCGCCACGGAGGGCCCAGAACAGATCGGTGTTTTGAGTTTCATCTGCGGTGATAAAGCGACCGTCTGCTGTGACGACTTGGATGCTGAGGACCTAAAGGAAATCAGTATGCCGTTGGATCAAGTGATGACTGGCGACCTTACCTGATCAGCTCCCATACCATAGATAGGAGACAAAGGCGAGTGTCCACCACCAGCCAAGTATCCACCAGCGTAACCCACGCTCATACCCTCACCACCAACAACAGTAACATCATGCTTATCCGCTTCCTCATAAAGCTCAGATCCAATAACACCAGCCGCAACCTTCAACGCAGGGCCACTGTAAGACTTGGTCTTGTAGTTTTTGAGGAACTGGATACTCTTGAAGCGTTGCATCCACAGACCCAAAGCACCAGCTCCAGCTGAACGACCATTGAAGTCGTGTCCAGTGTTCTTGATAACTAGACGAAGGTTGAGAGAGCGTGCCAGGTTGACGGCGAGTTGGATGTGGGCGACGTTGTGTACGTCAAGCACGTATGAAGGGTAGCCGCCTAGAGTGCACTCTGTGGTGATGTTGTTGATGGGCATGCATGTGCGACCTTGGTAAATTGGCCACATGACAGAGCTTGGATCAGCGATGCTGACATATGTTAGTATTTGAAATAATCATGGATGTCGGGTTGACTTACTGCAGGGAAGAATTGGTCCATTGATCGGCAATGTGGCTACAACGAGCTTCATTATACACGCCGTAGTCATCGTAGCATGCTGCACCAATGGGAACAGTCTTGATCAGAGCGCCTCCAGTGATGAGATCAAGTAGCTTCCAGACGGGCTGACTAGGCCAAAGCTTATCCCCAGGGAATGTCTTGCATTTCTTCGAAGCAAGGGCCTTGGCACTTCGTTTGTCCAGTTTGTCGTCTGGGAAGAATAACGACGCATGCTTGGGGTCAGCCTGGTCGAGCTCGGACAGTGAAGACGTTGTGAGTTGGAACTTCTCTTCAGCTAGAAGATCCCCCTTTACAGTCTCTCCGATTTCAGATGGAGCTGCATTAACAGCGCCATGCTGTGTGGCAAGAAAGGCCAACAGCCCGGCAAGAACACGAGGGGCGATCTGCATGATGTCGCTGCCTTGGGAAGGAAGATAAAAAAAGAAGACAAAGATGCAAGTGACCACACGAAACAGTGATTGATTCAGCTGCGTCGTGTCTGTACATATATGTATTTCGTGCATGTAGGAGTAACCAGCATGCATACTCAATCACTGGACCGAGTTATCTCGCTTCTGCATCTTCGTAACATATCCTCAAGGGTTTCGACCAACGTCTACTACCCAAACAACTTTGCCTCAATTCTGCATCGGTATGTCTTCCAGATTTGCGTTGGTTGGTAGTTACCCCTGCACCTTGCAGATTACAAGGGTCCTGCGTCGGCTCGACGGGTGAGGATCCGGTCCATGCCTATCTTCCCCATGCGGATCATTGATTCGCAACCGAGTGTAACGTTTTGGAGAAGACAGGGAATAGTGGCATTTGATTCGATGGTCTGGACTTGATGTGCCAAGATGGAGGATTTTATCCGTTTGGTGGGTTGTATGTGAGGTCGGAACCGCAGACTAGGTATACAAAGGACTATTAACTGACATGGATCTTCCGGATATATTCAGTAAAAGCTTGACAGGTAGTAGGCTAGAAGGTTTAAGGAGCGGGATATTTTGCTGTATGCACGATTGGATTTAAGCGTGGGCTATCTAGGTAATTCTTAATTTATAGTCCCAAACGGTTGAGTTAGAGAATTCATGTATGGAGCCACATAAGCGTAAATGAGTCGTTAAGCCATCTCGATGAAAGGAGCAAGGCAAAGAATTCTCTCGGAACAATTGCCATCTTCCACGGATGCAACAGTCTGTTGGTTGACACCTGCAGCCAACAATCTCGGAGAATAATCCCAGGCACGGTATTCTTGGCAACCTAAAGTAATCATGATCTGATGAAATTGGTCGCAAACCCAGACCCCGGGTAATAGTAAAACGCCACCGTTCCTACTGTAATTTGCAAGAAGCATGCTGGATTGCGGCTAGGTAGTCTCAGTATGTCGACTCTATGTTAGGAGGTCTATTAAATGTGCCCGTAGTTGCAGCCTCGTAGAATGAAGATGTCCTCTTTCCTTTTTGCGTCTCTGGAAGTAAAATCCTGCTCGCAAAAATGGCGACGAGTGAAAGCCTTCGGGCGCGTTATGTGCCTGTTTCAGAATTGCCCACAACACCGCTGCAGCAAGGCGCCATCGCTATCATATTCCTCATGACCGCTCTATCGGTTTTGATATGGGCGCTCCGGTTTTATTACAGGTTTAGTAAAAAGCAAATCGGTCTTGGTAAGTTTCCCACCAGATGCCATCGTATGTTTTGCTGACTTACTGTAGATGATTGGCTTGTTACTCTTGCCATGGTAGGCTCAACCCTGTGTCTGGGCATGAACAGCTGCTAATTGACGCAGTTATTCTCCGTCGGTCTGGTAATACCGAACTATTACTGTAAGCTACCCAAGATAACACTCGAAAACGCGTCACTTACGCAGGATGACAGTCTTCAAATACGGCTACATCGGCTTCCCCGCAACCTACATCCCTCAAACCATCGAGATCGAACCTGTCCTCTTCTACAATTGGATCATGCAGGTCCTCTACAACCCGATCCTCGCCCTTGTTAAATCATCCATCTTGTTCTTCCTCCTACGTCTCGGCGGCCATCGAAGAAGTATTAGATACTCCATATACGCCTTGAACGCTTTCAACATCGCCTTGATGATTGCAATATTTTTGACAGTCATCTTTCAGACTATTCCTATCCAGGCTTACTGGGATCTGACGTTAGAACCAACCCGTCAGATTAACGGGGCTAACTTCTACATATCGACCGCCATCATTACTATCGTTACCGACTTTCTGGTTTTGTTGATTCCGTTTTGGGTGTTTATAGGGTTGAAAATGAGGATGGCTGCCAAGGTGGGCTTGATTGTGGTGTTTCTCGCTGGTGGACTGTAAGTAATCGGACTGCACTTGTCTCGAAACTGCTGACATTATCCAGGGTCACCATTGTTGGCATACTTCGCGTTATCGAGCTATACAAGATGTACTACAAGCCAGGATATAATTCTCGAGAGTCGTTATCCGGTACTCTGAGCAGCATCGAAGTCAACCTCGCCATAATTGCCTGTTGCGGACCTGCTCTTCGCCCACTCTTTCGAAAGATGTTTCCTCGGCTGTTTTCAGGACGAACTACGAACGAAGCTGGTATCTACAAAAGCCAAAGTAAATATGGCAATGGTACGGGTGGAGTTGGCTCGTTTCACCTCAAGGATATGTCCAGAACTAGAACACAGACCGAAATACGTGGATATACGCCGAATGGAAGTGAGGAAGAAATCATGACATATAATGGTATCCTAAGGACCACCGCTGTAAGTTGCTGCCCACCGGGTCTTGGATTTATTCCGAATTACTGACTGTCGATAGGTCGATATCAAATACGATGATGCGGTTTCAACTGATAGAAGCATGCGGGAAGACGGCAGCGGGAAATAAAACGGGATGGGTTGATTCATTCTTGCAATTGTACCAGGCTTCTAAACCTCTTAATGAACAAACTGATGGCTTCTCAAGCAGACCTCCTGTGTAAAATCATCCATCTTTCAGCAAAGCTGACTGCTTCCCTCAAAGAAAATAGATAACATTTTGCAGCCCCAATGTTTCCCTCGACCACGTTCCCCTCTTTCAAAAAGTCACTTCCCAAGTCCGTGAAGCCCTCATCGTTAACCGCAACATCAGAAACTGTAGTCCACTTTCTGGCCCCATCAATCAAAGCCGCGAACGAATTATCAGCCTTCGGCGCCCCAGTTCTGTACTCAGCAAGATGAAAACAAGTGCATTTATCAAATCCCACACCAATAAGCAGCACCTTTGCAACAAGTTCTTTCAATCGTGCAAGAGGACTGTTGTCACCAAACATACAATCCAAAGCATGTCCTTCTGTAATAAAACCTGCTTTCGCACCAATCGCACTGAAAGATGTCTGAGGATGCATGCTTCTCATGGCACCAGGCCAAGTCCTAACCGTTTCCGCCAAAACACCCATCCTTTGCGTTCGGCTAGTTTGCCGCTCAAACGCAGGCATCGTATCGCGGATGGTTTGCCACCAGTCTTCAGGAACAGGAGGGTCGACCCATGCTGATGGATCTGAGTTGCTGCTTGTTTGTGTGGGGACGACTAATGTTCCTTCGGAGGTCAGGACTTCGAGGAGGGAATGTGTGAGGGTTTCAGCTCCTCCGTTTATCCAGCCGATGTTGCTGAGCGAGCAGTGAACAAGGACGTTATCTCCGGGGTTGAGACCTATTGTGCGAAGGTCATTGGTAAGGGATAATTTCGTGCATAGTGGTCCTTTTAGAGGTTCAGGTGTCATGATGGGTATTGGGGTTCGTGTATGTCCTGGGTCAAATAGTCAAGACAGTATCGAGATCGTTGGCCATTAAAGCTTTTATACCATGGCTTCTGGTTACGGCAATTGTGCGCTAAACTGTTTGTGATCTGGTATTATTTACCCAACCAAATTGTTCACCGACTGACTCATCGTACAACCATAAAGGAAGTTCGTAAATGCAAGGCCCGTCAAATGCAAGAACTCTGTGTGTTCATGCACGCGCAGTTGTACGTAGGGGCTATTCACAAAAGAACCCTTCCCTGAGATAAAATGAAGAGGCTTTTTGCATTATTATCACTACAACGAGAATACCCTCATAGAATTATCACCATTTCTTCCGTCGAAGCGTATACACGCGGCGTATGCATACACAAATATTGAGGAGGCCCCCGAGGTAGCACGAACGGTCATCGATGCAATTGTTATCCGTTGCACACGGAAATTCAGGCCGGACGGCAGCACTCGTGGTAATCTCGCCAACAAGGGAAGTGGTGGTATTTTCCAGAAACGAGCCCAGTTGTGCAGGCAATTAAAGTCGTCAAGTAGTGAAAACAACCAATCTTGCTGATCGATGGCTACCTAGGTATTGGATGGAAAGATAACCTAGGCAGCGAGCGCAGTGTATTAATAATGTCGTTATCTCTCCCCACTAATCCACCATTTTCAGAAGGTCATCCCGCTATATCCATGACGCTTGTGGAGATTGCGCCATCCATGCTTATCCCCAGATTCTCCCCCATCTTCCCTCTTTATTCATTCAACAAGACACAAAAGACATTTACGGTGCTAAAACACGTGCAATGTCTTCCAGAGTCGACCCTGAAGCTCACGTTAGGAGCGATGAGCAAACGCCGCTGCTCGCAGATCAACACCCGGATACGGACCATCCCGAGACCGAGCCGACACCGGAGAAAAGACCGACGAGTTGGTATGCCTGGAGAATCTTCTGGGCCGTCCTTGCGATAGTTGTTCTAGCAGTTTTTATTAAGGGATGGATTGATTCAGATGAAACGGAGGTACGTGAACTTTCTTGAGAGTGAGATTGTTACTGATGGGTGTAGTTTGATCTTAAAAAAGCTCTGAAGCGGGCGCTGGGTGGAGGACTCAGTGGTGCTGCGGCTATGTTATTGCAGGTGTTGCTTCTCATGGTAAGACGACATGTGAACAGGGACTCATGCGTTGCTGACGATTGCATAGCCTCTGAGGACAATCATGAACTATCAATATCGACATGGGACATCATTTACTGTCGCCACCAAGACTCTGTACACTGAAGGAGGCGTGAGGCGGTATTATCAAGGCATTGCGCCTGCGCTATTCCAAGGTAAGCCTCACAGTTCGATTCATGAAATGGTATTAAATTTGACTGTTTCATAGGCCCCATCTCGAGATTCGGAGACACAGCAGCCAACGCTGGCATACTCGCCCTTCTACAGTCGAATCCTTATCTGAAAGATCTTCCTTCACCTATCAAGACCATTTTTGCATCGCTGTGGTAAGCCAAAACCACCTACATCCCTACAGAAAAGACCCATGCTGACCACCTCTGTAGTGCCGCCGCTTTCCGCATGATTCTAACTCCAATCGACACCCTGAAAACAACCCTCCAAGCCCAAGGCGCCAGAGGAACAGCTCTTCTCCGGAGGCGTATCAAGTCCAATGGTATTGGTAGTTTGTGGTGGGGTGCTTTTGCCACGGCTGCTGCGACCTTTGTTGGACATTATCCTTGGTTTGCCACGGTGAGTCTTTCTGCTCAACTAACCGAACCAATACTGACTTTTGGTAGTACAACTTCTTGACCGAGGCCATCGCTGAGCCGCCCAAACATCCTCTCGTGTGGTGGTTACTCCGCCTCGCATTCATCGGATTCTGCGCCTCGGTCGTATCAGACTCCATCTCTAACTCGCTGAGGGTTGTTAAGACTTATCGTCAAGTCAACGATACCAAGATCTCATACTGTAAGCCCTCCAGCGCCTTTAGACTTCTATATCTTACTGAATGATTTCTAGCCGAAGCTGCCCGTGCTGTGGTCGCAGAAGAAGGCGTACTTGGACTTCTAGGGCGTGGACTGAAGACTCGCATCCTGGCCAATGGTTTACAGGGAATTCTATTCTCTATTCTTTGGAAACTATTCCTTGATCTGTAAGTCACGATCTTGTGATTGGGAATAAGTGCTAACGGCTGTCAGGTGGGAAAAGAGGACCTAAGTCTTGACCGAAGACCAGAGAGTAAGTATCTACGCGGAACCAGCATTCAACCAGATAAGGCATAGATTCATGACACTTGGCTTTTATATAGCGGGGGGTGGTGGTTGTTGAAGTCTTGGAAGAGAGTCGTGGTCATGGCGGGTTGCGACTGTGCAATTCAGAGCACCATAGATCAAAAAAAGACAATAAGCCAAAAAGTAATCCGACGCTCTGGAGCGACTTGTTGTAATGCGTAATCTGGGAATCGAACCCAGGGCTCCCCGATGGCAACGGAGAATTTTACCACTAAACCAATTACGCGGTTACTCTTTGTTGAAGACTTGGCTTGGTAATTAGTCCGATGTTCTTAGATTTCGCTACTCCACTGGGCTAGGACCGACACATTCACGACGCCTTGCCGTTCTTTGGCCAACTGTCACCACGCAAAGAAGCTATAAAGCGTAGAAGCCACAGAAGTCCATCTGACCAAATGCCGTGGTCGACATTGGTTGCCATTCAATGGTATCGAAGTCTCCGTAGCTTGGTGCGGAACTGCCGGGCAGGCTTCGGAACGGCGGAAAGTGGGTCCAATTCCGCTCACGAGTCCGATTGCCGTCTCGAGACACGATAAGTAAGGACAAAGATAACAATAATACCAGCTTCCTATCTAGTCTCATCATACTCACTGCAAAAATTACACAGAAAAAACTAAGCTTTTAATCTAATCAACCAAAATGTCTCCCGAACCACTCCAAAACGTCCGCCCCATGTTCGAGCTCACGGGCCGCAACTACATCGTTACAGGTGGTGCCCAAGGCATTGGCTTCGCCTGCACACGCGCCATCTGTGAAATGGGCGGTAACGTAGCCGTTTTAGATATCCAAGACAAACCTGTTCCTGAGTTCGATACACTTGCGGAGAAGTTCTCTGCAAAGACAGTGTATATCCAGACGGATGTTACTTCAGAGCAGAGCATCAATGCTGCGTTTGATAAGATATTGAAAGAGTTTGGAGAAATCCATGGTGTTGTTCCTGCGGCTGGTATTGCCATCGATAAGCCATTTTTGGATCAGACGTGGCATGAGTTTACAAGAATTCAAGAGATCAATGTGAGTTTTTTGAGTGCCCGGGTATGAATGGATGTTAACGGTTGCAGGTCCGAGGAACATTCTTCGTAGTCCAAAAAGCCGCACGTCAAATAATCAAGCAGAACACTCCTGGAAGCATTGTCATGCTCGCTTCGCAATCTGCCCACATCTGTCTCCCCGGCTATCGAATGGCCGCCTACAACGCATCCAAAGGCGGTATTCTCATGCTATCAAAAGCGCTTGCCGTTGAACTCGCGCCTAAAGGTATCCGCGTGAATACCATCTCACCTGGCTTTGTAGACTCAGACATGACGCGGAATGTTCGTGAGCATAAGAGTAAGAGAGAGGGTGAGCAGATGTGGTTGGCGCCGCCGAATCAGAGACTGAGTACGCAGAATGATCTTACGGGGGCTGTTGTCTATTTATTGAGTGATGCGGCGAAACATACTACTGCGGCAGATATCCAGATTACGGGAGGGTTGCATGCGGGAACTGTTGATGGGTTGATTAGTTACGACAATTAGATATATCAGGGCATACATATAATATCTGCAATAAGAGTTAATTCGGATCGAGAATGCTGTAAGCATAGGAGTGGATCTGTTCCTAGATGGTTGATCTGCATATAATTAGGCTAAAGTATATGCATGTTGTTCCACCATTACTATCAAAGTGTGTAATAGCCTGATTAAACAGAGTAGTATTATAGATGCAAAAAAACATTAGCTCATCATGTTTGTCGACAAGATCGTCATAATATTATGACGATGCTGCCAGGGTCCAATATTAGCGGTCAAATCGGCATCGTCAATTGCACAACAGACTTCCGTTCTCAATTCAGGCACTTTCTTCCCCGCAATGTGGCTAAATTCTGCATCGTGTATAAATAAAACAAAAGAATCCCGTTATCGCGATTGTAGTTCTGGTAAGGGTTTACGCTTAGTCGCCAAAATGCTCTTGACTTCGTTGCTTTTCCCCTTGCTTGCGCTGGGAAGTGCCCTCCCAGACAAGCCCAAAGATGTATCCACCTTCACGAACCCCGTCCTCCCAGGCTGGCACTCCGACCCATCCTGCATCCAAAAAGATGGCATCTTCCTCTGTGTGACCTCGACATTTATCTCCTTCCCTGGTCTGCCCGTCTATGCCTCCAAGGACTTAGTCAAGTGGCGACTCATTAGCCACGTCTGGAACCGCGAGAAACAACTCCCCGGTATAAGCTGGAAGACCGTGGGTCAACAGCAGGGCATGTACGCGCCCACCATCCGCTATCACAAGGGTGAATACTACGTTATCTGCGAGTATCTCGGCGTGGGTGATATCATCGGTGTTGTGTTCAAGACCAAGGATCCTTGGGATGAGAAGAGTTGGAGTGATCCTGTTACGTTTAAGCCGACCCATATCGATCCTGATTTGTTCTGGGACGATGATGGCAAGGTCTATTCCGCAACGCATGGTATCACGCTACAGGAACTCAACCTGGAGACCGGTGAGCTTTCACCTGAGTTGAACATCTGGAATGGTACTGGTGGTGTCTGGCCTGAAGGACCGCATATTTACAAGCGTGATGGATATTACTATCTCATGATCGCTGAGGGCGGTACAGCAGAGGATCACGCTATAACTATTGCTCGCTCAAAGAACATCAAGGGACCATACGAAGCATACAAGAACAACCCCATCTTGACAAACCGCGGCACTGACGAGTATTTCCAAACCGTCGGCCATGGAGACTTGTTTCAAGATACGAAAGGAAACTGGTGGGGTCTTTGTCTTGCGACAAGAATTACACAAGAGGGTGTTTCGCCCATGGGTCGCGAAGCTGTTCTGTTCAACGCGACGTGGAACAAGGGCGAGTGGCCTAAACTCCAGCCGGTTCGTGGCCGCATGCCTGGCAACTTACTTCCCAAGCCTACGAGGAACGTTCCAGGAAATGGTCCCTTCAACGACGATCCTGATAACTACAATCTGAAGGAGACAAAGGCTATGCCTCCTCACTTCGTTCATCACCGTGTACCAAGAGAAGGAACATTCAGTCTCTCCAACAAGGGCATGCGTATCATCCCCAGCCGAAACAATGTCACAGGCGTAATCGGCGGCGACGAAATCGAAATCTCTGGTCAAAGAGGCATGGCTTTTATTGGCCGTCGCCAAACTCACACTTTGTTCAAGTTCACCCTTGGCCTGAACTTTGCTCCAACCCAAGACGAACAGGAAGCCGGTATAACCATCTTCCGCACCCAGGTTGACCACATCGACCTCGGTATAATTCGTCAAAAGTCCGCTCTCTCCCTGCGTTTCCGCGCCGAAGGACCCAGTCCTCCATCGCCCAAGACTGTCCCTCTGCCGAAGGGTTGGGAAAAGGGAGATGTTTCTCTGTTCGTTGAGACTGCCAACGCGACGCATTATAATCTTGGTGCGGAACGCGGAGGTAAGAAGGTGGTTGTTGCGACTGCTGAGGCTAGACTTGTTAGTTTCGGTGCTGGGCAGTTTGTGGGTAGTTTGTTGGGAGCTTATGCGACTTGTAATGGGAAGGGGACTGGCTTGGATTGTCCCAAGGGTGGGGATGTGCATATTACGAAGTGGAAGTATAAGGGAGAGGCCCAGGAGATTGATCACGGGGTGTTTGTCAAGGCTTAGTGGTCGGAGATCAACAGATCCGGCTTAGCGTAGCTTGAATACTGACTCCATTCAATACTAAGAATGATCTTTGCCACCCATGTCTGCGGCCCGATGCATTGGTGTCCTACCCGAAGGCGGCTAAAGTACCCCAACCACGATGGCATCAGCACAACAAAGACAGTATTGAGCAAGAAAACATAATGCAATTCAACGCCTGCTAAAAAATACTCTCGGAAAACATATGATTAACATCTCCAATCGGCCACTGCAACCTCAAAGACTCCTCCCACCCAATCCCCATATCCATATCAACACCCGCCATACTAAAAGATGGCGAATACTCTGTGAACCCCGTCTGCGACAGACTCGCCCGCTTCACTGACTCAGTAACACCATCCAAGCCCTCATGGTTCCCCGGACTTGCAGCATCTAAAATCCCCAAGCTAAGTAAATTTCTCCTCATCTCAATTAATCTCTTTGCCAGTCTCCGTGCTGAGCGTGACCGGTTGGTGTACTTGGTTGTAAGCGCAACAGCCATACTAAAACTTCCACCTAGTGACTCTATCAGATCTGGTGTGAGTTCCGGAACCATTGTAGTTCTGTTTTGTTTGATGAATGCGATGAGAAGAAATGCTAGACCGGCTGTGCAGGCGAGGATATGTTGATAACACGGATGTTGCTTTCTGTATATGTCCGTTACTGTATCGAGCGCATGCAAAACATTAATAATATCGTACACGCGTTCAGCCGCTGCTCTGACGTGCTTCTTCGTAATCTCGATATCCGATTCTGAGAAGAAGAACGGTTTAAGGAGTTGGCTTCGCACGGATTCTGCGCGTAGATTAAGCAGAATAGCCCACGTAGGCGGTCTTGTTGTCGGATCCGTCTGCCACGTGTGACATTGTGCAATGGAGTGTTCACCCACTGCTTTCTTGCGCCACTGCTCAATCTGGAACGTCATAAGCTCAAAAGAGCTTTCATCATTATATCCTTCGCCTTTAGCGGCACTAGAAATAGGCTCGCTGAAGCGATCGCTTATAAGGATGAAAGAGAGCATAGCTTTAAGATATGGATTTTTAACCTGTTTTGTTAGCATACCCGTACCTCTAGCTCTATTCTTCAATAAACTTACCGATGAAGTCGAGATGGAGCTGAAGCTCTTCTCGTGGAAGTGAATCGGTAGACCAGTCGCATAACTCCATTGCCGATCCAGGATCACGATACTACTGACCAACGTACAAGCCTCCGTCCGCTCAGTTTCGGACTTTAACGTATGTTTGAAGACTTCGGCGTTATGAAGGCCGAGCTCCATCAACATTCGGCCTGCGATACCGCACATGCGCCATGCTGAACGTGGCATATCTTGGAAGAAATCATACCAGCCCTGTACCTTGTCAGACTTATAGCCAATTCATTGCATGAATGTGAACATACCTTGAGGAATATTATCGTAGCATGCTTGATGCTATTCGCGGGCGCAGCAAGCTTTGCGTTAACAGCATCCTGGAAACTATCCCTCAACAAACCCTCAGTATTCCCGCTCCCCGTCCTTGCATCCGCCCTCAAAGCGATGGCAAGACAGAGGTTCAGTATTAGAAGTAGCTCATATGCTTCGGCGCTTGTACTCGCAGCCAGAACATCCCACATTCCAGCACCTGCATCAGCATACCACGATCTCGTCTGCATGACGAGCGCATCGATATCCACGACAGGATGCAACTCTCCGACAACTTCTTGGTAAACGTATAACAGCTGGATAGCTTCTTGTAGCCCAATAACGGAGCGGAAAGTGAGAAGCATCGCTGGATCGCCTTTATCAACCGTCCGTGGTGATATAGAAAATTGTGTTTCCGGGTCGCCTTCTTCCGAAGCGTCGTCCTCGTGGATACTCGCAAGTTGTAATTGTCGCTGGTGAAGTGGCAAACTGTCCCTCCTGAGCTTCAATTGTCCAACATTAAGCGCATAGTCCGGACACGTCGGTCCATAAAAGTTTTGCGAAGCAGCCGTCCTTGAAGATCTTGGCGTAGACTCAGAATTCTCTTCATCAATCCTATTAACCATCGCTCTCGCACTCTCAATCAGAGTAACAGGCGAAGGGAGACTCGTGACTTCCTGCGGATTCGAGCTTTGTGTCTGAACCTGTGCAGCAAGACTGTTCAACTGCGCTTGAAGGCTGGATAACATGTCTACAATGGCTGCTTGATTCGTCTGACAAGATTCTGATGAGATTGATTCGGGCGCAGGGGGTTGCCAGTCATTGGTTTGCTCTAAAGTGTTGGTGTAGGTACAGCTCTGATTGCGACTTGCGCAGTGACGACATGGTTGACGTCCATCGCATTTCCCTTTACGCCGACGACAAGCTTCGCATGCGCGGAGGGCGTAGGGTGTCCGACGCTTCGTTGGCTCTGTTGTAGATTTATTCTTTGAGACTCTTGTTTGAGACATTATGAGCAGTCAGGTATGTCAATTGAGCCTTCGGTGGAGGTGAGTTTGGATGGAGATAAAAATCAGGGTCCAGTCGCGATTAATATTTATCCCTCCTCCCTTTTGTCTGCGTTAGCGTCGGCCTTCACCTTGGATCCTTGCGGGGTAATCTGCACTAGACTAAGATCAGCGTTGGGTATCTCCTTGGAATTTGAGTTTGGGAGATAGGTACTTCCCCGGTCTGTTAGTGGTAGCTGAGGCTTCGGGTGGTGGCCAATTGGAGGTGACGCGTTTGAAGGGGTCTTGATAACCGCCCGGGGGTCGGATCGGGACCTCGGTGAGCGTCCCGGTTACCACATTTCATACACGGTTTAAAAGCAAGACGCAAGGTTCAGAGCAAGGCATTACTGCTATTTACTCACTAAACTTCACGAATACTATAACTAAACATCTCATTCGACGGCACAGAATCCCGATCCCTCATCTTCATCGCTGTCTCTCCTCCCGCAACCGGAACCCGATACTCAAACTTCTTACCCTCCTGTCCCTCAACAGGATATGGAAATGGTAAATATTGCGGCATCAACCCCAACTGCGCAAGAACAGTGCCCTGATCCCAACCGATATGCTCATGGTACAGTCTATCGCCACGGATATTAACAACCGCTGTGAAAGGAATTTCCATTTTCTTGAACGTCGGTGGGACACCGGGAAGGCTGTGACGGTGCGTTAGTAAGAGACTCATGGAATGGCGAGGGTGGAGGGATGACATACAGCCAGTCTATAGTTCTGTCGTGGGTGAATTTATAGATAAACTCATCAATGACTCTGTCAATTCCAACAGTCCGACTGGTCAGTTCAAGTTCTGTGTCGACAGAATTGAGAAAGATGAAGTTATCACGATAGAAGTTTGTTAACGACGCTCGTCCAACACCACCCGTAAGCTGTTCGCATTAGTACTTTTTCCCGACAAGACAGGCCGCAAAGGTGTAAACTCACAGTAGGAACATGGTTAACATAAGGCTCCTGCACCATGGTACTCATAGTATGCTCGACACTCCGATCCGCAAACTCATAATACGTATGCTCATCCCAAATATCTTCAAGATCAAAGTATGGGCCATTCATCAATGGTTTGAGGAAGGTCAAGTTCCTTGTATGCGAGACGGATTCGGTGGTGTAGTTGAATTCTGAGCTGAAGGGGACGGCGAAAAGATGGGATGGGGCGGTTGGGTATGAGTATGTTGTTGATTTGCCATTGCGTGAGATTTTTGCCGTGTTGGCGGCGATATGTGTCAGGGTGTGAATAGTGGGGGATGTTTGAAGAGAAGCTGAGTTGGTGTAGTTCACGGCACCGACAATATCCGACCCATCAAGAGTCGAGGCGACCTTATTCCATAACTCAGGATCATACGCTATTACTCGTTAGCCAAGTTCACAAAAAGACACCGGAGATACTCACAAATAAGTCCAATCTTACTACCCTTAATAAAACCCTCACACCCCCTCAAAGCTTCCACTGCAGTCCTCAAAACATCACCCTTCAAAGCTCTCGCCTGTATCTCAATAACAGCATAACCTTCCTCGGCCCACTTGACCAAAACTGAAGGAACACCTTGAACAATCTCCAAGTGTTTATCCGAGTCAGGATGCAAGATGACAAGACCTGGTCCGTGGCCTAATCTTGACAAGGGGGGTAGAAGAGTGATGCCATCGGCTATGGCTTGGGGCTTGGCCTGGGGAAGAGGAGCTGGAGGCTTGGAGATGTCTGCGTACATGATGATGATTGGTTGTTGGTTCTGGGGTTGGTCTGGTCTGTTCGGAGATTACTTGGTATTTGGTTATGGGATATATAGACAACACTATCTATACACAAGCCTTCTACGATTCATTACCCCGGATTACAGTCCTTGGCGGACTTGCCTTATCGCCTTTGGACTCTCGTGAAGAGGCATAATCGCAGATCACACAGACTATTGGTGGTTGTGCGGCTCCGGAATTTCCGTACGGAAGGACCGCACCCTGCCCAGCCGTGTAAGTCGGCCGCCAATCAGCCAAGCGAGTCAACCCAGCCGAGTCAGATGTACTTTTCTGAACAAAGAGATGAAGTAACACACGACCAGAATTTCGGAATGTGGTTACCGTATCTTTATCGTACATTCCGTAACCCCAGATAAGCACTGGAACGTGGGGTCGGAATGGGGATCATCAGCTACGGAACGATTGATCTGGGGTAAAGACTAGCCTTATCGGTAGACACATGGTTATTGAGTGGCATTGATCATTCCGTTGGTTGTGGTTGGGGTAAAGAGATGGATGCTATTGGCGATATGCGGAGTGCACTTAAGTGTCACGGTGATGTCGGAGATGGCCGACAGATAGATATAGACCTCTTGATTCGCCTCTTGGAATACATCATCATAATTCACTCTTTCGCCGATAGGATATACCATCTTACATACATATCAATACAATGACTGAATCATACGATATTGTAGTCGTGGGCACCGGTACATGTCCTTCCTTTCTTTCCCATGTCTCCGACTAACACGCCCAGGCTGGTTCGGCCTTGCCGCCTCAAAGGCAATCCACCAGATCTCTCCAACCGCATCCCTCCTAATCCTCGAATCCGCCTCTTCAGTCGGCGGCACCTGGTCTAAGAACAGACTTTACCCGGGTCTCAAGTCAAACAACATGAAGGGAACATACGAGTTCCCCGACTTTCCAATGGACGAAGCCACATACGGTGTGGGACCGAATAATCATATTCCTGGTGCTGTTCTACATCGGTATCTTACAGACTTCGCAAAGCATTTCGGCTTTTACGATAATATCCAGTTTGATACTGCTGTTGAGGGTGTGGAGAAGGAGGGTGATGGATGGAAGTTGAGTGTGTTGGGGAGTCAAGGGAGCAGAGTTATAGAAGCGAAGAAGCTTGTTCTTGCGACGGGGTTGACTTCGACACCGAACATGCCCCAGTATAAGAATGCGGAGAAGTTCGATGCACCACTATTTCATGCCAAGGACTTCTGTAAGGAAGCTCCCAACCTGAAGGTCAAGAACGCTATCGTCGTGGGTGGTGCAAAGTCTGCTTTCGACGTGGCATACGCTCTCGTCCAAGACGGCGCAGAAGTCGATCTGATTGTCCGTCCAACGGGCAACGGCCCCGTCTGGATCGCGCCACCCTTCGTCACCCCCCTCAAGAAGCGTCTCGATCAGATCCTGAACATCAGGTGGATGACCTGGTTTAGTCCTTGTCCCTGGGGTGAAGCCGACGGGTTCTCCAGCGTCAGGAACTTCCTGCACGGCACATCCCTGGGAAGACTCATCGTCAATGGCTTCTGGAAAGCACTCAGTGGCGACGTTGTTTCTGCAAACGGATACGACTCGCATCCTGAGCTGCAGAAGCTCAAGCCGTGGCATTCTGCTTTCTGGATCGGTAGTGGACTGAGTATCTTGAACTATGACACTCCCCTGTTTGATCTTGTCAAGCAAGGTAAGATCAGGGTTCATATCGATGACATTGAGTCTCTCGAGCCTCGACGGGCAATTCTTGCTTCTGGGGCGGTCATTGATACCGATGCGATTATCTGTTCGACAGGTTGGAAGAAGGAGTCTACCATCAAGTTGGCAGAAGAGGAACTCACTCTTCCTTACTCGGACGCCAAGAAACGCGCTCTGAACCAAGCTGCAGATGCGAAGGTCCTCTCCCTCTATCCCGGTCTCAAGTCACAACCTGATCTCAACATCAAGCCCAAGGGAACTGACCCTCTTCGTTATTATCGCTTTATGGTTCCTTCCCGGGCAGTCCGAACGAACAACCTTGCCTTCGCAGGCATGATCTCGACCGTCAGCACAGCAACATGCGCCACGATCCAAGGCCACTGGATCGCCGCCTTCCTCGCCAATAAGATCCACAGCATTCCATCCTCCGATAAGGAGATCACCGACGAGATCATGCTGCACACCCAATGGGGCAAGTGGCGATACCCTTGTGGTTACGGTGCTGATCTGCCTGATCTTGTATTCGAAGGACTGCCATATTGCAATATGCTTATGAGGGATCTTGGACTGGAGACGCAGAGGAAGGGAGGACGATTTAGCGAGTTGACGTCGCCTTATTTGCCCGCGGACTTTAGGGGGTTAGTTGAGGAGTGGAAGGCCAAGGAGGAGAAGAATTGGGGGGAGATTCCGGGTGTCGAGGTTCAACAGGTTCAGGGTTATAAGAAGGATTAAGCGTGGGCTTGTCGAAATTCGGGTCCGCTTCTGTAGATTAGTTGCTTTGTTGAGATTGTATTTTGTTAGTTAGTGATATCCGAGACCTTGGATTAGTATTGAATGTATGGCATGTTGGTCTTACGGTTACCTTCCCCTACCAACGTCTGCAATGATTAGCCCTGTTCAACATGTGTCTCCCTTTACCACATCACATATCACTCATTATTCCGCTCATCATCAAAAAGAATGGAGAATGAATATGTCTGAAGTGATAGTTTCGGCAGATTTGCAGTAAAACCTGCCAATGCGCGAACAGACCGTCAGACATTAATTAAAACACCAAAACCTGCCAATCCCGCAGGACATATAACTCTGCCATTATCTCTAAATACCAGGATACACTTCCGGTTTCGCATAGACTGTGTTGAAACAACTCTCCACTAAACCCTGGGTGCGAAGTTCCGACACAGCGAATGAGAGGGGAATAATGACAAGTTTCAGCACTCATCCTTGCATATACCCGATGGAATAAAGTATATTTTCGCACAAGCCGGGATGAGGCCGACCCGGCATCAGTTTCTTTTGCGTAATCGCGATATGTGACAAAACAAACATAGAAGTATGGAAGAGAGAGAAAAATGGAGTTTGTTTGTTTCACGGATTGTAGAAGGGTGGGTGTGTATTTTTAGTGCATTTACAGCGGAGCGGAAGTGGAGATGGTTGGTTGCATCCTTCCGCTGAACTTACCCTATGGCACTAACTGAACCCAACTGTTTTTTCGCTGTACGCGGCTGTGAATAGTAGCTTTGATGATCAGATTGTATTTAGGTTTGTTGTTAATTATCCGTTATCCTTGAGGGTAACTATTATCTTGTGCTATCACTGAGTATTTAGTAGAGCAAGAGAAGATCTGAAATGAAATACGATAACCCGCAGTAAATGATCATAATGGCTTTCCATTCTTTAGTTATTCTAGGCTATTGCCTAGAATGTTACTATAACATAAAGATAAAAATAAACAACAACCACGTGAACAAGATTCCAAAGCGCTTATATGCATCACCTGTTACCGAAGATTGTTTTCGTGGTGCATGCAGTGTTACTCTGTAGAACATGACCGTCAAGACACAGACCTCCAAACACAAACAGCAGCACAAACACAAACATAGTCGTACGATGAAACTGACAACTGCCTTGAATCTCAGATCGTTACCGATAGGCGGCAAAACCCCCACGATAGAAATCACATTTGAAGGGATATTCGTATCGCATCCCCAGGAGGTTTGACGGCAATAGATCTATTTTCACGGATGATTCCGTAGTGAATACCCAAAGTAGACAAGACGATCAAATATTCCTCTTGGTTATAGTGACATTCACTTCCCAATTCGTTGGACTAAATTTAGCGGACCAAGGCCTAACGCACCTCCTGTTTGACACGAGTCGCAGCGCGCCCTTGCGCTGTTTCACCACCGCTGGTGTCGCTTTGGCGTAGGTTAATAAGAACCTTTATGCTTAAAAAAAGACATATGGGAGTGGAGAAATGACGATGATCTGCATTGTCTCAAGACAGGCTTACCTCTCCTATTGTTTGTTACCTTGTCGGGGTACGTTACTCGCTCCGCTCCATGGGATTTGAGACGACGGGGCGGATATCGCGGGGGTCCAGCGGAAACAAAAGATAAGAAAAACAAGGCGAGGCAAGGCAAGGTAAGCGCGGCAATTATTTAGAGTCTATTGAGTATTGATACGCAGGGGCTGAGTCTTGTAACCGCGCGTCTTTAATCTTTATTTGAGTCTTGTCTTCATTTGCCGAGCGGCTGTGCATGTGCATGTGCGTCTGATACAGGATGGGAAATAACCTCTTTTTTTAAGCTTAATCTCACCCCTTTAACCTAATTTCATCAGAGACATTCAGATTCAGCACAGATATTGATTTAAAAATGTCCAGTGATATCGTAGCCAAGTCATTGACCTAAATTGTGATCGCCAAGACAACCCCAGACGCCAAGACAGTAGCGGACTCTCCTGCCAAGAGTTTCATGCTACGCTACCAGCCACTGAAGAAAGCCCTGAGAGACTCTGGTGAGACGCACTGAATCGTCGGTGTTTTGAGTTCTTTTCGTGCCCGGCCTTCCATCTGTCGCTCTACGTACCTCTTTGTCGCCGTAATCATCGCTGCCCGGGCCGTCTCTCTAGTCTTGGTGTTTCTACCACAGGTCCGTCCGTAGCTTGGTGCTTTGCCCGTTTCAGAGATCACTCCCCTTAGCTTTAAGCCCTTTTCAATACCAAGTCTGCTTCTTATCTCGGTAGACTGCACTTTCTTTAAAAGATCAACAGTCATCCCGCAAAGAAGAGGCTTGGCTTAATTTCCTCTCCATCTTCCCTTTCTCTCTTCTTTTCGTAGGCAGGACCTCTTTTTACTATTTCTTTTCCTTGTTCTTTTCCTTTCCTTTTCCTTTTCCTTTCCGTTTCCTTTTGTACCTGTCTTTCTGTTTCTTTATTTCAGAGGACGCCAAAATGCCTGTCTTAAACTTGAGTGAGCTGAACATTGTGCTCAGCGTCTTGGGTGCGTATTTATCCTTGGCGACCCATCCATCACTTTCTTGGCACTGACTTGTATGCATCCTTTAGGCGCTTTCACTGTTCTTTATGGTATTATCTCTGTCAAGATCAAGCAGGCTTGGTATCTTGGTGAAGCCCGTTAGTACACCTTCCGCCTCTTGGCCTCACACCATCTAACATTTCATACCTAGTACCCGCTGTCGCCATCGGTGTCATCCTCGGTCCTATAGCAGCCAAGTTTATAGATAGTGAGAGATGGGGCTCTGCGGAACCTGGTCAGACCAGTGCCATCACTCTTGTAAGTCTCGACAACAATTGATCATGATGGCTCTTACTAACAACCACAGGGCCTTACCCGTGTCATGATCGGTGTCCAACTGGTCATCGCCGGCTATCAACTCCCCGCCAAGTATGGTCTCACACGATGGAAGGAGATGGCCCTCTGTCTTCTCCCCATCATGACCGTCATGTGGCTCTGCACAACCGCTTGTATCATGGTCACCATCCCCAAGCTCACCTTCCTCGCCGCCCTCGTCATCGGATCCTGCGTCACCTGCACCGACCCGATTCTTTCTCAAGCCATCGCCAAGGGACCCTTCGCCGATAAATACGTCGCTCGACCTCTCCGTGAGATCATCTCTGCCGAGGCCGGTGCCAACGACGGCTTCGGATTCCCATTCCTTATGCTGGCTACCTACCTGATTCAACATGCCGACATCCCTGGCGCTGGCGCTAAGGCTGCCGCGGGTGCTGCTGCGGAACATGCTGCTGGGGCCGCTACCTCTGTTGCTGAACACGGTGCTGCCCAGACTGGCCATGCGGTGGCCGAGGCTGGACAAGCTGTTGCTCACACTCTGATGGCTCGTGCTGGTGAGGTTGGTCGTCTTGGTGGTGGTGTCACTGAGGCTCTCATGAACTGGTTCGTCGAGACATGGCTGTACACCATTGTCTTGGCCATCGCTTACGGTGCTGTTGTCGGATACGGAGCATGCAAGATTATCAAGCTCGCTCTCAAGCAGTACGTCACCCTGGTCACTTGATCTTTACTTATACTAACATGGTCACAGCAAACTTGTCGACAACGAGTCCTACGTCCTTTTCCCCATGGCCCTTGGCCTCTTCCTCGTCGGTAGCTGCGGTGCCATCGGAACCGACGATCTCCTCGCCTGCTTCGTCGCCGGTTGCGCCCTTAACTGGGACGGCAACTATCTCCGCGAGACCGAAACCCGTCACGACGAAGTCAACTCTTGCATGGACGTCATCCTCAACTTCGGCGGCTTCATGTACATCGGCGCCATCCTTCCCTGGGAGAGCTTCAACGACCCCACCGGTACCGGCATCACCCTCCCTCGTCTTATCGGTCTTGGTTTCCTCATCCTCATCTTCCGTCGTCTTCCTGCCATCTTGGCCTTCTACAAGCTCATGCCTGACGTTTGCACCAGCTGGAAGGAGGCTATCTTCATGGGATACTTCGGTCCTATCGGTGCTGGCGCTGTTTTCTACGTTGAGCACGCTCGTCACTTGTTCCCTCATGATGGTGAGGGTGATGCGGAAGAGACCAACCTGGTTCGCGCCATGGGTCCTACCGTCTACTGGCTCGTTCTGTTCTCTATCATTGTCCACGGTCTTTCCATTCCTGCTCTCAACATCATCTATCACTACTCCGGCAAGCAGCCCATCAAGGACGATGCCGTCGAGGTGCGCCGTATCTCCATGCGTGTCGCCACACCTACCAACGCCATTGCTGGCGATACCGATACCTTCATCGCCTACAACCGTTTCAGTCGCCACATGGGCCCTGAGGTTAACCGTCTGCCTATCCAGAAGGAGACACAGTACTGGTCTGATGATGAGGAGCCTATCCGGGAGCGTCCTATGCAGAATCGGAAGAGTGGATTGACTTGGGCGAACCAACCGAACCCAGTCTAAATGGAACAAAGAATAAACAAGCGGAGAAGGATTTGGTGTATGGGATATGATTCATGGTTTTTTGGGTCTGTAGCCTGTCCTCTCGTTTTAAGACTAAAGATGGTACTTTGTTTTTGCATTAAAAAAATCTGTCACTCGTTTATGTTGCATGTCTACTTGTGAATACCTATGCTATCGAATTGCTGCCATTCTGTGAATATTGCCCTTGTACATCCGATAGCACAGTGTCTTAATTCGATTGGCTTTTACACTATCTCTTCGTCCACCGCCAGTGGCACTTGAGGTCTAACTATGCGTGTCATGTCTTTCTGCGTCTCCATCGTTCAGGTCCCAGGCATGTGGACATAAAGATCTGCACAAGGGGGTTGCAGAGCTTGGAAACTGAGGTTCATAGTGGGCAGCGATGTTTCATCAATTGACTTGAACCCTAGGTCCCTTGCTGCATGATACCATGGCATCCAGGTAGATCTGTACGAATGCAATAGTCGATGAACGTCTATTATACAAGCAAATAAGAGTAATGAACGAGAAGGTGCAGGTAGGTCATTACAGAGATAAGTCATGGCAGTGCACCTGTCCAAGCTTTGCATTTTCGTAATTTGGGTATTCAATAATATACATAGAAACTTCCAAACCAAGAGATGGTACAGATAAAATACAGTCAATCAATGCCTAACGATGGTATCATAATCCACATAATCACAGCCTCTGCTTCTTCGATGACGTCTCACTCGACATACCAGCATCCTGGGACATAGCAGCCTCAGTGTTACCAACGTCCTGTCCATCAGTGGTACCACGAAGTTGGTTGGGAGCATAAGGCTGCTTCCAGTCATCACGACGCTCGTGCTGAATAAAGATGTTATACCAGCGAGGGAAAATGAAGCCAATCACGATCCAGAGGAGGAGACAATGGGCGACGATGAAACCAACGATGTAGGGAGGGTCGTTGCTGACTTCGTCGAAGCTGGGGTAGGCGAGACTGAAGATGATGGCGAGAATGGGGCCAGAGATGTAGCGAAGCATGGGGGCCCAGACGAAGGGGAGGGACCAGTTCTTGCCGACACCGATGACGGTGTTGAGGTCGTGGCGGAGCATGTTGCCCTGTGATATGTTAGTACTGATTGGATGATCAGATGAGTAGAGTCTTACCGAGTAGAAGGCGTTGTAGTAGAAAACGGACATCATCTTGCTCTTGGTCATGAGTCGGGGACCGCCATAGGCATCGGGTGTCTTCGCGAGGACGATTGAGGCAGCAAGACCGATGAAGTAAACACCGAAACCGGCGATAGCGCCAGCCCAGGGAGTAGCAGTGTGACCAACGATGATACCGATAAGCTGACCGCCAAGGAAGCCACCGTTGTATGAAGCCCAAGAAGGCATACCAACCTGGCCAACAACATCCTGGTATCGGTACAAGGTAGTAGCACCAACACATTCAGCCCAGACGACAAAGACGAGACCAATGTTGTTGATCCATCGGTCGATACCGTCCATGAACCAGTAGCCGAATTGGGTGCAGTGAGGAAGGGAGAGGAGGAAGCAGATGAGGACCATGGCGGTGGCAACCCAAGGTCGACTCCATCGCTTGGCGAAAGGAGCGTCCATGGTCAAAGTCATAACAGCGTCAAGCATGGCAAAGGAAGAGCTGATACCCAACAGCATAATGGTGAAGAAGAAAATGACAGAGAAGAAGTTGGAAGCCGGCATCTCGACGAATGCTTGGGGGTATGTCATGAAGCCGAGACCGTAACTGCCAATCTCACCGGTCTCCTCAGGCTTCATTCCAAGGTAACCAACAATACCGAAGACGGCGAAAGCAGCCAAAGCCTCGAAGCAGCAGTTGAAGATGACGATGATGACAGCGTCTTGAGAAGCGTTGGAGAACTTGCGGTTGTAAGAAGCATAGGCTGTATAGTATCCGAATCCGACACCGGTTGAGAAAAAGACTTGCCCGACGGCGTCACGCCAGATCTTGGTACCGGCGAGCTTGTCACTGTGCCAGCTGGCGAAATACATCTTGATACCTTCGCTTGCGTTGGGAAGAGATACACCACGGCCGATAAGAACGATGGCCATGATGACTGGTAGACCCATGGTGAAGTAGACAACGCGACCGGTGAGACCAACACCACGGAACATGCAGAGCCAGACGATGAACCAGGTGAAAGCGTTCCAACCGACAAGACGTCCGTCGAGAGAAACACCAGGGTAGACGACCCATCGACCATCCTTATTAGGGTCGACGGCACCCACAGCCTCATACATGAACCAGTTCTCGGTGTCGCCAGCCCAAGGTAATGGACTGGAAAAAGACTTTTGAAAGTACACCATGGCCCAAGCAAGAATAGGCACAAAGTAGATTACCACCACGAAGCCGACATAATTGAGCGCAAAGCCAGTACCCTTCATTCTCTTGCTGATGTTGTTATACGCGACGACCGTTCCGCCACGGTAGGCATTACCAGCCGCAATCTCAAGTGCCATTGCAGGGATAGCTAGCAGGAAGACGGCCATAAGATAGGGAACGAACCATTGTAGACCGTTGTTGTTGTAGACTTGGGATGGGTATCGAAGCATATTTCCCATGCCCACGGCGCCACCACACGAGGCGAGGAGGTAGGCTGTACGGGAGGGCCATTGATCGCGTCCGTCGTCGGCTTGTTTGGGCGCCGGGGCAAGCATGCCCGAGATCTTCCCCATGAAGCCCATGGTAGGCGGATGTGGAGGGGTTCCTTGATGTTACCGTACCAAAATGGAGGAACAGGAGGGGGGAGGTAAAACGTGGGAAGGGAGATTGACACGTTATGATCGAGGAATGAAGTAAGAAGAACGAAACAAACAGAAAAGAAAAGAAAAGGGATCGACCCTGTCCTTAAAAGAAGAGAGAAAAGACACGGGGAACTTGGCAGAGACACAGCTGAAAGCAAACCGAACACTACGTAGCACTCGTTCCCGCCTAGAGATAACAGCGTATGCCCAGAAATTAAGGGCCAATAACGATTTCTTGGAATTTCAGTCAGAGCAAAGACCAACATGTAAGGGAACGTCATACTAGCATGCTAAAAGACTTGGCGTGTGATAACGGGGGGATTTTGCGCGGGGATTGCAGAGCCGCTGATAGGCAAGACTCATGTTTAAAGGCTCGGCATAAACCCTTAAGACTGGGTAGTTTGCGGGGGAAAAGCTTGGCGAGGAAAGGAGGAATCAGGGAAGAGGAATCTTGGCCAACAAGATTGAGTCTCTGTCACTGATGATCACGCGAGTTCCTCAATCCCTTAGAGATTACAGCTATACTTTCCTCATGTTTGGGTTTGGGTTTGTTATAGTCAAAATAAACTGATGCATTAGCCTTCGGGTTTCGGAAAGGGGAACACGCATTGCCTGGTAATCCCGAGTGAAGCACCTATCTATTGTGAAGACTGAAAGAGTGTAGGACTGACTCCTTGCTCCACACGTGATGAGTTGAGTGGCTGACTATGCCAAGGCTATTTCAGCTGATGCAAAAGTTACGAGCCGACCAGTAAAGACGCTCTAATCCTAATCCCGTCCTGTGAGTCCCGGGGGTTATTCCAGGGCTTATCACTGATAACACTGCAGAACATTATTTATCCTGCTGCATGATAAGAGATAGTGACAACAGAGATAACGATAATGAAAGCATGGGAAGAATTGCACGTATAAAAAAGGAAGCGCTTTCTCGCTGTAATTTGTATTTTGATATTGAGAATTGAAGGGTCTTTGTTATTTCCACTTTTCCCGCCATGAGGGTGCTTTTTTACGTAAAGACTCTGGGGAAGTCTGGGGTAAACCTCCATTTTTACGCGTTACGGACCCACGATGGCACCATGTGGTGGAGTTGGGCTGTTGTCTTCACCTCCTCGCGTATCGTTTTGTCTTGCCTGCTTGTGCCCGTGCTCATGCTCCATGATATTGCTACGTGAGACATTTTTTCTTTCCCCAGATATTGCATTTTGATGGAAATGCCTGATGATGAGGCTCGATGGGTACGAGTCATGCCCGACGCCAAACAGCCACATCCTCGCCCGGTCTAGCGGAGCCGCTCCGATTGCATGCATTATTGTTACAAGGATCTTGTCACAGGATGATTGAGGTCCACATTGAATCCTTCGAGTCTTGGTGAGATATTTAATATCAATGGGTGGTCTAAGTATTCTATGAAATGTGGGAAAATGCTGACATGAAGGGTACTTGCAAAGTGTTCCAGATAATAGCCCTAAAAGATATCTTGGCAAGAAAACGGACCAGTATTCTAAAGAGGGAAAGGCTCCTCCTTCAGGTTCCGTGTGGAGCTCGACTCACTGCCAAGATCATCATAATCTGTACGATCCCGATCCGGCTTGACAGTCTCAACTTGCGTCGTCTGGAACGTCCTCGACACTTTGATCCCATCTTCTTTACGCTCTGGCAACTCGATGTTCTCGCCAGCTTCGATGTACGTAAGATTACCACCGGGGAACATTGATGTTGCTCGCTTGTTGGTCGCAGTCTTGGCGCCGCTCTTTCCACCAGATCGTGAACCGGAGTAGTCGTAGCCGCTGGGGTTACTCGCTTTCACGACCTTTGTGATCAATTCGGCCATGTTCATTTCGATATGGAGCTTGACGAGGTAAGCGAGCGGATGGAACTGGAGGTAGACAATATCGTTGGGGAGCGACATCATTGCGATGAGAAGAACCTGCTTCATTAGTCATGTGCATTGATAACAAGAAGGGCTGTGCTTACATCCATGGTCATCGATATACCAATCATAACCAAGTTAACACGGTAAAGACGAGTGTACTTTGTCAAGCCATTGGCGATAAGTCGCGAGCGAACGAGGTGGATAAAGTAAAAGTTTAATCCTGCATCAACGACTAGGAAGATTCCCTTCTCGACCCTATCCCAGATAGCATTGACGCTGATGAACTGTTGACTGATTTGTAGTCGAGCAGGAATCCACACGCAAAAAACGCTGATGTTGATAACGAGTAGGACGAGGAAGGTAACCAGCTTAAGTCTCTTGGCATTGTTCCGGTTAACCATAAGGATCGAGATTCGGTTGATGATGATCTGAAGCAGCGTTTGAATCTGGATAGCCCAGAGGAAAACTGCACCAGCGCGTTAGTAAGCCTCTCAGAGATATCGTAGGTCAATCATACCAATGACGAAAAAGACAGGAAATCCAGGTGGTATATACTGTCGCAGGTAACACCACGTAATAGCGCTCATAATCACACTACTCAACCATTCCATCCAAAGCAGAATAAGATAGATGTTCGTCCTGGTTCCTCGTTTCCACGACTGGACTGTCTGGCGAATAGCTTTAGTGCCACTGAAGATGGACACGCCGAGGGAGAAACCCCAAGCGATGCTGGCGATGTTCATGTCATTGGTGCTAGGTTTGTGGAACTCGTAAGTGTCCGATAACAAGAGACCGCCCATCTTGGGCAAGTGGTACAAAGGAGTGCGTGAAAGGAAAGAAAGGATGGTATGCAGGGACCACGGACTTTGAAGAACAGATGCATCATATATTTGAGGTAGTGAAGCACGCTAGGAAAGACTCAGGGGCCACGAGGAGGCGTTACGGATGCAGTTTGGCTGATTTAGTGCTATGCAGCGGCTTACGGACCGGTGAAGATCTTTTGCTAATTGCTTACAGGGCATCTCCCAGTCGTCCGGCGTCACGGTCGCAAACTCATCCCTTTCGGGAGTACTACTGTGTCAAGGTAAGGTACCCCGCGCAAGACTGGATGAGGACCTGCATGAGGCCCGCGTCCGGAGCAATGGGGAAGTTCTTTAGGGTCTGTATAACCCATCCAAAATGATCTGATGATATGAGACATCTCCTTCTCGCCGTTACACTCAGCCCTGAAAGACAATGTTCCTGATTACTGATGATATCTAGATCTGTCCGGAGACGAGTCATTCATCATAAGTTGAATACGATATCATTACCCGAAATCTGGTATCACCCCAGCTTAGAGTCTGCATGTGCGGTTCCGCATCTCCCTAGCGCAGTATCATGTTCAAACCATCCAACCACTAATGACTAACCCAAATCATCCTTGGAATTAATCTGCAGTGGCGTCTTCTAGACAAAGGGCCCCTGTTGACCTTATTTGTTAAGAAAACGTGGTCTTGCATACAGCAAGCCATCTCATTCCCGGACGGATGGCTGGCTTGTTCTAAGATCAAGCCTCAATTTGAAGTTCGGCTCCGCGGTGGATCCTTCAGGGCTGAGAAAGAGGGTCTATCGAAGTTTATTTTCAGCTTTAGGGACAATGATAGGTTGAACCATCTTGATATCGGAGAATGGGAAATTTAAAGAATTCGGTCTGCGGATTAGAAAGTTCCTGATCTGATCCGCCCGTTTTAGTTTGTTGATCAACATGATAAGGCCGAGAAGATGAGGATGGATCGTCTAGACTGTTTTTAGATGAGAACCAACTGAGACGGTTGAATCTGAAACGAATCACGTGCTAAACCCAGGCTGAAGAAAGCATTACAGGTGGAAAAGACTTTTCTGTCAGTTTAATTACTATGAAAGAACGGAAATCTACTAGGTTCTTCAAGATTGAGAAGACGCTCTCAAATCGAGCTGGGACAAGTGCTCGTGAGCGTCACGGAATTCACCCGGGATTGCTTCTACGAGGGTTCAATAAGCCAACCTTCATTCTAACACTTTCTAGCCACTCGGGTTGACTTCTTCAACAACCAGTTCGGAACTCATTCCCGGCACGTCGATCACTAACTAGTCTTGCTTCCTTCCAACAATGCCCCCCTTCTTCAGCCCAAGCCATACTACAACCGTAACAGTAGTACAGCTAGCAAAGATTGTCCAGAAAGCCGCTCTATACCCCTTCATAAGCGCCTCTTCCCTGGTTGTAATCCCCGAGTGTTCCGTAACAGACGCAGCAATAGCGGCAGTGATAGCCAGACCGACTGAATTGCCAAACTGCGCTACTTCATTGAACACACCGCCTGCAAGGGACTGCATCTCGGGAGGATAAGCGTCGGAGATGACAAGATTCGAGACGGTGAAGAGCACTAATTGAGTTAGCATCATTAGTCAAGCTTTGGTTGGAGGGGGCTTACCATCTGGATTAACGGGTGAAAGGAACATGGCCCAAAACGGTGCAAGCCAGTAATTTTCACCGACATCGACAGTAGCCATAAGTGGTGCGGCTACCATCGTTATTAGGGCTGATACAACAGCCAGTGTTCGCACTTGAACTTTGGCGATGAGAATTCCTGTTACTATGTTTGCTGCTACGCCCATGACAACGTGAGGAAGGAATCGCAGGGAACTTTGAAGTGCTGAGAGACCTTCGACTTTTTGGAAGCTGGAATGGTCAGCAAACTATGGTGTAGTCAGGATTGATGGACTTACTAAAGAGTCGTGAAGTACTCGATACCGTTGAGTGAAGCCCAGCATAAAAAGACAGCGATGCAGACAGATGTAAATGACCGATTGCGCCAGAGACTGTTCGGGATAAGAGCCGGTCTTCCATGCTTGACTTGATAGTCCATCCAGAACGGAAAGGCAGCGAGCAAGACAATGGCGATCGTCAAAAGCACTATGTTGGCCGGGTCATCGAGTCTCTTGTAGGATGAAGAGATCATGGCCAGAACATAGAGCAGCATACCGAGCGCCACACTCATAGTGGCTGCACCAACCCAGTCAATCTCATGTCTCAATCTGGTCGTCCACTTTCTCTCAGATGCAGTGTAAACGGAGGGCAATGACCATATCGCACCGGTCGATAGGCAAAAGTTGATGATGGCCGACATGTAGTAAGCCCACCTCCAACCGATAGTGTCGGTAAAAATACCACCCAGCACAAGACCGAGCGCATAACCCAATGGACTCCCCATCCCATTAATTGCGAAAGCGACATTTCTCCAAGGTCCTTTTGGAAAGGTATTAGCGATCAGACTAACCGCCGTGGGAAGACACATCGAGATAGAAGCTCCAAGTAGCGTCCTGAAGAGAATAATCTGAATACCAGTCTGCGCCAAACCAACAGCTAATGTGAAAATCACGAAGAGAAAGCTGCCGGTAACCCACATCAGCTTTACGCCAATGACGTCTGCTATTGCGCCAAAGATGAGGAGTAGACAACCCGCCGCGAGGGCGTAGACTGCTGCTGGCCAGAGGATGAGGTTCTCCGAGAGGGAGACATCTTGGGCTATGCGGGGGAGAGCAGCGATTAAAATGCCTGAGCCCATTGTGTTGAGGAAACTTATGCCAGCAAGGGTGATGATGACGATGACGCCTCTCGTTTTGGAGATTCCAAGGGCGCTTGACGGCTCTTCATTGGAGACATTGTTTCTGTTGTTGTCTTCCAGCACTGGGACGTCGGGTAGAGTATCACTTTTGGTAGGTGGTTGAGTGAGATTGGCTCCTCTTAGCTTCGTTTTGGACAGAGGCTCCAAGGGAATAATGCCGGCGTGAATGGACGCGGCACCAGAGCCGGTTGTGATATCGAAGCTGCGATCCATTTTGCTTTGCCCTGACAATTGATGCTAAGTGTATGAGATTATTCCCAGATATATAGAGCACTTCAACGTTATCGAATTGTGTAGGTCAGACGTCATAGTCATCAAGGGCGCGCTTTTTTGACAACAGCTACATGGTAACTGATTGGTTGATCCCCCAACGTAAGGATTTTGCCAAGTGCCGCTTGTTATCAGATGGGAAGTCGAATCCTACAAATGACGTTTTTTAACATGAACAATATGCGAACACAGCATCTAAAACCAGCTTTAAGAGTATGTCGGATTTGAAAGGTTATGTGACCCATGCCTTGGGAGCCAGGATCAATGTTAGTCTCATGGATGCTGTCAAGTGAAAAGTCGAGGAGTTATCGGCGACGATAGAACGTAGTGAACGGGCATCGACCGAACAGTTTGCCTGAATTCTTTCTCCAGAAAAATATCCTCGTGTTCAATAGTCTGTATGTCTTAGATAGACGTTATTTGGCAAAGCTTGAGTGAACTTCCTCGCCTTGGTACTGCTTATCAGCTGGGACAAGAACCAAAATAAAGCAGTTTGACTACAAGACAACTCTAATTTGAATTTTACTGTATGTTGTCGCACCAATGCGGAATCATAGCCAGATTTTATATTGTTTGCTTTTCAGGTGCATCAGCAGCTTGCTGGACGACACTGCTCGCCTTGGATAACTGTTTAGATAAGCATGCGGTAGAGGAAGAGGCCGGAGGCTTTCGCACTCCCTCAACTAAATTCACTCAAATAATAATTTCCATTGACCTATTCGCAGCGACACTAGCTGTGGAATGACTAACCTACACAACCTACGTTGAGTCCCCTCATCTTATGTCGATGAAGATAACCACACTACGAACTACTTACGATGACTCGACAGGAAAGAGACTCACTCATAATTCCAAATCAATCAATTCATTGCAGTCACGACGTAAAGAGTAAAGAAATATTCGGGTGTTAACAATTCTCATTCATTGGCTTATCATAACGCTAGGTATAACGCTCGCAAGATAATTAGTTGCCCTTGACACGTCCGTCAGGCTTTCCATCCTTGCGGAGTCCATCGTGCTCAGTGGGCTTGTAGTCGCTGCCATCGCTGCTGGAGGCTCCGAGACCGCCGCTGCTTCCATCGCCAGAGGTCTTGCCGCCCTCCTCGCCGGCCTTGTGAGGGTCGACCTTGCCGTGGGCGAACTCGCCAGTGCCAACGCGCTGGTCGGGCTGGCCGTCCTTGCGGAGACCGTCGTGCTCTGAAGAATTGTTAGTGATTTGAGGAGGAAGAGTGAATGTAGTTGAGGGAGTTGTACCAGTGGGCTTGTAGTCAGACATGTTGATGTTTGGGTTGGGAGAAAAGGTTGGAAGTGGTGGTTTGTTGTAGTTGTTGATTGATTGATACAGTGTGAGTGTGATGATGAAGGAAAAGAATAACTCGAAGCGTCTCTGTCGTCCCCTTTATACACAATCGTCTTCATCAATTCTCAGAAATGTTTGCTAAGACATGAATTCATTGACGTCACGACATAAGTCGCACTGCAACTACGCGTAGAGCTCAGACCGCAACAAACAGATCTACATCAAAAGTAAACATATCAGCGTCATGAATAGACGTTGGCTTCTATTGTCGATGGAGTTATACTGGTCATTGACTTTTGCTTTTGTTAATTTCACAGCCCTAAATTGCCCTCGAGATTAACGCTCAGGTACCATCGGGATCGTCACGGCACCCCGCATAGAGTAGCTGGTATTGGTTAGGTTAGATCGAAAATGTCAGATCGACGGAGACCATGCTCCGGTTTCTTACATGGCCGTTTCATTGTTCTTTCAAGCCACTGGATCATGGGAATGTCGGTGAAGGAATGGTATATGTCATAGACCTAGATTTGTCTTACGATGAAGCCTTATTGGCGTCTGCTATACGGATAGCGGTGATTATCTAGTGTCAAGAGCTCAAAGAATACGACAATAGAGTGGACGCAGGACGCTAACCCACGTGTCCATTCCACGTCCGGAGGAGGAGCGGTTGTTGTGAGTGGTTGGATGTTAGTTCTCAATACCTGATCGAGGTTGACGTAAGACGTAAAGGGGTTTCGGAAGATCGAGAGGCTGATCGCTGACAATGTACAAGACAGAATTAACTCAGCACTTTACTCAGTTAAAGACTGACAAATTGCTTCTCAATTCTATGCACTCAAGGAGATAAACATTTGTCAGGTCTCTGATTGCGTGACAAGCCGCATGAATTACTCCACGTCATTGAATGTGATAAGACTCTTATCCCTGTTGAAAACAGACTTGATGACGCCGTATATTTGATGGACGAATGGGGGCTCAGGTCCAAATGTCGCATCATTGCATGTGCAATCAATCGGCTTAATCAATTCCCTAACCACCATATATCTCGTCCAATTCTCCAGTACACGCATGGTGTGATTTATCGACTTCCATTTATCATGAAAGCACAATGCGGAGGAGACAAGACATCTTGACCTTGACCATCGGTCATACCGCACTGCGGCGGCAAGTCGTTTTAGACATTGGAGTTGACTGGCTGTTGTGCTCAATTGTGGTACTAGACAGTTGCTGTCGACTTCCAACTCGGATATCTTGTGAAAAGAAAAATCAACTGAGCTGTTTTCTCCGATCTCGAGTAGGCTATCGGAGATGTAGATGACTCACTAGTCACCGCTAATTGGTGTTGATCGTACATCGTTCCATTACGACCCCTGTCTTCTTAGTGCAGGTGCCGACCCCTCACTGAACATCCAATCCTCTCAGCCTCTGAAACAGCTCAAGCTCCTGCAATGTCTTCCTGCAAGACACCAGACTGGGTAGCCAGCTGTGAAGTCTGCCAGGCAATTTGGCAAAGACTAACTAGCGACGACAAATTCGAGCACACGATCAGTTTGGGGTCCTTCGAAGAAGCGCTAACCACAAAATGTCAGAATCACAAACCCCTCATTGAAGCTTTTTGGGAGTACACCAAGAATGGAGAGGAGGGAAACGATAAGTCTAGAGAAGTGAGGGTTGAGTTTGACTCACGTGGGGGTGTTGTTCGTCTTGATGAGACTGTTGACTATGGCGGTTATCTTTGGAGTCTTGCGCTTGTTGATAAAGGTTCTGGATACGGTACTGGTCGCGTCCTGGACCCTGAGTGGGCGGACTTAAGTGTGATTGAGAAGTGGAAAGATGAGTGTCTCTCATCACATGGGGATTTGTGCAGTAATCCTCTTAGAATATGGAGGGCAAGGCCTGCCTGGTTGATCGATGTTGAGAGCAGGTGCCTTGTTCCGGGGACTGTCGAGGGTGACTATGTAGCGCTGAGCTATACATATGGTGGTTACGTTGGCCGTTTGATCGATGATAGTGTGCTCGAAATGCTCCAAGTGCCACAAGCGCTGGAAACTCCAGCCCTATCGGAGTATGTCTCACCAATCATACGAAACGCCATGCACTTAACTACCGTCATCGGTGAGAGATACCTTTGGGTTGATGCACTATGCATTACCCATGGAGACAACGACTCAACGACTAAGGAGTTATCACTCATGGGCGCCATCTACGCCAACGCAATACTCACAGTCGTAGCAGCAGACGGTGATTCTAAGACTGGTCTAGCAGGCATCAAGGGAATATCAGCACCACGAGAGCTCAAACAGATTCTAGTCCCCTTCGGAGACCATCAACTTCTACACAAGGACAACATTGGGTTCCAAGCAGAAATCTGGCTGCCATACTACGAACGAGGTTGGATCTATCAAGAGCTGAGACTCTCGCCTCGCAAGCTTGCCTTTCATGATGGACAGCTCCATTGGCAGTGCCAACATAGTGTGTGGCATGAGGAGGCTGCGTCGAGAGTTCGAGTTGAGAAGGACCCTTTCACAACCGCGACGATAGACAGCGGGTTAAAAATCCTACTAGACGGTTTCTTTGATTATTCTTCTTTCAGTCTTCTTGTGTCGCGGTACAACGATCTAGAACTTCGCTACGGCGAAGACGCCCTACCTGCAATATCAGGATTTCTGTCTGTGCTGAGTCGGCGCTTCCAAGGTGGTTTCTTGTACGGGATACCAGAAATGATTTTTGAGCGCGGTCTTGGTTGGAAGCCGTTTATCCAAAGCATAGATTTGGCAAGACGAGTTCGCTCATCAAGGCCTCAAAGTATGCAACTGAAACCGTCTGGCCTCCCGTCTTGGTCATGGATTGGATGGATGGGGAGTATAGAGCCGGTTGGGCCTGAAGCCACGCTGATGATGCCATGGGAAGAAGGCGAAGGCATTGAAGAGACCACGCCCATTACTGAATGGTACACAAGCCAGTCCCCAACCGATCCGCGATCTAAATGGCGAAGAATAAGGTCTACATGGTACGAGAATCGGGATATCTATAAGGACTTTACGAGGCCATTACCACCAGGATGGACGCGTCACGATGCTCCAGAAAAGTCACCCTGGGATGATGGACCTCACTTGTTCCCTGACGGATGCGACAAATTTATCTTCAAGCACAAGGATATGCCTGAGATGGGCTACGAACCAGTACAAGGATGGTTCTATCCATTCCCTCTCACTCCGGTAGACGAAACAACAGTACCCGATATGCCTGAGCAAACAGAATACCTCTTCTGCAAGACGCATAAAGCTCAACTCTGGGGCTGTCAAAAGGAAGCCGAATGGAAGGACGCGCGACTTTACAATAGCCAAAGACAAGAAGTTGGGTTTCTGAATTTATTCAATGAAGACTTCTTTGCTCGCTTCCCCAAAACGCTGTCTGAGGAAAAGAAAGGGTTACCTGTTGACTTGGTAGCTGTGTGTAAAATCAGGACGTACTGCAGGACACAGGATGGAGTGACCAAGATTTGGAGTGCGAGGCAGACGAAGGATACCTATTTGGTTCTATGGGTAGAATGGAAAGATGGGATTGCGTATCGGCTTGCTAGTGGACAAGTCGAGGTTGAGAAGTGGGATGAGTTGGACTTGGAGAGTATCGATTTGGTCCTTGGATAGACTGGCGCAGGTGAGGAATAGAGAACGACCAAGGTCTTCTTACCCGTCAGTCAAAGTATCCGAGGGAAGGCACCTTGATCTTGACAGATTCCGCTGTCTATGATACTTTGAAGGTAGAGCAAAGGTTCTATAGAGCGAATCTGTACGCCTTGATTGCCGGGCATTAAAAACAAAGCACAAATAGCCCAATGAAGCGAGTACGTCTTTGAAGATATTGCTAGATTCGTCGCGAATAATCTGTCCCCTAGGCAGCGGCTGAGATGCGTACAATGTCAGGACAAGAGTCCTGGATTCTTTAGAACAAGACTTGCCACAACGGTCCCGACTCCGTAGAAACCGTATCGATGGAGTGACTGTGCGGTTGATCCAGAAGGCCGGTGAATTTTCGAGCGAGTAATTTGGGCACCAAGATCGACATCGAAGATTCTACGCGAATGGCGACACCTCGGTTCAAATCTCTTATCACTTGATCAAAGCTTCATCCTCGACCAACAGCGGGATAAGACTCCTGAAGATAGTCATATTCCTTGTCGCATCTGAAGCAATCTCCACGTCGACGTCCAACCGCCAGATGATATATATCCAGGTGTAGGGTTGCTGAGTCGGACCGTCCTCCGGGCCTTCCGTCCGCTCTGCCAAAAGTACACATGTACCCCAGACTCAGCTATCGCCTCTTTCTTATCTACAAAATAACTCATCCGCTTCAGCTCCGGTGTCAAGAAGTTGATCAGACAGCCGACCCACTTTCCAAGCCCCCTTCCCGCGCTTATCTCTCCACGCCGATCACCTAGAAACTTTACCCGAGTCTATCGTACATATACTCGTATAGTACCACTTGGCGCGTGAAGGTTATTGAACCCCGAACACCGAGAATTAAGATCTGAATCGAGGATGCGGTGGAGTATTTCCCCGTGTTCTCCTCATTCTAGTGGTTTCAATTGAAGTCTGGGGATGTCATTCATGAATGGCTGACGTACGGAGGAAACGGTATGCAACTGGGTACTGTCTGGGATGCTCACAATTTCGATTTAAATGCCTCAAAGGACGTGCTTCCCCTCGGGGAATCCTTGATTGTACCCATTTATACAGTAGGCGAATGATTTATGAGACATATCACATCCATCCAAACTGTTGAGAAACGTGCGTGACCACGACCAGGATGGGGGTTATCTGTAGGTGAGTATCAAATGACCAGCATAGAGGACCCTGAGAAAGGAAATACCAGTCGATTGGGTATCCCGTAACAAGCAACGTTGTCATCTTGGTGGAGTTTCTGCAGCGGCGGCTAAGAAACAAAAGTGAAGCTGTACGGTGAGATTGATGCCTCAAGGGCGTAAAGCTTCAAAGGGCAGGTAGTCTAGGATCATGCCTGTAAAGAACTTGTCAATGATCTGATTGGCATAATGTTCTCATGCTTAACGAAAGCAAGCTACAGTACTGTACCGAAAGTATTGCCGCTGAAGTCAAGCTCACGCCACAATCTGGCAATCTACCCTATTCCAACGTTTTAATTTCGCTTCTTATTCCCGTGAAATGTCCAGTCACCTCAGTTCCGTATTCGGTAGCCAAGCTGCAGACATTGCATTCCAAGTCTGGGGTACAGGGTAAGGGTTCCACCGAAAGCCTCCATAAAATTATATCGCGTGCTGTAGACGCGACGGGCCGTGATAGGAGCTGTTCAAGTTCGGGCCAGAAACAGAAACCTGAATCAAAGGAAGACGTTACGTGTAAGCAACGCTGTTTAGCCAAGTTTCACTTTTTGCGCATCTTCATTTTCATTTTTCATCATAGCAGAATGTTTCTGTTTCATGGATCAAAATCCTGAGTTGAATTACCATAACGTAATCTGAGACCACGCCACAGCAAATGAGCTCACTGAGGCTAGTAAGCGACAGAAATACCCACTCAGAGTCTCACCAGTATTGGTCGAACTAGTGCCTCTTTATTTTTCTGACAGAGACCCATACGCTAGGGTCCGTCATGCAGTCCGGCGCTATTCCTACCTGGGATACGGTGTACGAGTCAGCGCAAATACCGTCTCACTTTTACTTTCCGTCTCATCAAATGAGAGACGACGGTCCATCAGACGAATCCGTCGGTGCTCCCGCGGCTGCGCGGCAAATCAACGGACTAAGGCAAGAGCCTCACCTAAAAAGGTTCTTTAATTCGCCACGGCAATTGTCGCGGCAGGCTGGTCCAAGTATTCTGTCACTAAGACTCTTCACCCGTTTAATTCCCTTTCAATTCCAGCCACCTTGCGTCAGGTCAAGTCCAGTCCAGGATTCTTTTAGGCGAAACGATGATGAGGGCCAAGGCATAAGTCCGTGTTCCTGTTCCTGTTCTGATCAGCATAGAGTTTATTACGGAGACCAACAGAATAGGAGAAAGAGAAAGAATACCCGCCTGTGATCTCAGGCACTTCGGTCAAACTTGCCCATCATCAGGTCTGGGTCTCTCTGGCCCAGTATATTTCTTGTCTATCAATCAATCTGGGCCATTCTATTGCATCCAGTTTGAGGCATTATCATTGTTTACGCGTCTGAATCTGGACTTGCTGATGGTCATCTGGCCTTTTTAGTCCCATTCAGTCCCATCTTGATGATATCCACATAATAGGGTCACGCTTTTTCACCGAATAGAGTAGACAGTCTAGACCTAATATGAGGCGACGGTAACCGATGGCGAATGAAAATTGAATCAATTTGTCAATTAACAACGATATGCCCTGATGCTCCCAGGATGCAACACTGGTCCGTATCGAGGGCAGAAAAATTAGAGAGGAAGAAAAAAATGAGGCGGCGGCAAAGGCGGTCTAACCCGTGCTCACCGTTCCATCTACGGTAATTAGAGATACGTACTCTTACCTTTTGCCGTATTTGGGCATTACCTTTACAGTTTTTAACCCGGCAGTGTGGATATGGAAGACCGTAAAGAATGTTCCGCGGACCAATCATACCCTCTAATTCAGAAATTCTTTGCTGTCTCGGAGTAACTAGAGAGAAAGACGTGCCGAGGGCGAAGGAAAAAGACGCCGCTTGTTCTTGTTCCTGCTGGGATCGGTTTCTTCCCGAGAATAGCGTTCCCTGCATCACATCACGCTAGCGGCTCTTGAGTTTCCTGTTCCGTAAATAAAGGAGGGAAGTTTATCATAACCTCAACCTCAGCTTGACCTCATTCCTATGGAGTACAGGAGTAGGAGATATGTCGGGATATGACCAAAAGTGCGTGTGGGAAGGCGAATTACCACGTATTACAACGTCTTGTCAGGTACCGTAATAATCAATACGTAATAAACGTATCCCATCGACCCATCTTTTCTACTCCTGTTTTCCGTATCCTACCGCTTGTACCAATATCCACTTTTAGGTGGTTCAAGGTTTGGGAAAGCCCACTATGACATGACCCTATTCAGAGCTTGGCAACGACCCTTAATTTTCTCGTCCAACGGAAACGACACGACACGCAGACAAACTAAATTCCCGCACGGCGTGACCGGCCACCCTTCCTCTGCTACTCCCGAGTCGAGTACAGTCTAGTGTTGTTTTGCATCTATGACGTAGCCTCAGCCTCAAACCAGCATCACCCTCCACTGGCCTTGTGCAGCCCCCATGGGGAGCGATCCCTGAGGTCAGGTACTCTTGCTAGACAGCAAAGTGAGGCTATGCCTGTATGTACTCTGTACATGTTCGTTAGCTAGTCTAGTCTAATCCATACCCAGCTAACGTTCCAGATGTACAAAAACTTCTCGGCGTCTCCAGCGTCAATTGTTGAGATATTTAAACCCAGCCCATCTGTCCCCATTCACGTTTCTGACGGTTTCTCGATTACTCTACTCTTTCTTCCATTTCTATTTCCCGTTCCATTCCCATCTCTTCTCTCAAATACCCCAGCGTAGTCTGTGACTACCTATACTCGTATCTGCAGATCATCTTGCATAGACCATACCTTCTGTGACTAGACCAGACCCTCCTCCTCAACGTAAGTACCGTCTGCTCTGAACCCTGTTTTTTCCTGTTTAGTCCCTTCGGTTCTGCAACATGCAAGACAACATGTCTAGCAGCGCATACGTACGCATGAAACAACAAACCCTTCTACTTCGGTCTTTTTTCTATGGGAGAGAAAAACATACATCATAGTTGCATATGACTTCATCAAATTTTACCCAGCCCATAATTATTCTGTACCGCTTCCGCTGCCAAGACTCGCCGGACCGACCCCCACTACCAGTCCAGACCCAGACCCAAACCACCAAAAGCACGCACTTGAAAAAGATCTCGTTGGGACTAACAAGAATTTCTTAGTCTCTCTACTCTCTTCTCATCTCGCCTCATCACAACCACCACAACTTCACAATGTCAGCCACAACAGACCCTACAACAAATATGGCCAGCGAAGCCGAGAAAGGAAAACAGGAACCTCTCAAGATGGAGCCTTCCACCTCAAACCCTCCTCCCAAGTACGAGCACGACTCAGCATCCGGTTCAGACGGCGAAGTCCCCAAAGGCGAGACAACCGACGAGATCGGAAACATCTTCGAGGGTGAGGATGGAAAGAGCTACAGGACCATGACCCGATGGGGTACCATCTTTGCTCTCCTCACCAACCAATTCGGTATCGGCGCTCTGGGTCTTCCCAGTGCTTTCGCGACTCTCGGTCTTGTCCCTGGTTTCATCACTCTTTTCGGATCTGCTATTTTGGCCTGGTACACCGGCTTTGAGCTGTACCGCTACTCTATCCTCCATCCTCAATGTGTGCACATCATTGATCTGGCCAAGGCTGCTGGTGGTCGACCCTGGCAAATCATCGTGGCCATTGGATTCCTCATCCAGGTCATCATGTTCTGCTCTTCTGCTATCGTCACCATCTCAATTGCCTTCAACACCATGACCGAGCACTCCATCTGCACTGTCGGTTTCATGGCTGTCGCCGCTGTCATTTCATACCTCCTTTGCATTCCTCGAACTGTCAAGTTCATCTCTCGCAGCGGCCCTCCTACCGTTATCTCCCTCGTCGGCGCCGTCCTCATCGTCATGATCAGTCTTGGATTTGCCAACCCTGTCAAGGCCCCCGAGGGTTGGACCCCTGAGATCAAGGCCTTCAACAACCCTGGCTTCCGCAACATCTTCAACGCCGTCCTCAAGATCGTTTTCGCCTATGCTGGCAACCACTCTTACGTCTCTTACATGGCTGAGATGAAGGATCCTCGCAAGGATTTCCCCTTCTCTCTTACCTGGTTGATCTGCCTTACCACTGCTTTCTACTCCATGCTTGCCACCGGTATCTACTGTCTCGCCGGCGAGTACACGACTTCTCCCGCTCTTGGTTCCGCTCCCCACATCTACGCCAAGGCTGCTTACGGAGTTGTCCTCCCCGCTATCTTGACTGGTGCCCTTGCCAACGGTCACGTCGGTGTCAAGTACATGTTCATCGTCGCCATGAAGCAGATGAAGGCCACTCACGAGATCACCTCTAACAGCATCCGCTCATGGGCTGCCTGGATGATCTGCACCACTCTCTTCTGGATCATCTCCTTCATCCTCGCCAATGCCATCCCTATCTTCGACTCTATTGTCTCGATCCAGTCCGCTACCACCTACGCCTGGTTCTCCTTCGGTATGAGTGGTGTCTTCTACATCGTGTCTCGCAAGGACATCCACTTCCAGGGCGGAAAGAACATTGCTTTCTTCGTTCTCAATGTCTGTATCATCATGTTCGCCTTCTTCCTCAACGGTGCTGGTCTCTGGGCTTCCTTGACCGAGATGCTTGAGATCTTCGCTACCGGCGATAATGTCAACGGTACTTTCAGCTGCGGTGACAATTCCGCTCTGTAAAGTAGGGATGATCATTCTCAATTTATTACAATATGGGATCGACATCTAGCTCCGAACAGGATAGATGTACATGAGTCATGAGCCGGGTTTTCTTTTGGCGTTCTTTCACAAATTATAGACTAAGCATATACCATACCAAGCGAACATAGCATAGCCTTGAAAATTTATTTGTTCATTTACATCAAAGCGTCTCATTTGAATTTGTGATTAACTCTATCATGAAGTCCAAGCAACTACCTAATACACTCATCTTATTTCCGCCAATCCTCGAGTCGCTTTGACATTGGATTGTCTCAAAAAATTTAATATTGCGACCGAGAGCTGTTCTCAAGAGACACTGTTAGAGTGTGGTCATTCCATATTGGAAGCCCTGTCGAAGGCTGTTTTATAAGTATAAGACCCTGTACTCCAGCCAACGATGATTCGATCGGGTTCCTCTTACAGTGGGCTTGCACAATAAAGTCTTGTTGGCTGGTATGAGTCGGTTGTGAACAGCAGGATGGAAAGTTCATGCTTACAATAATCACCTTCAGAACCTTATACCAAAACAACCATAAGAGTTACAGAGCTGCGGAGAGTAGAAGAGAAACGACTAAAGAGGCGACTAGAGAAACTCTCTGGGCGGGATTTACTTCCATAGGCTGCATCAAGATCACCGGTCTGATGTTGGCCGGCTTGTGTCCTAGATAGGTCTATAAACTATAACCATTTTAAGTGACAGTGAACTCCGAGATGTTCGCCCCAATGAGTGTTCGATGTAGGATATAACACTTCTCAGCGAAGAGCAGTAAGTGGTCCCCGTGCACCAGTTGAAGTTAGGACGATTCGATATTGTAATTGTTGATGAAAACCTTGATCCCGAACGCACAAGAGTAGTACAGCGGCAATAATCTTGAACTACTGTTATACGATTTCGCCGGGCTGGAAGTAAGATTAAGCGCACATTTATCTACGCAGAAGTATTCATTAATCAACTCAATTCCGAAAACCAACTTTTACGAACTCTGGTTGACTAGAAATGCGGACATAGAAGATGCTGCCCTTCAACTCTGTTGCATAGTTTGCTCGATGCCTTATACTGTTAAGCTCCAAAGTGGAAAAAGAAGAGTCAACAGAATAAAGTTCTAGCACTGCACACAGATACATGAAATGGAGCGTTTGAACAAATCGATATAGGAGCTATTGCATGTATTGAACTCAGATTACAAGACATAGTCAAGTAGAATACATACCACCTCTTCTCAAAAAGCTAACATGATTCTTCTCTGGAGATCTGGTGTATGTGAAGTGAGTTGTGACATGACTTTAAACAGGACTCTCGACTCTGACATATTATGGCCAATAATCTTTTAGTCCATGAGTATCTCTGCTCTCAATTCCAGGTGAGCAAGATGCCTGTTCGGTATGAAGTCTAATCTTCAAAGTTCGAGAAGAACGCACGCAAATCGCCAACTCCAAACTTTGATTCAATCTCGTCGCAAGTAGCAGACTTTTCAGAATGCCCTCAATTCCGAATGAATCTCTATATAAAGATATCACCCCGTCTCTTCTTCCTCCTTTTTTTCTTTTTCCATCCTAAACAATCTCACGCTCATCTTCGACATCTTGTCATACACAACTCAACTTTCAAACCACTCAAACAACAAACCACCCTTCACTCTACATTCATCATGTGTTGCGGATCATCCTCAAGCAGCAGCCAGACTAGCAGCAAGGTCAAGCGCCGTAATGTTAGCCAGCTCAGCTTCACTCCCTACGAGAAGACAACCGAGGGCCCCGCCCCCGTCATGTATACCGCCGAGAAGTACGAGGACCTCAAGTAAGTATACTGAACCGTCCACCATATAGGCGGATGATACTAACATCTACAGGAAGGCGAGAGAAGCCGCCAACCGACGATGGGCTCCCATCTATGACGGCTCCGCGTAAGCCAAGAAGGGCTCCGTGTAAGCCGAAAAGGGTGTTTCTGGTCAGAGAATATCCTATCATACCGTCTGTTTGATGTTTTCTTTTTCATGGCCAAGTCTTGTTTGGAGTTTTAGACTTTGGGCGAAATCTACAGGCGTCCTGGGTTTCAACAGTCCCATAGGTTACAGGTCTGTCTTACGATAGTGTAATAAAAACAATCACTTTCAACAATTGAAATGCTTCCTTGTTCCTCGTACCAGCCTAATAGCCGTTCTCGTTCATCCAGTCGTCTTGTAGAGTAAGACGGTAGCCGTAATCGCAGTGCCAGCCCAGTCCATCTTCACCTGATAGAGTTTCTTATCGCTGGGAGGACAGCGCCTGAATGGTAACCACTCAATGTAAGCCCCCCTTATCAGCTCAGTCAATAATTAGAAGTTTATTCAGACATAAAGTCCAATGAGCGTGCAACTGCCAACTGACCACCAATCTGGATGGTCGTCAAGTCCGGTGCCGAACCGGCGGACTTAGTAACTGTAATTCCGACACCGACTGCACAGCGAAACCTTATTATAAATCACCAACAGACCAGATCTCACCAAAAAAGGTATCGCTGCTTACCAGCGCCCGTTTTGTTTGTCGATCACCCGAAGTAGCGAGCGATCATTCGGGATTACTTCGTCGCGATGAGGTCCGTGGGATAACTCCACGGCGTCAAGCGAGTGTTTGGTATACGAAGTGCGATTGTAACGCCATAGCGTCATTGACTGTATATAACCAACCTCCCACACCTCTCTTATAATCTCGGAAAGCAACTCATGTCTCATACTTACAAGACTTATTATACAACTTATCAGAATGCAAGCATCCGTTAACGGCACCTCTGCACGCCGTCTCCTGCTCCGAGGCGGCACTGTCCTCATCCACGATGAAAGCGACAATGTTGAAGCTCTCCAGCGCGATATTCTCATCGAGAACAACCGCATTGTCAAGGTAGCCTCAAACATTGACAATGTCGCCGGGGCGGAGGTGATCGAGTGTGACTACAAGATTATCTCGCCCGGCTTCATTGACACCCATCACCACCTCTGGCAAACTCAACTCAAGGGAAGACATGCAAATCAACTTCTTCTTGACTACATGCCTTCAGGAGCTGTGCAGGCATCGAACTATACCAGGGAGGACCTTTACTGGGGTCAACTTGGGGGTTGCTTTGAGGCGATCAATGCTGGCACTACGACCGTTGTTGATCATTCCCATGTGAACACTTTTGAAGGGGCTGGTAAGTGACTAAGTTTATGTCATAAACTGTTGTCAGAACTGATTTATTGTCTTTAGCATCTACTGCCATCTCAGCTACCGTCTCCTCAGGTCTACGCAGTGTCTATGGCTACTGTCCAACAATCCGCGTCGGATCCTGGTCTCCATTCGAAATGAACTCAGAACTGATCGCATCTTGGACTCTTCAAGAGATTCAGGACCTCGGCACCAAAGCACCCTTCGGAGATGGTAGAGTAACGATGGGTCTAGCCTTTGATCTCTGGTTCCTACCCGAGCAAGTTGTCCAAGACATCTTTCAGCGTGCTCGAGACGTCGGTATGGAACTAGCTACTACCCATGCTGTTCGAAACCATCAGATGAACATGAATGATGTTATCCAGCAGGTTAAGAACCAAGGGTTGTTGGACCATCGGATGATCGTCAGTCATGCTAATGGGTATCCCGCTGAGAGTATTAAAGCTATAGCTGATACAGGAGCACACATCAGTAGCACACCTTCTACAGAGATGCAGATGGGTTTGGGAGATCCCATGTGTCTCAGTAGTGACTACCCCACTGCTCAAGCCCAGTCAAGTTTGGGCATTGACTGTCACAGCAACCAAGCTTCCAGCATCGTGTATGAGATGAGGCTAGCCTTGCAAGCAGCACGGGCGAAGCATAACCAGAGACTCATCGATCAGGAAGTAGCTCCTGGACACATCTCCAATACAGTCCAAGATGCCTTCAATCTCGGCACGATCCAAGGTGCCAGAGCAATCGGAAGACAAGATGAGCTTGGAAGCATCATGGAAGGGAAACTAGCTGACCTAGTCATCTTCGATGCAAACACGCCCGAGCTTCTTTGCGCAGCGGAACAGGACCCAGTGGCTGCTATCGTTCTTCACAGCAGCATCAGTAACGTGGACACTGTCATTATTGATGGTATTGTTCGAAAACGTGGTGGTAAACTCGTTGACGTGAAAGTGGAAGAGAAGATGGGAGATATCGCAGGCCAGGAGTATCTTGGTTGGGGAGATGTTGCCAAAGCTATGAGGAAGTCCAGATTGGAGATTCTGGAAAGGGAGAAGAAGCAGAGTTTTAAGGAGCTAAAGCACGGCGTTATGAAGACTCTCCAAGTGGATGAGTCAAAGCTAAGAGACTGAAGCATGTTGTAGTTCCGTAATACTAAGAAATTGACACTGTATTGACAGAGCGAGACGAAGGATGATTTGAATACTAGTTTGTGTTACGAAAGTATCTCAATAGAAACGAGTGACAAGTAAAAGGATAAGAGCATCCTCATTTAAGGAGTGACAGGCACATAAGCAACCAGGCGACATATCCATACCCACAACATCCTAACTGTCCTTTGTTGCATTGCTGGCTTCCAGGATGACCTGGACTGGCTGTGTCAAAGCCTCATTTCTTATCGGCGATGATGCACCTGCGAAGGACGTTGTTTTTACCGACAGCTCCACAGCGCGTGTCGCTCGGGATATCCAAAGTGGTATCGGCGTACTTGATCCACATGTTATCATAGTTCGTTCCGTCGCAGGCATTGCCCGGGTGAAATTCAATAGTCCAAGGCAGCCGGGGGATGCTGAGAGATGACCACTCTCTGCTGCAGTCGATTTTAAACTTCTCGGACCATCCATCGCCCCGAACTTTAATGTCATCAAACGACATGATGACACTGAAGTAACCGCTTAAGAATTACTGTTAGCTAGCATACTTGAACTAAGGCCTGTAATCCTCTCACCAGGAAATCTGGCCGTGCAGGTCGTTCCAATCGCAGCGTTTGTCGAGATTGTCCTTTTGCACTTCAGCATCAAGAGGTGCGGCGGAAACGCCAAGGGCAAGAAGGGTCATGAAGAATGTTTTGGAAAGCATGATGAAGGTGAAATTGAATTTGGTGGTTATAGAAGCTGAGACTTGGAACTGAAAATTGTGATGAGGGGGTTGAATTTGATGGTGGAAGGAAAACAAAATTCAAGGTGAGGATAGCCGGACTTCTTATACCTTTTGCTGTTGGACAGAGCTGGGCATGAGCTACAAAAGACTTGACCCATTTGACTTGGCGACACTACATCATATTACCTTGAATGATAAGTCCCGAGGCATTCCTTGACTGCCACTGAACTACAGCCCTGGAAAGGTCTTGGAAGTTCGGGTTCACTCATTAAGTTCCTCCTCTGATGCGAAAGTTCTTCCACGTTCTGACTGTGGATATATCTTGCGTTTCCATAGGCTATTCCTCGGAAAGTAAGCTGATGTCTGCTGGCACTTGTATATTGGCTATGTAGGACTTAGATCAAGCTGCACGGTCCGAAAGATGAAGCCAGATCCGGGTATATGGGGTTGATCTGCGATAGCTGACTATTGGCTTATCGCATCCGATTTGCCGCTCACTTGAAACATAGCTTTTCAACATGGAAGCTGAGGCTTATGTTTCTATTGATAGTAAGGTAAGTATAGTGACACTTGTATTGTTGCTAGTGGAAGCTATTCGCTGACTCATGGAACTTCTGCGCAGACCACTGTGATGCGAGTCTTGTTTCAAAACAGGTGGTAATGGGAGTAGCACGGACCTATCACATCAAACAATGAAACGTGAAGTCAAGCAGAAGTAGTACCACTTTGAGGAGGTTTCATGGAAGGCTTACATCTCCACATCTCTTCTGCGTTAGTCCTTGCTCCTTCCAGGCATATCGAGTGTAAGTCCCCCATTATTTCTTAAGTCCTCCCTACGGCAATTCGACTTACATCGTATGCAGTGAGGTAAACCTTGTTGATCATCACCTGGTTGAGAAGAAGACTCCAGCGCGAGTCAAAAGGGACATCATCAGGCATTATATCTGATGTTCTTGTTGAAGCGGCAGTAGTCCTGATGATATTGGGACTATAGCAAGGTACAACAAGCATACAAAACCGGATGATTTCATCTAAAAGAACTTTGCGACGTTGCAAAAATTTCCAGAACGCACACGGTCCCTATTCCATTCCTGATGCCTTAACAACAATATGCATTCACTCCATTGAGCTTATATGAGCAACACCACCAGATCTCGTTGGAAATAGCACTTTATCAGGCCAATCGAAAGGATATATACGCGATTGGCAACCATCTCTACACGTTCGATAATGGTGTATTGTGCCCTATAGAGACTTCTGCTTACAGCTTCATCTTTCATGGCCCTTTTCAAAAGACCCTCATCTACCCCACCGCATTGCGCGTTATGATTTGAGGTGCTTGACCAGTAGAGTGGTTAGCAGTCGAATAGATAGGATATAAGACGTAATTGTGCTTCAATAGATACATACGACCACAGCTCGCGGAAAATACGGGATCCCGTCCGCTCTCCCATAGTCAAGCCGCGAAGCGCTGGATTAGTAGTT